AGACCACCCGTCCAAGCAAGAAGTTGGACTACCAGCGCATCGGACCCTACAAGATCGTCGAAGCCATCGGTTCCCTCGCCTTCCGCCTCGACCTTCCCAAGGATCTCAAGATCCATCCGGTGTTCCATGTCTCCCTCCTTGAGCCCCACAAGTCGAACACCCTCCCCGGCCGCATCCAAGACCCTCCTCCGCCAGTCCGCGTCGACGACCACTTGGAGTATGAAGTCCAGGAGATCCTCGACTCCAAGCTGGTCCGCGGTAAGTTGAGCTATTTCGTTGATTGGAAGGGCTACTCGACTGATCATCGCAGCTGGGAGCCCGCCAACTACGTTAACGCTCCCGACAAGATAGCCGACTTCCACCGCCGGTACCCCGACAAGCCTGGACTTATTGTTCGCAGGAGTGGCCGTAGTTTGGGGAGGGGATGATGTGATGATCATGCACGTTGGGAACACGTGTGGACTGCTGCGCGTGATGCACCGTGAGTCATGTTTGTTTGTCTTGGCGTGTATTCCCTGATTGGCTGGCGCCGATGACTCTTACTTCGCCTCCGACTGCGCTGTGCTTCGCCCCTCTCTCTAGCAGCTCCGCCTCCCTCGCACCCCCATCTCGTCCCTCGTTTGTCGCTCCACCCCTCTCGCCCACTTTCGCCCTTCGGTTTCCCTCTTGGCTATAAAGCCCCTCCTTTCTTGCACCCATTTTGTATCTGCAGTTCGAACAACACTTGTTGTTATCTGATAAGTCGTAATATAGCTTATCGTTGTTCGCCAAGCACCTGGTCGTCCAGTGTCGTTGCTTGTCGTGGTCCTCACAGTCTTTGTCGACAGGTTCAGCAAGATGGCACACTTTGTGCCGTGCCAGACGACATGCTCCGCGCCTGACCTTGCACTGCTGTTCTTCAAGCATGTGTTCAAGCACCACGGCCTCCCAAAGTCCATCGTCAGTGATCGAGACCCCCGATTCACCTCCTTGTTTTGGACAAGTCTGTTCGACCATCTCGGCACCAAGCTGAACATGTCAACCTCGCACCACCAACAAACGGATGGACAGTCCGAGCGGACGATCCGCACCCTCGAGCAATACCTGAGGACATACGCCTCGACCAGCCAAGACGACTGGGACATACAGCTGAGTCATGCAGAGTTTGCATACAACACCGCCAAGTCGAGCACAACTGGCTTGAGCCCCTTTGAGGCGCTCTACGGATTCCAGCCTGATGTTCCCACCTCCTTGACACTGACCGAGTCCACGGCTGGATTGCCTCCCAAACCAAGTGCCTTTGTCAAAGATCATCAAGTCCGACACAAGATGATCGCCGACGCGCTCACGGATGCGCAACAAGTGATGGCGAAGTACTACGACCGCCGACACCAGGATGTCTCCTTTGAAGTTGGAGACCTTGTCTACCTGGACGCCGACAACATCAAGGTCCCCGAAGCCCAGTCAAAGAAGTTGTTGCCCAAGTACCGAGGACCGTTCAAGATAGCGGCCCGACCCAGTCCCCTCAACTACCTGTTGGACTTGCCACCTGGAAGCAAGCTCCATCCTGTCTTCCATGTGTCCAAGCTGCGTCGCCACACGACCCGCAGTCCAGCACAGTTCCCCGACGCCGACGAAGGTGTCCCGGACGACGCACCACTGGAAGACGACCTCGGACAATACTATACTCAAGAATATGAAGTCGAAAGGATCGTGAGGCACAAGAAAGTGGCTGATGGGTCACTTCGGTTTTATGTCAAGTGGGTTGGTTACCCACACTCGGGCAACACATGGCAAACACTGGAGGACTTGTCCCATGCACCCGAGGAGCTGAGTAAATACGGTAAACACCTCGAGGAGCCCCAAATAAAGAGCACACGCAGGGCTCCTCGCAGGAAGCCTTCTTAAGTGTGGGAGTGTAGGAGATGGTATCTCCGACGCTGTGCTGCGCGTACTGCGCGTACTGCGCGGCGCAGTGGGTCGTGACCTGTGCTGCGCTTTGCGTTTTCACGCACCGCAGGCAGGCCACCGCAGGGTATACCTGCGGGTTGCCCCCGTTCCCCCCGTTTGTCTGGAGTTCGGTTTTATCGTGAATAAACGTAAGTGCTCCCCGAGCTCACCCGTCCGCTAGAGTAGCCTAGCACCGCCCTGTTCTGCCCCGTCCTGTCTTGTCTTGTACCCCCTCCCTCCCCGTCTTGCCCCAACGTCCCAGTAGTGGACGTTACATTAAGCTTTGGAAGCGAGGGCATTTCATCCATCGATTTCAGTTCGTGGCACCCCTTCAAATCAAGGACTCGGAGTGGGCTTTCTTCGAAATGTAGATCAGCCAAGCTCACGACGGATTTTGACAGGACCAGCTGCTCAAGTTTTGGCATCCTTGGGAGCTGACTCAAGACATTGTGTGGTTTGCTCGAGTCCACAGTGAGGCTGATGAGGGTTGGGAATTCCTCAGGTAAATCCACGAGGGTGTCAACGCTGTATGTGATGTGCAAATCCAAGAGCTTTGGCAGTTCAGGCATTCCCTTGAGGGATATCAGATTATCACAGGAACCAAAGCCGAGGCACTCAAGTGAGGGCAGCACTCTCGGCATACCCTCGAGGTTCACGAAGGAGCCATCGAGATAGAGTGTCGTCAAGTTTGGCATTTCAGGCATTCCCTTGAGGGATTTCAAATGATAGCAAGAACCAAAGCCGAGGTGCTCAAGTGAGGGCAGTACTCTCGGCATCCCCTCGAGGTTCTCGAAGGAGCCATCGAGATAGAGTGTCGTCAAGTTTGGCATTTCAGGCATCCCCGTCAGGGATTTGAGGCTTCCAAGATTGAGGGTTCTCAGTGAAGGCAGCACCTTTGGCGTGCCTTGCAAGCTGGAAAGGCTGCTGTACGTTGGATTCCAGGACTGACCATCCTTGTTCGTCAGTTCTTGAATCAAAGAGAGCACTTTGGACCATCCGGACACCTCCAAAAACGAGATATCTTTGATCTTGAGGACCTTTATGCCTGCCTGATAGATCTCTGGGATTTTGAAGGGCAGCAGTTTGGAGACATAGGCGTCACCGCTTCTTGGTTCATGACGTGAGATCGTGACACTGGGGTAATTTGACCTGATCTCTATCGGAGACAAGATAGTGAAATTCATTCTCTCAGCAATATTGATCCTCTCTTCTATGGACAGCTTGTTGGGCGAGCTCGAGTATTGTGTAGTTGGAAACCGGAACGAGGGGTCGGTCACTTGGCAGTAGCGCGAAACTCTTGAGTAGAGCGTTTGGTCACGGTACATTTCAGTCCAGAGTCGATTCTCCTTCTCCAGCATTGATTCGGTCGGTGGCTTCCGTTGGTCTCGGCGGGTTAGATAGCAGTTGAGCCCTTGCAAGATAGCAAGGCGGTTGACGGAGGGATCGACGCCCTGGAACATAAACTGGGCTGACACTTTCAAGTGAGTGGAAAGGAATCGTTCCCAGAACTTGACAGTGTTGAGGATGGCCCGATGTTCCTTTGAAACCCGCAGGAGCTTGGCGAACAACGGCAGACCGACTCTGTCGAAGAACGCCTCATTTGTGATCAGTACCGTGAGCAGATCGAAGCGAGCGAGGTCCTCTTGAACAGCCAGCGATGCCATCGGTGCTTCTTGAGCAGCGGATGGCTTGGCGGGTGGAGGGACGGAGTGGGTGGGGCTTGTCATGAGCGAGACGGCAACGGGAGGACGGATGGAGGCAAGATGAAGAGGTGCAGGCAGGAGGGCGGCAGGAGGGAGACAGCCGAGGAGAAACAGAGCGTCTTCGTTGATGATACCGATGTGGCTTAGGATACTGACGTCACACAGTTCGCCGTTTCAGACACAAGTGTCACCGTGTGCGACAGAAACTCGGTTCCATCCACCCAACATTCGAACCACAGAACAACACTCCCTGGTGTTCCTGGATATCATGGGAGAAGCTCTGGGACAAGATCGAGGAGCACACTATCGGTCACCTTCAGGCTCTTGAAGGCCATGTTCGACGATGTGAAGATTCAAGTCGTCAGCAAGAGCCGTCGGTCCAATCCGGTCTGGCTGCAGAAGGGACTGATCCAAGGATCGGTCCTGAGCCCGCTGATGTTCAGCGTGTTCATCGACGACCTCCCTGGGAAACTCCGGGCAGACGGTGGAACGACCCTAACCACCACCCGAGGACGAGCCGTCCAGGTCAACTCGCTGTGGTTTGCCGACGATGGGGGTGCTCATCTGCCGCCCCAACCAGACCCAGCGCCTCCTCGACATCTGCGAGGCCCACAGCATCGAGAATCGATACCAGTTCTCGCCCCCGAAGTGCGAGGTGATGTTCACCGAACAGCACCCAGAGAAGGATGCCAAGGTGCACCTATACGGCAAGGAGCTGCCAGTCGCCAAGGAGTTCCGGTACCTCGGAGCCATCGTCGACATCAACGGCTTCAGGATGGACCGCCAGATCCAGAACCTCACCCACAAGGCTAGAGGTGCCGCCGACAAGCTGGTGAAGCACGGAATGAGCCTGGGCCGATACTCGGCCAAGACGGTGACGAGGGTGTTCAAGACCTTCGTTCGGCCCATGCTCGAGTATGGACTGACCCTCGAAGTGCTCACGAAGCAGCAAGCCGTGATACTCAAACGAGCACAGATGCACTGTCTGACCCGACTCTTCAGAGTGGTGCGGAACACGTCCTACGGAGCGATGCACCTCGGATGCGGACTCATCACCCTGCCCAACCGCCTCAAGCAGCGACACGATTGTCAGGTCAAACATCGCGCCAGGCTCGATATCGCATCCTTGTCCCAATTGAGACAGTCCATTCGTCATCATGACAGCTGGATACACTCCGGATGGATGGACGCTGCAATCCTCAACTTCCACAAAGCTGGCCGTTTCCCTTGCCTTTACCACAGGCCTCAGTCTTCCTCACCTTCCGCACCATCGATCCGACGATACCCCCGGCTATGCTGACCGCCACCAGCAACCAGCTCTATTCCTGCCCTGCCCACGGCACCGACCACGATCTGTTCCTCTCCTACCAAGCCCAGACTGATGCCGACACTGTCCAGGCTTTGAAGGAGGTGCTCACCTCGATCGCCCTCCGTCGATATGGCAAACCCCTTTCCGTCTTCCACGATATCGACTGCCTCAACAATCCCAGCGACCCTCAAGCCAGCTCCATCAGTGCCCTCCCCACCAGCAAGGCCGTCTTCCTCCTCCTCAGCAAGGCCTCGATGGACATGATGAAGGACAAGGCACTCTCCGACCAAGAGGACAATGTCGTCCTCGAAATCAAGACCGCCCTCGATCTCAAGGATGCCAATCGTTCCCTCCCTGTCCTTCCCCTCGGAATCGCCACCAAGGAAACCAAGGATGACGTCGATGACTTCACTCCCTTCCTACCGTACATGGTGTCCCTCCCCAACGACCCTGCCTTTGCCTCGCTCAAGCAGACCCTCGGCCGAATGAACCAGATCCAGTCCTTTGGCTTCCGCCCCGACCAGATGCACAAGCGAGTCTACCGCCTCCTCAACCTCGTCCATCCCATTCCGCCCAACATGGATCTCATTACGGCCATCTATCGCAAATACTTTTGCGACTCCAAGTTCCGATTCGATCCCGCCCACCTCGACACCCTGCTCAAGCAACTCACCCTGACTGGTCGTGCCGTCATCTCTGGCATGGGTGGCATGGGCAAGTCTGTCCTCGCTGTCCAGATCCTCCATTTCATGATGGGCATTCTGAATGCGAGCAACAAGGAAGACCTCCTCGCCATCAAAGCCGAGACCATCGGCATCAAGCCGCAGTACCGCCAGGTATTCTGGATCAACTGCTCGACCGAGTCGACTGCCCTCGATGGGCTCATCGAGATGTTCCCCTATATCAAGCCCGACGAGATCAAGGAGCATGCCTCGAGGTTCCTCGCCAACACTCATGGCTATCTCCTGGTGCTCGACAATGTCGATGACATCGGTGTGGTCGACTCTGTGTTTGAGCACTCCAAGTCGGTCGGGTTCAGCGGCGATGTGGTGGTGACGACCCGGCTGGCCTCGCTGCCTCCTGGTGCATTCACCAGTGCTCTTGAGACCAAGATCCCTGGATACAAACATGACCCACTCCGTCTCGTCAACTGGGACGACAAAACCACGCTCGACTACATCATGTCGTCGTCGCCAATGATTGTCCAGCGACTTGTGTCGGACGAGGCCAGGAAATCCCTCGACAGCATTGTGGCCAAGATCAGTGGATATCCACTCGTCATCCAGACATTCATGACGTTTGCCGAGAACTACGACACTCCCCTGTCGGTGCTCGAGGCCACGTTTGCAGGAGCATTGGAGCTGCAGGATGGCGAGGACGACACGCGGTCGTCGCTCAAGGTGATTGTGGATCTGTCGCTGGACTCGCTGATGAGGCGAGGGGATGAGGGCATCGAGGCAGCCAGGCTGTTCGGGGCCCTCGGTTTGGTTGCGCCGACCAACATCCAGTTCGAGTTGATCAAGGAGATCGCACAGAAGATGGAACTCAAGACCGAAGGTGAGTTGCGAGTGGATCGAAGTGCAATCAATGGTGCCAGTGCATGGAACTGACCAGTGGCTTGTCCACAGTGACGGCTCTGATCAAAATGGTGATCCAAAGCGGCCTTCTCCGAAGTGGAGCCGAGGGACAGTACTCGACGCACTCGCTCACCCAGCAAGTAGCTCGAGAGTATGTCCAAGCGCATGAGAAACTGGATGCCGATGCGATTGAAGATGCAGTGGGTGAAACACTGCTCGAGCTGACCAAACTCGAAGATCTTAAAGCACAAACCTTCGCTGAGCATCTCGACCGATACGGCGAGAAGACAGTGCCAGAGGTTTACACCAAGGAGCTGCATAGTCGAATCGAGTACCAGATTGCATGTTTGGCTCAAGAGAAGCCACTTTACACCAAGGCCATGGGGACATACAAGAGAAGCTTGGAGCGAAGTGTTATGTTCTATGGTACCCGTGAGCATCCTGATGTTGCCCAGACCCTCAACAACATGGGTGCAGTGGCAAGATCCCAAGGACGCCTGGACGATGCACTCGCCTTCTACCAAGAGTCGCTCGACATCAATGTCAAGATCAATGACACCCGCGAGCATCCCAGTGTCGCCCAAACGGTCATGAACATGGGCAATGTGGCAAGATCCCAAGGACGCCTGGACGATGCACTTGCCTTCTACCAAGAGTCGCTCGACATCAATATCCAGGTGTATGGCACTCGCGAGCATCCCGAAGTTGCTAGGACCCTCAACAACATGGGCAATGTGGCGAGTGATCAAAGGCGCCTGGATGATGCACTTGCCTTCTACCAAGAGGACTTGGACATCACCACCAAGGTCTATGGCACCCGCAAGCATCCCGATGTTGCCCAGACCCTCAACAACATGGGTGGGGTGGCAAGATCCCAAGGACGCCTCGACGAGGCGCTCACTTTCTACCAAGAGGCACTCGATATCAACGGCAAGATCTATGGCACACGAGAAAATCCTGATGCTGCCATGATCCTGAACAACATGGGTTTGTTGGCAAGTGACCAAGGGCGCCTGGACGATGCACTTGCCTTCTACCGAGAATCCTTTAATATCATGGTCAAGGTCTATGGTACCCGCGAACATCCCGATGTTGCCCAGATTCTCAGCAATATGGGTAATGTGGTAGGTAATCTGGGATACTTGGATGACGCACTTACCTTCTACCAAGAGTCACTGGATATCACGATCAAGGTCCATGGCACCCGCGAGCATCCGGATGTTTCCACAACACTCTTCAATATCGGCTTGGTGGCAAAAGACCAAGATCGTCTGGGAGAAGCTCTTGCCTTCTTCCGAGAATCACTTGATATCAGGGTCAAGGTCAATGGTACCAGCAAGGATCCTACTGCTGCCACAATCCTCGATAATATGGGCAATGTCGCGAGTTCTCTCGGTCGCCTGAGCGAAGCAGTGGCCTTCTACCAAGAGTCACTCGATATCACAATCAATATTGGCGACACTCTTGAGCGGGTCGATATTGGACAGATCATGAACTGTATATGCCATTACTCGCGACTTCTGGGTGACATCTCAAAGGCTCTCCATTATGCCAGTCGATGCCTTGATATTTATCTCAAACTCTATGGTTCCCGTGAACACTCCCCGGTGGCTTGTGTCCTAGATGAGATTGGATGGATTCACTTTCTTCAATCCGACTTTCACAAAGCACTCGAATACCACACAGAGGCCCTCGATATTGTCACGAGAATCTCAAACGACCCAACAGGAGCTCTAGAGGCCGAATTCCTCATCGGCTGTGGCGCAGACCTGATCCAACTCGGGCGCCTCGACGATGCCCAATCCAAACTCGAGAAATCGCTCGAGCTTCTCAGAGCCATCCACTCCACGACCGATAATGCCTCTGTTGCCCATGCGCTGTGTTTTTTGGGGGATCTTCGTCGACTCAAAGGAAACGACGACGATGCCCTCATCCTCTACAACGATGCAATCCACATGGTGAAGCGGCTCCGACAGCCTTCAAACCCAATCATCATTCCACAAGCTCTCCATGGCATTGCAGTCATTCAAAGATCCAGGAAGCAGTTTGATGATGCTCGACAATCCATCGCCCAGGCAATTGACATCCTTCTCGAACTTGCCCCCAATCATCCATTTCTCAAGTTGATTGGAAGGAAGTCAGCCGAGAATCAAACAGATGAAGAAATCGTTTTTAAGAGAGTCCAATGTTGTTTGATCATTTGATTACATCATATTATAAATTTTTATGTTTCCGATAGTTGTATATTCAAGAATATTCAACATGCCATCAGCACAATGCGGCACCTGTCAATGGGCGCACAAGCAAGCTCACACACCCCTGTTGTGACTCTCGCCGACTCTCCAGCCCACACGGCGGACCATGCGGGTGAACACTTCCTGCAAGAGGTCCCACAGGGACTCGCATGTCTCGAGGTCCCGCTCACGAACGTTTCTCTCTGGCCATGGGAGTTCCTCTCCGGAATCTCCTCAAAGCCAATTGTTCGTTGGGCTCGCTGTCGTGGCCTCGTGGCCCTCATCGTCCCAGTCACTCCATCTGCCTGGCATTCCGCTTGGTGTGAGGAGAGGGCTGCCTCTCCTGCTGGTCGTGTGAAGTGATGTGTCCACCACTGTGTGTAGGTAATCCGCAGTTGAGGTGCAGTGCTCCATGTGAAGTCGTACGCGCTGTGCGGAACAGCAAGTTCAGGCAGAATGTTTGTGTCCGGTGGAGCCGCTTCTGTTCGTTCGTTGGGATGGGGTCGAGGGCGAGGCCGTATTCCATCATTGGCCGCAGGAATGTGCGGTATGCAATCGTCAGTGTCTTGGCCGTGAGGTTCCCAAGGGTCAGGCCCATCTTGGCCATGTTGGATGCTGCTTCTCTTGTCCTGGTCACCATTCGGTACTGGCAGATCGTCGATGAAGGCGCTGAACATGAGTGGGCTCAGCATCGATCCCTGGATCAGACCTTTCTGGAGCCATACTGGCTTGGATCTTCGGCCCTTGCTGACCATTTGGATGGATACCCGGTCAAACATGGCTTTGAGGAAGCCGAGGGCGATGCCATTCATTCTTCGCTGCTTGAGCTTGGTCCACAGTCGCTCGCGCCATACTGTGTCATAGGCGGCTTTGATGTCGAGGAAGATCAGAGAGTACTCCTCACCGTTCATCTTGTGGTGCTTGATCAGGGTGTCCAGGGCGACGATCTGATCAAGGGTTCCTCGTCTGGCTCGAAATCCGCCTTGGGCGACGTCCATGTCTCCTGCCTGTTCTGCCAGGAAGGGGAGCATGATCCTTTCCACGATCTTCCTGCAAGTCTGAGTGAGACCGATCGGGCGATACATGGCCGGGTCCAGGGTCGATCCCTTCTGCTTGTACACTGGGTGGATCAGCACGCTGTTCCATTCGCTTGGCACCACGCTGGCCTTGAGCGCCGCCATGATGATCAGGCGGAGCCACTCGGCTATCACTGGTGCGACTGGTATGAGCATTTCGCTCTTGATCTTGTCGGACCCCGTTGCCTTGCGGCGTGGTGCCTTCTCGATGGTCACTTGGATGTGCTCCAGCGATACTTCTGGGAGCCGGTTGTCGGGCGGCAGGAGGGTCGCCTCCGTGCTCAGGGGTGGCGGGGTTATACTTCTGTCGTACTCTGTCCCGCTGTCCTGCGAGGCAGAGGATACCTTGCCAAAGTGCACCACGAGTTTCTCGAGAGTCGGGTCCGGGTTGTCAAAGAGATGGGATCCCTCTCTCTCCTTCCTCGTGCGCATCGCTCCGATGGTCTTGGTCATCTCGGAGCACTTCTGGGTGTCCATGGTGGCCATGGATTCCTTCCATGACCGTATGCCGTTCTTGCGCTTGAGCTGGGTGATGGCCTTTCTCGTGGACCGAAGCTGACGACGCAGGTCGTCCAACTCTTCCGTGTCGTACTCGGGGGTCTGGGCGAGCATTCTGCTCAGGCATCGCCGTTCTCGTTCCAGGCGTCGAATTTCGGGCCCCTGTGTGCCCTCGATCCGACCAGGGCTGATGCTGGCGCTTCCGATGGTCTCGCTGGCGATCAGGTCGATCGTGCTTATTCTTTCCACCATCCATGGTTGCAGAGCCAGGATCGACTGTAGTGGTCGAGTTGTCGTTGTCGAGTCATCGGATGTTGCTCTCAGTCGATCAACACCAGCGACAGTAAGGGGACAGTAATGTTTGTATATTGGATGTATTGGATGTATTGGATGTATTGGATGTATTGGATGTATTGGATGTATTGGATGTATTGGATGTATTGGATGTATTGGATGTATTGGATGTATTGGATGCCAAATACAACACCACTCGGCCATTGCTACTTCATCGGAACCACTTGTCAAGTTCACTCATTGGTGTCATGGTGTCTGGGATGGGTTGTATGGCTGATCTGATTGCATTTCAGTGTTACGATTTTGTTGTTCGGGAGTGGAAAGTGAGAATCAGGGCGACTTGTCGAGTTCCTTGAGAATGTCGATGGCATCTCGGAACCCCTGATCGGCGGACTTGCGATACCAGTCAACAGCGGTGTCCATGTTCTCGGGGACACCATAGCCATATTGGTAGCAATAGCCGAGATAATCTTGTGCGTATAGCTTGCCTTGCTCGGCCGACTTGCGGAACCACTCGAATGCCTTGGCGAGGTCCTCGGTGACTTCGTATCCCCAGTAGTAGCAATAACCAACCATCCACAACCCATACGAGTTGTCTTGGTTTGCCGACTTGCTGAACCACTCGAATGCCTTCTTGTAGTCCACCGATACTCCCAGGCCATGACAGTAGCACTTTCCGGTCCAATATTGACTGTAGCTGTGGCCCTCGTTGGCGAGCTGCTCAAAGATACCGGCTGCCTTCTTCTGGTTCTTTAAAGTCCCGAATCCATAGTGTAGACACACGGCCATCGGGTGCCTGCACAGCCAGTCACGGTCCGATCCCAGCTGGCACAGCTCGAAGAACATGAATGCTGCGGGTGAGTCGGAGTCGGCGTCACTGTTTCCGGCCAGACACTCGTCTTCTCCGAAAGGGAACTCATCTGATTGGTTATCGCGGATGATCTTGGTGCCCTTTTGCTTGTCGCGCACGGTGCCCCGGCCGAGGTAGTGCATCCATCCAACCATGTGGGTGGCGATGAACTTGATGATCGGATCGGTGGACAGGGTGCTGACTTCCTGCCAGCGGTTCAAGGCGTCGACATCGCTCTGTTCGACACCATGACCGATGAACGAGAACCATCCACGGAGGAATCCGATGTGGAGTCGGCCGTCTTCGCTGCCTTGGTCGGCGGCTTTGTTGTACCATTCGATGGCTGCGTTCAAGTCTTGATCGACACCTTCGCCATACTGATAGCAACTTCCGAGGGCAACTTGAGCCTGAGGGATCCCACGATCTGCAAGACTGCGATACAGCTCGAAGGCCATGGTGTGATCTTGGTCGGCACCAGTGCCATCGTGATAACATCCAGCCAGGTGAAACCGTGCCATTGGATGGTTTGTGTTGGCGGCATTCTTCAGATAGCGGAAGATTTGCTGGCGGATGGCTTCCTGCTCGGATTTGTCCACAGGCTGCTGCTTATCGATCTCAGATTGCAACACCCGAGCCAGGAAATACGATGCAGCAGCGTTACCCTGATCGGCTTGAGCCACGAGCCAGGAGTGGTCGGCTGTGGCTTGTTGATCGCGGTGCAGCGAGAGGGCAATCTGGTCGCTTGGTGTGAGGCCGATCCGCATCTGTCCGTCTGGATTGCACAGCCCTTCCTTCTGGCACCAGGTGTGGAAGCGAGCCACCTTGGAGCCCAGGAGAGGACAGGCTCGTTGGCACACTCGGAGGAGGGTTGCGATGGTGGTCAGGTCGAGAGCGAGCTGGAAGCTGTCGTTGCAGCAGACGATGGTGAAGATATCTGGGCTGTGTTCGAGTGAGAGCTGGGTGATATCGGGCATTGACGAGGTTGTTCTGGCTTCAGCTTGTGATTGCTGAGTGGCAGATGGCGCCGTGGTTGTAGCAGGCTCGTTCATGCTGGCCGTGTTGACGGAGACGGGAGGGAGGCAAGTGGATGATGGAGATGGACAGGGGACAGGCAAGTTGTGGCGAAGTAAGCCAGATGCTGGCCAGCCAAACACTGGCCATCGAGCACACACAAGCCTGGCTCGATCCGATGGTTTGATGGCTGGAGTCGGTGTTGTACAAGCACTGCCACAGGCATTGCCACATTCATCGAACATGGAATCGATCATGAAATCGAGTCTTCCTATTCACAGCACAGAGTCGACTAGACTCGGTCATGAAATGTAGATATGGAATGAGATTTGCGTTGGAGTGTGAGAAGGATCGACCCGAGGAACAACAATACTGGCCACATCACAACCAGGCACGCATGAGATGATTGAGTGGAGTTACGTCGTTCCTTGGTGGAATGGAATGCGCAGGTGTCAATCGGGCCGCGAAGCGCGGGAGTGAGAGCAGGGTGCAAGCATGGCAAAGGGTGTGCAATGGAGTCAATGAGAGGCAGGGACCATTGGAAAGAGAGTGTGTTCGCAGATCGCTCATAATCTCCGCTCTTTGTTCAGTGGAAGTTGGCGCAGTGGGTACGCTATATGGAGCAGACATGGCTGGTGTTGCTGGTTGGTGCTGATGATGTATTGATGTGAGTTCCATACGGATGGCTGGTGTTCCAGAACAGAGAGCCGATAATAGCTACTCCTTCGTGGAGGCCTGGATCGACTGTACCTCGAGGTGTCATTGGTTGAGGGTAGATGGGGTGAAGGGGGGGGTGAAATCTCTGATACTTGCAGTTGCACTGAATCGGGTGATGGCCATGTTCGCCTCTGTGCGGCAGAGCCAACACCATCCGCTGATTCTCATGACCCAGCACACCCCTCATATTCAATCCGCTCCACGCGACCGAACAAGGGCGCTGATCATCTGGGTCGAACAAAACAGCCTGCGGCGATGCAAGATGAGGTCAGCGACATCCTCCAAGTTTGAACACTCAACGTCGCAGTCGAATCCAGGCAGACCCACACCGCTGCTCTCTACCAGCCGTGGTCGCTGTTGCACCTGCCATCCAAGTACCCCACTCGGCTGGCTGGCTGGTTGGATGGCAATCCCCGCCCGATTTGGATATGCTGCGCATCTGTGGCGCGCGTCTCAAATGCCATTCCCGCGTGATGCCCCTGTTCGCGCCCGACACTTTTCCACGCTCTGGGCGACCCCTTTCGCTCATTCCCCCTCGTCCTTCGCCTTTCACCGCCGACATGGCCAGCAAAGCCATTCCCCGACCCGCTCCCGATCCCCCGTCCTGGTACCTCTCACCCAGCGACATCACCGACCGCTCGGCCAACCCCATCGGCCGTGGTGGCTTTGGCGAGGTCTTCACCGGCACATACTTTGGCTCCAACGTCGCCATCAAACAGCTCCTCGGCACATGCAACAACCGAGAGCTCGCTGACTACAACCACGAAATCGATATCTGGCAGAAACTCAGCCACCCCAACATCCTGCCTCTGCTCGGTGCCTGTGACAAAGACGAAGACGGCAACCCGATCCCTCCCTTCATGGTCTCGCCGTTCATGCCCAACGGCACCCTTCGCAACCATGTTGCCAATAACGACGTCCCACTCGAGGAGAAGCTCCGTCTCCTCTTCCAAGCAGCATCTGGAATGGCTTATCTTCACGGCCGCCGCATCATCCACGGCGATCTCAAGGCTGCCAATGTCCTCCTGGATGCCTCGTTCAATGCCGTCGTCACCGACTTTGGAATGTCCCGCACCAAACACACCTCTGCCTCATTGAATCCCAACAAATCCAATTCCCTGAACGGCGGCACCGAGGGATACATGGCCCCCGAGATGCTTGATGAAGATGACCCCAGTGGCACCACCATGAAGACCGATGTTTATGCCTTTGCCATCACCATGTATGAGGTTCTCAACGATGCCAAGCCCGTTTGGGCTTCTCGAGATGGCCACCCAATGAAGCCCTTCCAGATCTTGTCGCAGCTCCTCCAACGCAAGCGCCCCAAGCGGCTCGATGGCATCACTGACGACATATGGGCCCTCATCGAGCGCTGCTGGGCCCACAACCCCTCCGATCGCCTGTCGTTTCGGGAAATCCTTGCGGCCCTGCAGCCCTACAACCGTGCTGTCATCCCTGCTGCTCCTGTTCCTGTTCCTGTTCCTGTTCCTGTTCCTGTTCCTGTTCCTGTTCCTGTTCCTGTTCCTGTTCCTGCTCCTGCTCCTGCTCCTACTCCTGTCAAGATATCTTCCGTAGACCAAGTTAGCAGTCCCTTGGACACTCTCAGCATGAAAAATCCCTCACCAGCCCAGCTCAGTCGACCCGGCGAGCTCAAATTTGATGGCATTGACTCGACCACTTGCCTGTCCGACCCTCTCATCTCCCGAGTCAAGCTTGGCGACCCCGCTGCTTGTCTCGGTGCCGCCCAGTTGGTCTCGGAAGGTCTCCCTGCCCATCACGCAGATTGGAAGCTCGTCGCCCAGCTCTACAAGGCCGCTGCTGACCACGGCAGCCTCGAAGCTTCCTTCCAACTGGCTTGGCTCTCTCTCTTGGGCGAGGGAGTGGCCAAGGACGACTGCAGTGCATTCTCCTTCTGGCAGGAAGTCAGCACCAAGTCTACCGACCCAGTCTTCAAGCCCATCGCCACTCACATGGTTGGGTGGATGCATTACCTCGGCCGGGGCACCGTGCGCGACAAGCAGAAGGGTATCGACATCATCCGAGACAACAAATCGAATGAGTTCAAGCTTGGAGAAGATGAATGTCTGGCATCTCACTGGAGCAACATCGAGCCCGACTCACCCGCGTCCCGCAAGTTCTTTGAATTGTGCCGACTGGGATCGCAACGGGATTGGCTCTGTGACCACCTCATAGCCATTTGTATGTACCACGGATTTGGAACCACGAAAGACTGGGCAAAGGCAGCCGGTATCTTTGAGCAGCTCGCCAACGACGGCCACTGCGACAGCCAGTTTTGGATTGGGTGTTGCTATTTGGATGGGTGGGGAGTGCCAAAAGACTACGAGAAGGCATTCGAGTGGTTCGGCAAGTCCGCCGACCAAGACAACTCGTATGGGCTGTGGATGGTTGGCTATTGCTCTTTCTACGGACGTGGAGCCACCGAGGACAAAGCCGCAGCGGTCGAGTGGCTCTGCAAGTCGGCTCAGCGCGGTAATCGATACGGACAGTGCTGGCTCGGCAACTGCTACATAAACGGCTGGGGTGTCGCAAGGGACATCGATACCGCAGTGAACTGGTACCGCAAGTCTGCCGACCAGGGTCACGAAGGTGCTATCGGTCGTCTCAAGGAAATCGGCAAGTGACCGTAATGGCGATATTGATATTCAATACATTGACACCTTGGCTGATCGAGAGACTCAGCAGCTTCCAAATCACCGTCGTCGCACGGCATCGTTGTCCCGATTGCCCTCTGTTTCCCTCGCACGCATAACCCGGCAGCCTTGCCTTCGACGAGCCACCAGTTTGCTGACCAACGCGTCTGATCCGCTCGTCCACGGCGATCCCACTGCGTCCCTCATCGACCTTTCGATTCACCCCGGCCTCGCCCACCGTTGTCGTCTGCCGGATCCGCCAAACCACCACCCGGGCGACGAGACTGTGCTCCCCCTCATCTGCCCTAGACCCACTCGCCAAATGACCACTCTCTTCCGGAAATCTGTCCGGGCCCTGCCGTTTGCAGCCCCTTCATCTCTGGCTGCGTCGCCTGCGGTGCCCCATCGCCTCATTGCCGCTTTGCGGCCAATGACCTCCTCGACGACGTACTATCCGCCGCTCGTCCGCCTCTCCAAGGATCTCTCGGCCCAGACCTATGCCGTCATCCTGTCGTCGCCTCCCGTCAATGCCCTCACACCGACTCTGCTCCGGCAGCTGCAGGCCCATCTCCTCCACCTGCACGCCGACCAGCAGAGCTACCTCAACCACGGCCTCATCCTCACCTCGACGTTCCCCAATATCATGTCCGCCGGGCTCGACTGGGACTGCCTCATCCACAACGAGGAGACCGAATCCTTCCAGGACTTCGAGATTCGCTTCCGCAACTACCTCAACCTCTTTCAGGACTGTTGCAAGCTGCTGCTGACCATCAGCATGCCCACCATTGCTGTCGTCCGTGGTGCCTGTCCAGCGGGCGGAACGGTGGGTATCCTGAACGAACGATATTTCGGCCGCTGATCGACCTCGCTTCCAGCAGGACCGCTCGCTGTCCGGATCGCTCTGTCGACTCCCTCCTCAACTGCCCCGCGACTCTATTCTTTCTTTGGCGAGAGAATGCTTATCATCGCCACCCAATTCCGTTGCGTGTTGTGTAGGTTCTGTCGCTCTGCTGCGACGAGCGCATCGGTGTGAGCTCGCCGTCCTTCTTGATGGGTCTCAACGAAGTCGCCATCGGCATGAACTTGCCCAGCTGGATCCACCACCTCGCCTACCAGACCCTGGGTCAGAACTCCAAAACCCGACGCTTCCTGCAACAGGGGTACCTGGTGCGTTCGGCCGAGGAGGCGCTCGAACTCGGCTATATCGACAAGCTCGTCTACTCCAATGAGGACATTGCCGAGAACGTCGGCAGCGAGCTGCGTCACTATTTGAGCCAGCCTTGGACCGCCCGCACCCTCACGAAAAAGACGCAAAATCAGCACGTCGTCGACTCCATGGGGCCCGCCGCCATCGACGATTTGTGGATGACCGTTGGCAGTGCCGAGTTCCAGGAAAAAGTGAAACTGTTCAAGCAAAAGATCAGGAATCGGGCAAAAGATGCTTGAGACAGGCGCCCACCAGCATGCTCTCCTCGCCCTGCCACGGCCTCCGCCCTCCCAAGTAACGAATGGGATACGTGGATTATGGAGTGGCATAACCATTCTGATCGTGCGATTGTAGAATCGGCACCTCGGATGGTCGACAAGCATGCAGCTATGAACACGATCGCTAGAACAATCCCATTTTGAAACGGGATATCCAGTTTGGAGCCAGGGCTGTCGCTTGTTTCTGGGTCCTCAATACACCAGTCCATCGCTGCGCAGCGATGCTGCAGTCCCAGCTCCCGTCCAGTGCGGAAACACAGCGTCAATACGGTGCACAACATTACTGCTGTGCTGGTCGGCTGTAAAGACCGGAGAGCCCAAGTGAACAACGAGCGGTTACGGGCATTCGGGGTCCCTGAAGGAGCCACCATCCGCGCCCTATTCACGGAACTTTGGCCGAGTTCGGGAACGCTGTCACTGTATTGGTGGATCGCAGCGCCGTGCGTTGATGGACAGGCGAAAGCAAGCTCAGGCTCGCAAGGAAGTGGGTGAGAAAGCAAATCAGGGGAATCGGGACGATGGATATTGAGCTGTCGCATTATCGGACCCACATATCATGATGCAGTGTCGCTTGCTACATTCACAAGCCCTCGTTGATCCAGTCCAAGATCAGGGGGGTGTAGTAGGTGATGAGGATGTCGGCGCCTGCAGGCAGACATGGGTTTAGGGACATGGCGGCAGAGTGATCGTGTTAGAGCAAGAGCGCACTCGGCAGCACTGGAACATGCCACCGACCAACAACAGCATCGTACCTGCACGAAGGGCGCTTTCCAGGGACTCGAGGACGCCGACCCTGAGGTCAAAGACCTTGTTCTGGGCAGCATGCCACAACATGGCATACTCGCCAGAGACCTGATCGTAGCCACATGAGAGCGCAGTGGAAATGCGGTCAGCACATCATCGCCTTCACAGTCAGCAGTCGCACGAAGGAAGATGCATCGCGAACTGGGAATCAACCTGGTAGATCGCGAGTGGGAGGTCGGGGCAGAGCTCCTTCGAGTCGCGAACAATATCAAGGTAAGGGTATGCGGGCTTGACCATCAGGATATCGGCGCCTTCGCCAGCATCACGGAGCTGCAGGTCCGACAGGCGGCATGGGTCAGTTCGAGCTCATCTGTGGCGAGAGCATGGGGCACCATGCACAGCCATTTGCGATCAAAGTCGGCACCAGCGGAACCGGGTGCTGCTGAGGGCTTACGGTGGCTCTGCGGGCCAAGCCGCGGGCTCCTGGGGGCAACTGATAGCACTTGCGATCGCCCGAGGTGGGAGCGGAGCAGGCAGCATCGCGGAAGGGTCCGTAGAAGGCCGAGGCAAACTTGGCGCTGTAGCTCATAACCGAGACGGTGTTGCCGAGGCCATGTTCCAGCAGGATCTGCTTGATGGCGCGGATTCGGCCGTCCATCATGTCCGAGGGTGAGATCACTTGGCAGCCTACACACGAGCCGAGAGTCGAGGCGAGGATGGCCAAACGGGGGTCAGATGTACACCCAGTCGCTAACGCCTCGCACACCAGAAGCAACCCAGCAACGGCCCAGAGCCAACGATGACACCATGGCGACATCCAAGATATCCCAGAAAGTCCGGCCTTACCCGCTCTGGCATAGTTCAGCGACACCTCGGCCAGACGTTCGATACTGGCCTGGTTGTCGAGCGCATGCTCGCCCATGACGCCGCAGTGGCCGTGGCTGGTGTAGGCGCAGAGACAGACGTCGCAGGCAACCAGGACCGAGGGGAAGGTGCTGCGGAAGAAGCGAACGGCGCGAACAACTGGGCCCTCCGGGTCGTCGGCGGCAGATCCGCGGTTGTCCTGAACGAAACGGCATCGAGGGATCCTTGGCGTAAGCACGAGCAGTGCCGCTGGTTGCTGCCGCTGGCCAATGTCGTCAATCCAGCGGGATCAACCTGCGCCAGCGACGCAACCGTCACCGGATCCACTGGCAGCAGCCGAGGGTCCACGGCAGGATCCAGGCGAAACCGGCCACCCTGAGCCACGAACGACGCCTTACCTTCTCGACCGAGGTGGGAACGCCAAAGATCAGGACGGTCTTGAGGCCCTTCTGGACCAGAGGTTCAAACTCTTCCTTCAGAGTGTTGACGCCATATCTTGTCGATGGACGGACCAGTCAGCAGCTTGCCCAGCCGAGGCTCCCCAGCAGCCACGCCAACACGCAGCATCCGCAGCAAAAGGCCCGCGAGATCCGAGTCAAGCTCTCCAGCAACGGTCCTCGCTGCCGTACCGGTACTGGCCAGGAAGGGTCGGGATGGGGTCCTTGACATCGTCCTTATCGTGGATGAAGATCGGGAAGATCAGCGACTCCTTGGTGACGGTCTTGCCCTCGTTGGACTGCCATCGGCGCAGGACGGGATGGTGGAAGCCCGAATGCAGCAGCGAAGTGTGCTCGAAGGTGGCCTTGAAGGGGATGCTGGACATTTCGGCAGAGCGACGGGCTGCGATGATGGCGACGGCGACAGAGCTGGCTGGCGATGCTGCGGGCGGCTGCGGGCCAAGATGAGCTGGATTGCGGGCTGTTTCCTGCGGACCTCGCTCCGTCTCGCTTGCCTCTCGCTGGCGCCTCGTCGTGGCGAGGGGGCTCTCGCCGTTGGCGCGCCTCCCTTCTCCTTGCGGACCTTCCCCTGGCGACGGGGGTTGCTGTGGCGCCGGGGTGGGGCTGTGCGCCCCAGAGGCTGCATTTGTGCTCTGCGCGAAAGAGCAAGATGCGACGGGGCCGGCCGGGATGTGTCCCAGCGCACCAAGCCGACCTTGTTCTGCCCAGCCTCCACCCGCCAAGTAACGGTGTCGATGGCGGCCTGGCAAGCACCGTGTTGGGAGATGCTGGCGCTGAGGCCCTGGTGCTGTTGTCGCCTTCGCCGGCCTCGACGGCCATTCCCAGACAGATGCGTTACTGCAAGCCCTCCTGGAACCGGACGGGGATGCAGTCCAGCGAGTTCAGGTCAACCAGAACAATCGTCGCCGTCTTGCTGAACTCGGGCAGCAAGACCACGCGGGTCACTTCGCCATTGGGTCCTGTTCGGCGTTGTCGCCGGTTCAGGAAAATCGCCCAGATGTGCATGTCAGCTCGCGGTCTCTTGAGTACATAAGCTCCAGCCCTGTCTGCCCATTGGCCCTGACGTACCTTCCATGAACGACGTCGCGAACGACGGCTGATTGCCGACGAAATAGACATGCGGGCGCTGTTGGACGATGAACGGATCGCGGTCCTTGTATGGGTAGCACCCTTTTGGATTGACGGGATGGGCATGAAGGGTAAGAGACAGCAAATAGGGTCGCCCCACAGCGCTCCCGCATGAGCAGCGTTGGTCTGCAATCGACGTTGGTCCCGCAGCCTTACACAGCGTGTCCGGTGCCGTCGGCGCAAGATGGCCCCACTCGATTGTCTTCTCGGCAATCTTCAGGCGGTCCTCCAGGTCCACAAACTTGTAAATGTCGTCAATGTTCTGTCCTGACGTTCCCAGAAACCTGGCCAACAATCATGCAGTACTGATTAGCCAATGCACTGGCCCGTCGGAGCATGGGAGCACCGAGTTTCATCGACTAGCGCATCCCATGCCCAGCAGCGTCAAGCACAGCAACGAGCGTACGTGATGTCCCCGATCGAAAAGCTGTGCGGATTCGTTGCCGTGTTCAGGTTCGACACCCGGCAGGCCTTGGGGAAGATGGAAAAGTGCAGAGCCTGCTGCGGTAGGGCACAGTTGGTTGGGTCGGTGTCGCCCGACATGATATCCAGTGGTACCGAGCTGACCAGCTCGCCCAGCAGCGCATCGCATGTATCGAACGGCTGCTGGTCAAACTGGATGGCCTCGGCTCTTCGGCCCTGTAAGCGGTCGCAGCCATAGCGTCGTTTGGTCATGTCAGAAAGCATCGACGATGATGGGCTCCCCGGGACGGCCGTAATAGCAGCGGATAGCAGCGGGCAACTTCACCACGGTCGAGAAAGGCAAACAGCCAGAGCCCTACCAGCTTCTTGATCTTGTCACTCTTCTTGCGGGCAAAGGTGTTGCCGGCGATCACGACACGCACGATCCTCGATGCCCGTCGTTGGTCCTGAAGATTCAGAGCCAGGACTCGTAAGGGAATGTTCGCCATGCCCACGATTGATCCTCGGCCCCGCCTGAGGCTTTGCGAAGGGCCGCTCAGTCCGGCGGTATGATCTCGCCGTTCATCTGTGGCAAATGCTTCGGTCTCACCTCGAGTGTTCCCAGCTCTCCGGTAAGGTAATCGACCATCATCTGGATCGCATGCTCGCGGTTGTCGGCTTCTCCAAAGTTAAGCCCCGACACAAAGGCAACCATTGGCGAGTCTGTTGGACACACAGCCTTGAGCGTCAGCAAAAGCTGTCCATATGACAGTCCAGCAACGCCGATCGTGGCATGTCATATCGTCTCGTCCCATGCCATGTCATATCGTCTCGTCCCATGCCGTGCCATATCGATTGCACATACTCTCCGGAAGCTGGGTGATCTGTTTCTGCGGCTGCAGCTTGGCACAGCACACCGAGAGCACTTCAAAGCTTCCGCCAGGAACTTCGCGACCCAGAACAGCGACCACAGTGCCTATCCATTTCAGAATTCAGCGGCCGACGCACAAGCGGCAAAGCAAGACAGAGCGAGCGAGCGTGTGTATGGCTGTCAGTAGAGTCCATCGGCATGGCTCCCTTCCAGCAGCACATGCGAACTCGAGCTCCTCAGCAGGGACATCGGCATACCCGTCACCAGGTGCTCGTCAGACAGTCTCGATCCGGTGAGATTCACTCGCCCTGACTCATCTTCGAGAGTGATCTGGTCGTCTTGGCTCACATATTTCGATCTGGCTTCGGCTGCAGTCTCCCAGCTCTATCGCCGTGGTTGTCGAGAGCCAGCGATCAGAGAATGATGGCCCCCCCGGCAAAGGTTTGGTATTTGCCGACTCGCTGATCTCCATTTTGCTAGCAAATCCACTGCTGCCCCTTGATGATGAGGCATCCTGGACCCACGAACAAGCCCGTATCTATATCAGCTCCTGACTTGCACTGCGGCTTACCTCGTCTGCGACTTCCTCAAGGACGTTGGGCTTCAGAGACATTTCAACATAGACGGTGCCGATGGCGTAGCAGATTTCACCCGCAGTGATGTCCAGCAGTTTCGGAACGTACTTGGGTGCCTGGCTTGTGCCTGGCAGAGCAGCGAATCCACAGCGAGCGGCAAAGCACAGAAAGATCAGCATCGAGCAGTCGGCCGCACAATAGGACGATGCAGGGCCGATCGCAACATATTGTGCTGGTCGTCGCAGGACGAGTCAGTCTCCGAGAGCAGCTCACCATGCAGCTTCTGCCACTTTGCCCTTGCGTTCTGAAGCACGGCGGGGCGGAGCGCATTCAGGCGGCTAAAGTACAAGCCGGCATACTGCTGCGTAAACGTTGGATCCTTGACGACGAATCGATCGTCGTGCGATGCGTACGGCAGTGTGATCCGTTCGAATGCGACGCTGTCCTCGGGCTGGTCGATCTCCATCATGGCAGCTGGGTTGACAATTGGGATCTGTCCGCCGAGCGACGCTGCAGGATCGAGGGCGGCGATGAAGGATCGAAGGTGTGGTCGAGTTTCGAGGAGCGGATGCACAGTCCGCCAAAGGGCAACTCACACTATCAATTTTTTCCGGCCCCTCGCGGCTGCTCATCTCGGTCACCTGAAAGTCACGTTGTATGTAGCGCAGCAAAAGTTGGAATCCGGCCATGGTCGATGGGAGGTGTTTGACTCCTTTGTGCAAAGTGTGTGTGTGTGACGGCGAGAGGCTTCTCGCCAGAGACTGCTCTTCTCGCCGACCGAGGTGGCTCCGAGAGCGCGTTTTTTCGTTCTCGCTCATTTTATTAACAACAATTTTTTTTCAGTGTCATTCGACCATTTTGGGAACACGATCGAGCCGCCACTCCCTCTGTATCAAGTTCGGTCACCCCGCGGCATCGCCCTCATGTGTTTAAGAGACCGCAAACGGAGATCGCTAATCGTGTTGATTCCCGAGTGCAAAATCCAACATCCTGGTTTCTCCACCAAAAGCCCAAACGCACTGGGACGAAGGCGACGGAGAGCGCTTCTCAGCAAATCAACCCTGTGCAGTCGACTTGCCGACTCGCTTGGGCATTTTCCGAGCGCTGTCGTCTTCCAGCTCGTTCGACTTGTAGTAGTGCGGTGCAACTGGGCGTCCAGCCGGCAACAGAGCCAAGCAGCCAGACAAGTTCGATCCAAACCAATAGAAAGCAAAAGTTAGCTGGCGATGCCAGAACAACGGCAACAGAACACCGACAACAGAACGATGGTGACAGAGCGACAAAAACAGAACAGCACATGCAGAGAAGTGGTCCACAGTACCTTCGAGCAGCCACTCCGGCTGGATCTCGATGACTTGTCGCATAAACTCCTTCGTCGTAAAGACCAGCTCAAAATAGACGACCCACTTGGGGGTTTCCTGGAAGAAGCTCGAGCTCGGGTGGATGAGCACCGTTTGGTTGTGCTTGATTGTCCGGTATGAATCGCCAGACTTTTGGAGCCGTGCCCTGGTGATAGGTTTTATATGGGTTGATAGGTTAGTTGGTGGCTGTTTGCATTCAGGAGCGAGCTACCCAGTAATCAATCCGTGCCAGGAGCTAATGAGGAAGGCTCACACCCATAAACCAGATACGCCGAGGAAGGAGACAGCCCCAACTTACGTGTTGTAGAAGAAGCCGGACGTGATCGCCTTGCGGATCGGCACGGTGTTGCCAGGATCGGCGTTCGCCACCATCTCGACCTCGGTTCGCTCCATCAAGCCAACGAGCTGGTCGCGTACGTCTCGCGCACGCTTCATTGACTTGTGCTGGATAAAGTTTTCGTAGCACCACTGGATGGAATAGTTTGTCTCAACCCACTGGTGGGAGGATTGGCGAGAAGAGGTCGTGGCTTGCGGTCAGCGCATGATCAAAGGTGGGCCTCCAGAGACATGCAGCGACATCGTCGATCCAGGGAGAGCACTGGTATTTGACATTTGGACACAGCGCCAGCTGCGCGGGACATCGAGACGATGCACAGCGCAGGCCACCGACACTTACCGCATTCCAGACAGCCAACAGAGTGAGGTGGTCGCCTCCAGGACGGAAAAAGTTCTTGCGCGCCTGGTCTGCATGGACGGCCTTGTCCTTGGGTCGGTAAAAGATGGAGTTCTGCACGCTGAGCATGGCAATGACGGAGACGATCTGGATGCGGATGTGCCGGTAGCAAGTCAGTATCTGCAGGCCAACCTTCAAGCGCATTGTGCCGATGGATACTCACGTCCTCTGTGCAGCCGTATTTTTCGGCCGCAATCATGGTCTTGCTCATCATGGGGTCCAGCGGGAACTCGGCCATGCGGCGACCCAACTTCGTCAACTCTCCACGGTTGTTGAGGGCTCCGAGAGCATAGAGCTGCTCGAGCGCTCGCTTGAGGGTCTCGGCCGGGGGCGCATCCATGAAATCAAAGTTCATCAAGTCGTTGATGCCGAGCGACTAAGACCGCCGGGCAAATGCAACAAAGGTGCGAGGCGCATGAGTGAGACTCCGGACTAAACCGTCGCGTCGAGAGGGTGGGTGAGCGAGCCAGTGGACCCTATGTCCGTGCCGTGTAGGGCAAGCAACCCACCTTGAGCATCAGGACAACATTGCCGAGGTTCGTGCGCTGAATCTCGGGGGTTGTATTTGCCTCCAGCTCGTTCATGTACGCCCACTTGGTGAACAACCGGAAGCATTTGCCTGGGCCCACACGGCCAGCACGGCCCATTCTCTGGTTCGCAGAGGCTCGCGATACCTGAGGGAGGGAGAAGTGGGGCAGAATGAGTCCGAATGTGAGCAACCATGCGATTCGATGCCAAGGCCAACCAATCAGCCCTGAAACCAGTTGACTCCGAGCCGGTTTGCTACCAGCGTTGCGGTTGATGCGGTCGCTGCATCGCCCGCCTGGCAGTCATGCATGGCTTTCTTACCGGCACCACAACCAGCGACTCCATTCCAGTGCGCGGATTGTAGCTCTTCTGCTTGCAAAAGCCCGGATCGATCACGTATACGATGCCGTCGATGGTGATAGAAGTCTCGGCAATGTTGGTTGCCAGCACCACCTAGGAAGGGATCAGAGTCAGTCATAGGCCACCTCCCACCAGCGCAATTCTTTTGGCACGGATTGTCCCCCCCCCAGACAAGTACCTACCTTGCGCGCACCCTCCGGAGTGGGCTCAAAGATCTTGGCCTGCATATCCGACGGCAGGGACGAGTAGATGGGACATATTATGAGCTCCTTGATCTTGTTGCCAAGGTTGCGACAGATTTGCTCCAGACTCTCCTTGACTGTGTCGATTTCGTCCTGGCCCTGTAGCAAAGCGTCCAAGAAGGAAATCGTCAGGATGTGTTGGTCGCCGCGTAGGTATGGCACTGGTGCTTGACCCACGGGATGAACCACACTCGGTATCCGAGACATCTCAGACATCCCAAACATCCCAAATATTCCAAACATCCCAAACATCCCAGACACCCAAACATCCCAAACATCCCAGACACCCAGACTCCCCAGGCAGCGTATCCCGCCAGACTGCCGCGCCAACATACCGTCATGAAGAGCAAGATATCGCCGCGGTCCTGGGTGACGTGGATGGTCATGATCTGGGTGATTGCCGCCGCCATATAGTTGGCCTCTGGAGCGGCAGTGTGATAGACCTCGACAGGGTATCGTCTGCCCGGAATGTTGAGGATAGGGGCATCGTCAAAGTACTCGGAAAACTTTTCGGCATCCATGGTGGCACTCGAGATCAGCAGTTTGAGCTCGGGGCGGAAGCGTGCAATGTCTTTGACCAGGCCAAAGAGGATGTCGGTGTGCAGCGTGCGTTCGTGAGCCTCGTCGATGATCAGACAGCTGTAGCTCTCAAGATCGGGCTCGGTCAGGAATTCGCGCAATAGCATGCCGTCCGTCATGTACTTGAGGATGGTCTTGTCCGAAGTGACGTCCTCAAAGCGGATCGAGTAGCCGACCTCGTGGCCCACCTTGGTTCCCATCTCCTCGGCAACGCGCGCTGCCACACTCATGGCAGCGACACGGCGGGGCTGCGTGCAGCCAATCCGCTTGCCGCCCTTGGTGTATCCGGCCTCGTGCAGATATTGAGGAATTTGGGTCGTCTTGCCACTGCCCGTCTCTCCGACGATGATGAGCACCTGATATTCAGCGACAGCCTCAAGAAACATGTCGCGATACTGATACACAGGCAGCGACTGGCGGACTTGCTGAATGGACATGGCTGCAGATCGTCGAAGCCGTTGCCGTGGAGGTTTCGTGCCGGCGAGTCCATAGGCAGATGCAGACGGTTAGCTCGTGTCCATCCACAGCGAAGGCGGCTCGTCGCACGCGCCTGATTTGCTGCGAGCCAGGCATCCGCCCGACCGAGTATCGCAGTCTGAGCGGCAGCTTACCTTTCCGCTCAGCCTCGGATATCTGTGCTTCTTCTGCAGAAAGCGTCGCGTCGTTCTGCAGCGCGGCCTCGGCAATAAACTCAATCCGCTCCTCCTCGTCAAAGACATAGTCGTAGCTGATCTCTTCCTTCTTGTGACCATATCTAGAGCCCGCTTGGATGGTGGCGTGCCGAATCTGCGATCCAGAGCGCAGTAGGTGAGCCAGAGAAGCCAAATTATCGTGCCCACGATATCGCAATGGCGGATAATATCAACGCAATAGCAGTAAGGCACAGTGCGCAGAGGAGCGAGTGGCTGACCTGTTGCGCCTCGATCTGGTCTTGTTCCGACACAAACGCAGAGGGATCGGTTTCTTCGTATCGGCCATAGAGGACCGACTCCTGCTTAGCCTTGTCCAGCTTGCCCTTCTCGGTGATGTAGTCCTCGGGCATCTGGTGTCCGGGACAGGCAAACAGTCAACATTAACTGCTCAATAGAACACCAAGCACCAAGTACCAGCATGAGCACTGCATCTCGACAATACATCACCCATGCGCGAGATCGCAACTCACCTGATATCCTTCATACTTGTCGCTGATGCCCCGGCGCTCCTTTGCAATCTCTAGAATCTTTTTCTTGTACTCGAGCTCGTTCTTCTCGCGCTTGGTGAGCTTCTCGGACGAGAACATGGTCTCCATGTCCCGAACCTCCTGCTCGAGCAGGAGAAGCTGCTGCTCCTCACGCTTGCCAACGTACTTTTGGCGGGACGTGACTCGAAGATCCTCAACGATCCGGCGACGGGACTCTTTGTTCTCGGCCAGCGCTCGCCGGGCTTGGGCTTCGGTTTCGGCTTTGGATGATCTGTCCTCGACGAGCTGCTTGAGCCAACCCACAAGCAGAAACAAGCAGCGAGGAGAGTTTGCCTGGTTAGCGGTGCTCATAGTCCGATGGCCATGGACGGCGCGAATGGCACACTTGTCTCAAAATGTATGAGATTGGACGTCCTCCCCGGCCCACACCTGCGACCCTGCAGATGGCGGCTATTACCTTCTTGGTCTTTTCTTGGTCGCGATCTCTGATTCTGGCCACCAGCTCATCTCGCTCCTGGATATCCCTCAGCCGCTCTTGTTCCTCCGCATCCTGTTCGTCTGTGGCGAGTTGCGATCGGGTGTCAGCGCAGCGAGGAAGCGTCCATTTACTGTCGGCAGAACTGACGGCGGCAGTCTGCAGGCCATCGAGGGGAGCGGGATCACGGCCTTCGCTATGGAGATCAGGTATTGACCGCCGCTGCCTCGATGAGCATCTCAAAATCGACACGCCTACCTTCCGGATGATCTTTGCGGTAGAGCTGCTGGAGTTCAGCTCGCCTGTGGTTCCGCTCTTCGATTTCTTCGGGATTGACGTCCCACTCGTCGTCCTGATCCTCCTGCTTCCGGAACCGCTTTGTCTTGGATGAGCTGTCGCCCTGCGATGAGGTCGCTGGGGCCGTATCCTCTTTCTTCTTCCGCTTGGAGGATGAGGGCGAGTCCGATGTCTTGGCCGAAGCCTGATCCCTGGCCGGATCGCTGCTGCTGTCGTCTGGATCCAGCAGCAGCCCAAACGTCTTGTTCTTGCTGAGAAGGGCGATCTTGTCCCGCTCGTCCTGCTTTCGCTTCTGGGTCTGCAGCTTCGTGGCGCTGACGGACGCAGCCAAAGCCGAGCGAGGAATCTTGCCAAAGAGCTCGTTTACAAACTGTCGGGACTCGCCTGTCTCGGGTAGATCGGCTGTGGTCGTCAGCGTCGACAGGAGCTGCTGTGGTGATTTTGCCTTCTTGCCCAGCGCGATGACGTAGTCGACGAGGGTGGACTCGGAGAGCCCGAGAAGCTTGTAGATGCTGTCGGCGACCCAGGTGCGCAGAGCGAAATCCGACATGCTAGCGTGCGACCAGTGGGATGATACTGATGGCGGTGAGATGGGCAGCGACCGTGAGTGCTGGTGCTGGTGCTGGTGCTGGTGCTGGTGCGGGGCTGAGGTGGTCGAGCGGATCGATTGTTCAGCGTTGCCGATGAGTGCGGTCTGCCGTCGTGGAGAGCAATGCTCCAGCTGCGAAAATGACGGTGTCGAGTGGGGCAAGGATCGTCGGAGATCGGACCAGATCTGATCAGAGCAGAACCGGCAAACTCGAGGACGCATCCGCGACCGGCCACAAAACCTGCTGGGCCGCCATTGGGCAGCATGCGATGCTGGCCTTCTGCAGCATGTGCATTGCGATGGTGAAGCACTGTGGTGGCATGCTGTATCTTGCTCCGTCTCACGATATACGATCCGGACCCAGCAGCGCACTCTGTATGGTCGATGCAATGTGATGCATAAACGACAATTGGACACATCACTTTGCTCGGACACATGGATCGTGTGCCATCAGCGACCAAGTGAGTGAAACCATATCCCTGTATCCATCCCATGGGAACAGGGCGAGCGCCGTTCGGTGCCATTCAGCCAGACTGCCGGTCAATGTCCTTCAATCCACGCAATCCATCCGTGTGCTGAAGTGCCTCGATTCAAAATGGGTACACTGCATGTATTCATGAGAAAGGAAAAAACAAGTGACCATCGGCCCCCAAGACAGCGCGGCTCGCTTCATTTTGCAGGCGCTGCAATACGAGGGCGACAGACGATGCGCGGATGAGGGGGTGCACTGAGGCCGCTTCTCCGACAAGAGTGTCTGTCCCTGGAACAGCAGGGAACGTACTCGGCGACCGGCACCTCCGGCTCTTCTGAGAGATGGTCGCGACCTGCCGACAGCCCGTAAGGTGGCTGACGATTGCTCACGCTTCGGTTTCACCGTCTGAGCCATTGATGCAGTCGTCGAAATCCATGCTGAGAGCCTCCTCAAAGGTCAGCAGCCCCGTCGAGACGTGGTCGAGCTTGGCCTTGAAGTTTTCATAGCCAAGGTCGATTCCGATGGCGCTGTCGGAGGCGAGGACTCTGCGGATAGCACGGGCCCACAGCTCGTCGCCATCGACACACTCGAGCACCGCAGCGGTCGAGATGCTGCCGCTGTTGATGCCCTTGCCCATGAGCTGGTCAAGGCCGAGCCAATAGTTCTGGTGAGTGCCGGCATCGCGCTCGTCGTCCAGGCCCTGGATGATGCAAATGTCGAGACCGGCGTGGGTCTTGATGATGTAGAGAATCTCGGCCAGGTCGTCAAAGGCGGCGTAGCTGGCAGCAAAGTACTGGACCGACTGCAGGGTGCCGAGCAGCGAGCGGATGCGGCCATGCGTGTTGGATTCGTCCGTCAGCTTGAGCCACTTGAGCGATGACCCGTGCTCAAGAAAGTCACCCAAGGGGCCGTCGTAGTGCTCGATGCGCTGAACCAGAGCCTGCAAGGCCTCAGAGTGAGCAAAGGAGAGCGAGTTGATGTGCCCGTTAATCTTGAGGCTGGACAGCGCGTAGCACTGGCTCTGGACGGACTCGACGACGACATCGAGAATCTCCGAGTTGATCTCGAGAGCACTGAGCTGGCCCAGGTCCTGGAAGAAGGCGGCGACTTCCTCTGGAGAAGCCGCGGACCACTTGCCGACGGCAAGGTAAGTCAGCTGCGAGCCGTGGCGCCGGATCCACGGCAGGATCGGCGAGAGCTCGCTCAGTGACGGGAGCCAGAGCAACTTGAGCGTATCGCCACACAGGTCCAAGAGCGCTCGGACACTCTGGTCCAGCTCATCGAGCCCGCGCAGATCCAGGCTGGTGAGGTGGTGCAGATTGCCGTACTCGCCCAGCAGCCCGATGGCGCTGTCGAGGGTGGCGGCTTGGGCCACACCCACACGAGGGAACTTGATATGCTCGAGCTTGTTGAGCAGCGACGGATTCAGCAGACATGTGAGGATGTCCGAGGCGTCGCGGCTGTCGTAGTCGACCAGGGGCAGGTCCAGCTGCAGCCGCGAGAGATTGGGCAGCAGCGGCAGGAACGATGCGAGGGTGGATGTGTCAATGACATCGTCGACTTCGGAGAGGGCATTGTTGCGGATGGTGATGGCCGAGATGAACTCGGGGTACTCGAACATGGCATCGACGCCGATTTCGCCCATGAGCGACGACTCGACGATGGTCTTGAGCTCGCTGGCCATCAGCGACGACGAGATGGTTGGCGAGCTCCAGAGCAGTGGGACCGCCACCTGGGCCCATGACTTGCTGACGGTGGCCAACTGGAAGAGCAGCTCCAGATCCAGGTCGAGATTGAGCCAGGGCACGGGGACACCGATGGGGACGTAGTGAGATGCCGATGACGAGGTGGGCGAGGCCACGAGCACGAATATCCGCTGCAGGACATCTGGGGGCAGGTCCCGGATGCTGGTGCCCGAGGGACTTGCCAGGGACTTGCGATATTCGCGATACCTGTCGGCAGCGACTTTGATGCCGTAGATGACCGAGAGGGTGATGGTTGTGATGACGACCATGGAGGCGAGAGAGGGCCGTGGTTTGATGAATGGGCAGATGGATTGGCCGAGGCGAGCCCAGACTGGGGAGGATTGTCGAGGCTTTGTGGGTGCGATGCGCCGCTGCTAGCTGAGAGCCGATGGCCAAAGAATATGGGCAACCGAGGATGAATGCGAGGGATCGGCTATGGACTGAAGTTGGCGATGGACGATGGACGGTGGACGGTGGACGATGAATCAGAGGGGAGATGGAAGAGTGGATGTGGGGTGAAGAGCCGGATTGCGGGTCTCAGGAGACAGGGGCGGCACAGAGACACAGTCGGCGGCAGTAACAAACGTGCAGCACGCCCGCCCCACACAGACTGCAGGTGGCGCTGCGTGGCGTCGCGCACGGCGCCCAAACAGGAAAGACCGCGCGGGCGCGCCGGGCACAGAGCGCGTCGTCATGCGCTGCGCACGTGGCTGGCCAGCCACCGGCCGGCTCTTTCGGTCCAGCACCCCGTGCCATGTCGTCGTGTACACTTTATTCAGAAAAAAACGGGACACCACAGCCGTTTCCATGAACATGTAGTATGTGCTGTGCTTGCGTCAAGCAAAGCCACAAGAAATAAAACAGATCACTTTGGCAGCCTCCGAGTGAAGACCGCCGGTCGCTCTCCGATCTCCACAATCGACCTGCATACTGTGATCATGTTGCGCGCCGCATTGACGTCGCGATTCCACACTGTCCGGCAGCTGGGATTCTTGCAGCTCCTGACAAAGTGGGAATTCGCAACACTGGGCGCATCGAGTCCTTCCAACCGAACTGACTCCAGGCACTTGGAGCACACTTGCGAGGTGTTGAACTCGTTCGTCGAGGCCACCTTGACGCTTCCGTGATGGTGATTGGGACGGCGTCGGTGGTGCTCGAACTGCTCAAAGTACTGAGCAAATCGCTGCCTCCGAGGGCTGGATGCATAGCCCTTGCCTTGCCGCCATGAGGCATTGCCAAAGGCGATCACCACATCGGTCCGTATCGGGGCGTGCTTCAGGACGGCCTTGCACATCCTGTCGACGGCCACTTGGCGCCTCTTGTGGCCCGTGAATCGATGGTGACGAGCCTTCTTGCCAAGGTGGAAGTCGAGCTGCACTCGCAGCTCCGGTCGCAGGACATGGGTGAGATGAGCCTTGAAAGCCTCCGAGGACGACACCTTGGGCGAGGGGGTGGTTGACATCCAGGTCTCGATGCTGAGTCGATACTTCATGGTGTTGTGCCACCTTGTGTTGGACGTATGGCCACACATGTGCTGGTAGTGACCATTGGAGAATGAGACCACCTCGTCTTGGTGGCCCGGTGCTTGGATGACCGCCGTGAAGATGGAGCCGACTCCAGGATCGATGCCAATCCAAGTGGTCTTGTCGGGGTCTGGGTTGCCGATGTGGGCCTGGATGCGCTGCTCGGCAGTCGGAGGAGGCTCGGAGGTCTCGGTGCGATCGGTTCGACGCACAAACTTGACGAGGCCGATGGTGCATCCAATGCCATCGGTGCTGATCTCGTAGTTGAACAGCTTGTGATTGATATCCCGGTCACGGAAGAGGGAGCTACGCAGCTTGAAGCAACTGCGCCAGAGACGATCCTGGTTGTTGATGCCGTCCTCACCTTGTTCCTTGAGCTTGTCCCTGGTGAGGCCAAGGCGCTTCTTTGGACCCAGGAGCTCCCAGAGTGCGACGGTGTCAATCTTGACATACTTGGCCGTGGCAGTGCATAGAGGAACTATCGTGCACACGGCCGGAGGAGTGTCCAGAGCGAGCTACTTGAGGGCCCAGTTGATCCTGGATGCCAGCTTGTTGATCTTGGACTTGGTGGTGCCGAGCTCAGACTTGGCCGTGGTGAACCTCTTGTCGTCGGAGGGAATGCCTTGGGTAGTGAGCTCGTCCAGCTTGGCCTGGCGCTGCAGCTCGGTGACTCGGAGGGCGGGCATGTCACAGTCGATCCACTTGTGGACATTGTCGACCATCTTGTCTCGGGCGAGGATTCTCACATGGTGTGAGAGGCGGTGGAGGGCCCGGAAGCGGTCCTGGTCGTTGCTGTACCGAAACTCGTCCAGGACGTGGCCAAAGTCCGGGTAGAGGAACTCGAGATCGGCCTTGGGTGGAGTCTGCCCTGGTTTCTCGAAGAGCTCGAGACAGGCCTCGATGGCTTCGTGCTTATGCTTGTTGGCTGGGAAGACGGCAGCGCAGAAGCGGCGAAGGAGTCGCCAGTAGGCCAGGTCGAGGTGGGTGGTGCAGTTGGTGGCATAGGCATTGACAGCCAGGGTGAGAAGCTGACTGTGAGCACCATCAGGCAGACGAGGGGCCGGAGGCAGGTCTGCATGTCGAGTGGTCTGGTAGTCGCGAAAGGAAGCGACCAGATGCTCGTTGTATTTCTCATTGTCCCCGGTCGGGGAGAGGGCACCGTCCTGGACGATCTTGAAGCATTGGCGGATGAAAGCAGGGGTGGACTTGGAGATGACGGGGATGGGAAGATCCTGCTCGATGCACCGGAGGATGTGCAGGTTGAGCAGCCTGGATGCCTCGAACTGGATCTGGGTCATGGCCTCGACGGTGGCCTGGATCTTGTCGCGGAGAGCGGGATTGAGACAACAGCCATCCATCGTCTGCTTGAAGCAGCTGAACTGAGGGGCGGATGACCTTCCATCCACGAGTGGGACGACAGAGCTCTTGAGGGGCCGGTATTTGGGACATTTGCTAGTGTTGCTTCGCTCGTGATCGGTGCCATCGCACTGGCGACATCGCTTGCCGGTACTCGAGGAAGTGGATGGACCAGGCTCGGTGGGATCGACATCCATTGGATCTGCAGAAGCAGTGGTGGTGAGCGACGGAGCAACAGAGGAACAAGCATGCGTGGGGTCAGAATACGAACCAGAGACAGGCTCCGACTGTGACTTGGCTTTCTTGGGCCTGGGTGGCCGAGGCTGGCCATCACCGGTACCCTTACGCTTCGGAGGCATGGGGGCAGAGAATGCTGGATGCCTGCCAGTGGTACTGGTCAGAGCAGAGACTTTTTTATCGTACAATAGCGCGAATGATCAGATCAAGGCGAGATGAGGGAAGAAAGCAGCAGGACGAAGGTGTGGCATTTATACCCGAGAGCAGGAGCCCGTCTGTGCGGGCTGGTTGGGGAAGTGACCCTGTTCAAAAATCGCCGAGAGGTTCAAGCCAGGGATGTGAACGTGAAAATGGCGGCGTGATTGGGGAGCTCAACCCCAAATTGGAGGAACTCAACCCCAAATCGGTGGGGACTCAATCCCAAAGAAGTTCTCGATGGGATTGAAGTCGGGCGAGGCAGGTGGGGTGAAGATCACTGACCATCCTCGGCGCTCGATGCAGTCCAGGACAGCCATTGTCTCGTGCATGCTGACATTGTCCATCACAACCACAGAGTCGTCTGGGAAGCTCGCTCGCTCAAAGAACTCGACCATCGAGTGTGTCTTGAATGATGTGGGGATGTACATGCGATGCAGCACACCAGAGTGGTTGATTGCAAATGCAGCCGAGACAGACTTGTGTTTCATGTGATTGCGCTGGCGAAGCGGAGCACCCTTCGGTGAGTATCCGTAAAGAGGAAAAATGGATCTCCTGATCCCCGTCTCATCGACAAAAACGAATCGTCGTGGGTCGATGGAGCGGACCTGGTCCCTGAACTGTGCCACTCGCTCATCCAGTCGCTTGGACTTGTAGAGGTGTGTTGCTCTCTTGTGTGAGACCTGCTCGCTGGATGGCAGTGTGGCAGAGTGAGAGTGATACTTTCCTCTGGAGGATGGACTCGAGCTTGCATCGCAACACAGGACCAGTCTGGAACGGGTCCTGTTCAATCAGGGTGCGAATGACTGGACATGCCTGCTCGAAGAAAGTGGATCTGCGAGCTGGGACTCTGGGTGGGTCATCCAGCTTGCATCCTCGGTGCCATCGATGGATGGTGCTCTTGGATACACTGAATATGGAGGCGACCTTACGCAGGCTATGGATGAGGGCGTAGCATCGCAATGCGGCGGTGCGAAAGTCGGATGTGTGGCGAATGGTCATGGCCAGCGCGCGATAACATTGGGTAACAAAATATTCGATGAATGGTCAAAAACCCGGGTGTCCCGTTTTTTATTGGATCGCCCGTAAACACATACGGCCATGATTCTCAGGCCGGCCATCGGATCTATTGCTTGAACCACTTGGGCCGCCAGTCCTTGCGCGAGGATCCGTCCCCCAGAGATGTCTGCGAGCCGCCCTGTGAGCCGCCCTGTCTGCGCTGCCTGGCAGCTTCGTCGCCATGGCGGTCGTCCTGATCATCATCTTCTGGCGACGCCGCCACACCAACCGAGTCCACCTGCATCGCTGAGGCACTGCTTCCTGCGCCGACTCTGGGCTCATCGGGCAGCGGGAAAGGCTCCATCCTGGCGAGATAGTCGGCGGATAGATAGGGGCCGTCTGCGCAGCCGTTGAGGTTCACGGGTCAATCATAGAGACACTCGGGTCAGCAACATCATCAAGGCAGTTCGGAGTGTGGTCGGACCGAGCGCTTGGCAATCATCAACGCCCAGCTGGCATGATCTGTTGGCATCCGACTCAATGCGCTCTTACCAGAGGGCCCGTCGGTCCAGTGGAAGTGTACGATGCTGGCTGGGGAGAGTTGCGCTGTCCAGAAAGTCTCGCTTGGGCTCAAGTTCCGGTGGGGAGGTGTCGCCACGAGATGGAATGCCCGACCGGACACTGCGAGGGCGGCCTCCAGGACCTTGAAGAGTTCCGAAACCGGCTCCACAGAGCGGAAGGTTGCCTGGAGGATGCTGCGGTCCATGAAGCGCACACGCACCAAGGTCTGCCATACCGGCTGCTGGTTAGCTTCTGGGCAGGTCGAGCGACACGCTTGTCCATCTGCACTCGCATTGAGCAGATCAATGCGATCCGGAGCGCATCAGCCCCTCTTTCAGTCAGCAGGTGAAAGGTCGGCACACGCACCTTTGGGTATTTTTGCATCTTGGCCTCCATCTCTTTCTCCCGGATGTATCGGGTTTTGAGCGGGGCGTTTTCGTGCTCCTGGCGATGCTGCTTGGCCGAATCGTAGATTTGCTTCAGCTCGACAGAGGTCAGCGTGAAGAACGAGTCGGGAAGATCGACTGGCGGCACGACACGGCGAACGAGGGTTAATATGACGGGTGCGGGCGAAGGATGCAATATGCACGCATTTGAGATGCGCCAGAGCTCTGTGGTTCGCCATCACAAGCCTGCCACAGCAAGCAGATGCCCTGGCACCCCAGATCTTCTCTCGTTTCCTGCAGCCTGCTTACTCTTGGCATGGCTCGTGTAGCCTTCCGGAGGTGGGGCGAAAACCTTGATATCTCGGTTAAACACCGCAGGCTTGTCCTCAACAGCTGCCTGTGAAGATGGGATTGTACCATCGCAGTCAGCACTGTGTCCCGCCCGCCAATACACCGGGTTGCAAAAATGTGGGTACCTCAGTCATGTCCGTGTCGAGCGGCTGGTCAGCGACTTGGAGCTCAGTCGGCGGCTGGGCTGCGGCAACGGGGTGCTGCTGTGGAATAACAGCCTGCTGCTCCACCGACGATGCGGCGTTGACTGGCTGGGTGGCCAGAGTCGGAGACGGCAGGGCTGCTGCGGGTGCTGATTCGACAGCGGGAGGGGCCTCGGACACCGATGCGTTCTCGGAAGCAAGATTCGCCATCGGACCACCAGCAGCAACTGGTGCAGTAGCGGGGGCAGCAGCGGGTGCCGTGGCGACAATCTCCTGGAGCGCACTCTCCAGAGTTTGCTGCGTGTACTTGAACAGCACACGGATGACGGTGTTGCCAGAGGAGATTCCGGCGCTCAGCAGAGTTGTGTTTTGGAGCGCCGCGATCGTTGAAAACTGTGGTTGAGATCCAACTTGTTCAGCATATACCCGAACCGTTCAGCATATACCCGAGCCGTTCAGCACAAGGCCCGAGATCCAGGTACGGGATACTTCGCACTGATGGCTCGATCGAGCCAATGCACGCCGGCAGCGACGGAAACTGGCGCTCGACATACCTCCTGGTTCATCAGAATGCAAACCGGGATCATGTAGACAGGGGTTTTCTTGCGGATATCGATCCCAAAGAAGCCAGATTTTTCGGGTGTCGGGATACCTGTCCGGGTCGTCAGCACCAGCGAGCTGGATGGCCGGGATTGTGCACGTTACTGGCCATGTCGGACACCACCGGAGCAGTCGACATAATAGCTGGCTGGACTAGAGTGCTGGGCAGGTCTGTTGCCTCTCTGCAGCTCAAGCTCGCGCCTGGAGCCACTTACCCTCCAGACTTGCTCTCAAAGTGCGAGAGGATATCCCAAAGCGTCGTGGACAGCGTAAACTTGCCGACCAGGCGGCTGCCGTCGTCGAGCTGGAGAGCGATTGTCACTTCGGAAGCTGAAGATGGAGGGAGACGGCGGTGTCAGCAACGCCAATGCAGCATCATTCGTTTTCTTGCCCAAGAGTGACAGCGATGTGAATGCGCCCAACATGCAAGGTCATCGCTGGTCGAGGTGGAGGGGGCAGCTCCAGACGGAAGCCTGTGCCTCGTCCTATCAGCAAGATCACCCCGAGCACACACTTACTCGGCAGCGGCCGGGCGTTGGTCGAGGACGCAACCAGAGACAGCTTGGCGGAAGCAGGGAGGTTGGCGAACCGGACCGACAACGAGGGATCGAGGATCTTCTTGTTGTATTTGAGGGCAAACTGCTCCTCGCTCAAGCCAAACTGCTGGCAGGCCTGCGACAGGATCGACCGGACCGACATGGCGGGGGTGGTCTTGACTGTGAGCTTGCGAAACTCGTGCTCGACAATGACGCTGGAGGACATGGATGCAGGTGCAGGCGATCGGGAGAGACGGATGCGACGATGACGGCGATGATGGTGATGGCGATGGTGGAGCCGGCGGTGCGATTGGCGATGGTGGCAGGACCAGCACCATGGATCGGCTGGAGCCGGATCGAGGGCACGCCAGGGTGTGCGACCAGGGTCGCAGGCGAGGACCAGCGAGGTGCTTCTCGGCGACGCTCTCGCTGGGCAGTCGCTCTCGCTCGGATGTCTGTTGTTTGTGTGCGCGCAAGAAGCCTTGCTTGTCCAAATGCCGCAATCGCAACATTGCATCGATCATCACCAGCATCTGAAGCATTGTCTCCTGCATCGCCTTTGGATATATCGATCATGTCCAGCAGCTCGCCCAAGGCGGCCCTGTCCCATGCACACAGCTACCTGCCGTTGGCCCTTCTCGCCGGTCTCTGCGGCGCCCTGGCCTCGGTGTCGGCCAAGCTGGCATCGCTGTCGTCGCCGACATCGTCACTCGTCCACTCGGCCCTCTGTCTGGCCTTCAACACCGCCAAAGCATGTGCCCAGGATGGATCCGAGGGCCTCGTTTACTACATCGATCTGGAGCGAGCCCTGCGACTGCTCTCGGGCGCCTCGGTGCTGCTCTGGAACGCCCTCATGTGGATGTCCTTCACCAAGGCCCTATGCCTGTCGTCGTCGTCGGTACAGGCCACCGTGGCCTCGACTGCCGCCAACCTGTGCGGATCGGTAAGACAGCATTCCCTCGTCTGCGCTCGCCTCATCGTCTGCGCCGCATTTCTCTGGCCAGTTCGTCTCACACCCGGCCCTCTGGCTTCTTCCACACAGGCGGTTGTTGGGCAGATCCTCTTTCGCGACTCGCTATCGCTCCAGTGGTGGTGCGGCGCCTCGCTGGTTGTTGTTGGGACGATGCTAATGAGCCACGGCCAAGCCAAGAAACTCAAGTCGGACTGAGGACTCGGGCTCGAAACAACGGTCGCCACATGCGGGCATGCTGGGAATCCCCTTGGGGCTACTGCATGATGCCGCGGATCCGAGACAGCATCAGTTGGACAGTGGACTGTATCTCGTTCCCACGGAGGCTCGAACAATGTCACGGTCCTCGGCGATTTTCTGGGGACCAACTGGTCTCATTCCGCAGTGTATATCTATTTCCTTGTTTCTTTCCTCCATTCTCGCTTTCGGGCCATAGGTTGTGGGCGGGAGCTTTGGCAAGCCGACACACTCTCTGGTGAATGGCACACGCCCTGTTGCTCTGAGGAAGCAGCGTCTCAATATCCCACGATCGATTCCGATGGGTTTGGAGGTTGCAGTCACTCCGTGACCGAGGCATCCGACTCCACTTGCGCTGCGGTCGGGTCTGAGTGCAGTCGGTATCGCAGTCGGTATCGCAGTCGGTATCGCAGAGGCCACGGGCGATGGCGATGGCGATGGCGATGGCGATGGCGATCCATTCAGTGGGGTATTCGATACGTGACGCAGCATTCATGTTGATGTTTGCCGCCACAATCGGGAGTGAAAAATGGGAGTGGAGGCGGAGTGGTACGAGACAGTGTCAGCACTCAGGGCAGCTCAGTTGTTTTCCAGCAGCGAGGGCAGCAGACGCACCGCCGATAGAGTCTGCGACCGAGCCTCACTTGTCCCAGGGGTAGTTGATAAAGACTGTAGTTTGGCCAACTCGCCGCAGAGCCCCACCTTCGGCCGGAGGCGGCACTATCCTTCGAACCACCACCGAGTCCTCCGAATCGTATTCTGTGGGCTCCATCAGCAGCGCGACCCGCTTTGCGCTTGACCCAAACAGCGTATGGCTGCCCTTGTTGATGGAGAGGCCTTCGGCTGCTGTTGAAAGCAAATCGTCGTCCTCTTCCTCGTTCACGCGCACGAGTCGGCTGAAGCGGTTGAAGAGCCCGCCCGGCGGTCGTCCGCCTGCGGGCGTGGGAGCAGGTGAGCTCTGTTCGGATGAGCTTGTGACAGGCGGCTTGGATTTGCCTGGCAGGACACTCTGGAGTGCCGAGAGTGTTCTGAGCTTGCTCTTATCCTTCCGGATCGACGAGTCCTTGGTGCGCAGAAACGACGGACTTCCGAGTCCGAGGCGATGCTTCTTGGGGCTTGCGGCGGCGTCTGCTGTATCTGAGGCAAGGAATGCATAGAGAAAGCCGCAGTTGTCGATCAGTGCGGCTGGTCCGCAGAGTTCATGCATGTTGCTGCATATCCTTTGGTGGAGTGAAGAGCCCAGTATCAATGGGCTGCATGCATCTGCCCGATCAATGTAGGGCTGCGCCTACCTTTCGGGGCAGCTTGCTTGGACAGTACATCCCACTGAGGGTCGCACACAACACTAGTGAGTCCGAGCGACTTGAGGGTCTCTGAGTGGATACGTGGAGGACGGAAGAGAATAGAATGGAGTGAGTGGGGCGGAAAAGGGTGTAACAGAATGGGTCAGAGCGAACGAAGTGTGCTTTGGCGAGAATGAGCTCGCTCGGAGGCACGCCGTTTGCGATTGACGACATTTGATCGGCCAGTGTGCTCCCGATCGAAGGGCCAGGCTCATACCCATGCTTCGGTATTCGAACGTCACTGCCAGCATCGGCGAGTCGTCGAGGTTTTCAAAGTATATGCTCTTGGCAGGAACCGACGCGCGATTGACGATATCACCGAGCCTGGCCCGACAACGAGAGCGTCGCTCAGGTTAACAATACCGACGACGATGCTGCTGTCGCTGACCAGCCAGTGCCGCTCGTCCGGACGCATTCCATTCGTGCCGTAGGCGCCCTCGGCACTTGCAGCAGCAGCGCTGGATGCGCAACGAAGCACCCACTTGGTCAGATGGCTGATTTGCGAGGCGCTCTGGACGAGCTTGGGAACAATGCGGCTGTCCTCGTCCACTTCCATGCACGGCGCGCCGTCGACAGTTTTGGTGACCATGATCCGGTAAAACTCGACCCGGATCGTTCCAAAGGCGCTCAGATCCTGCAGTCCCTCGCTGACGTCGAGCATGTGTGCGTCTCCATCGAGGTCTCGCTGGCGGCGGTCGCGAGCATCGGGATCAGCATGCGGATGGGCCACCCGGCGAAGCCGAGCAATGTCCTCCAGCTCCTGCGGGCTTGAGAAGAAAAACGGCTGGATTTTCCTGCCCTCGGTCGTGACGGCCCGGCCCTCGATCGTGACGTGCTCAAGGAGCGGCAGGTGCGAGCGGTTGTGTAGGACGCCGTCGACAAAGGTGTGGATGGCGATGCTGCTGTCGCTGCTGGTTTCGTAGGAGAGATTGGCGGCCTTGACGATGAACCGGACGTTGGTCTCGGACGGAATGTAGACGGTGACGGTCTTGGAGGCCTCGACCGAGTCGTCCACGACGGGGCTGTATTCGGGCAGAGGAGCCCCCGTGGCCTGGACGGCGGTGTGGATGAAGACCGAAAACTGGCCGAGCCTGGGCATCGTGGGCGGTGGAGCAGTGCCGAGAGAGGCCGAGGACGCAAGGAATGCAGGACCCACCGAGATGGAGGATAAGGGTTGCCCGGACGACGCTGGCCATCCCCACAGCAACCTCATGACGGGGCCTGCCGGGGGTGGTGTGGTGCCCGCGCAACTCCCGACCGGGGGGATTGGCCGGCAGCGGTTCGCGGAAGTCTCCCGCCAGATTGTGTCGATGGCAGACATTTGCACCAACGAACAGATTACCGCCGGGACAGGTCGGCCGGAAATGTGATATCGGCCACCATCGAGCTGATCAAGTATATCAAGTAGATTGAGTTGATCGAATAGATTGAGTTGATCAAATGGATTGAATTGATCGACTTGATACTGGCCTATTGACATCCCGACCACATCCTGCCAATTGACATCCCGACCGCATCCTGCCATCAATACACATGCTTATCTCGCCGTCCTGGCGATTCAAATACATCGTGGCTGGAGAGTATGGCTCCCCCAAACTAACAGTGGCTGGACTGTGAAACAGCGCAGATGGACAGAGAGAGTTTGGATGGCGACGGCCCTGGCCAGTCCGATGTCCGGGCGGGAGTTGGTGCAAGTCGGTCAGGGCCTACTTTCACTCTCCACCAGTGTCCAATGTCGATGACTACATTTGGCGTTATGTCAAGAGCTGCATCCAGCTTGGCATTGCCCCCTCGCATGCCACCATCATCACGACGACCATGAATCCTGTTGACCATGTGGCCAGGGTGATTGCCGCCATCGCAGCCTCGCCCGAGTCGCTCTTCAAGTTTGTGTTTCATGTCAGCAACTCGGACAATAGGTGAGACAGGTGCGTTTCGGGATATCATCCGAGCAACAGAGAGCACTCACTCACATACCGCATCATGTCGATCGCACCAGCACCCTCGCCGAGAAGAAACTGTTCGAGCTCGTCAATGCCTATGGCTGGCCCGTTCTCTTCGAGACCCGCGAAGTCTTCCTAACCATTCTCCAGAACAACCCATCGCCCGAGAGCAATGCCCTGTTCCCACTCATGCACATGATGATGGACATGTCCTTCAGGGTCGAAAGCAAAAACACCCAGTCGATCTATCCGGCTCCGAGTGCCCCGGCTGTCGAAGTGGCTGCAAAGTGCCTCGTCTACCTCTTCCGCGCGGGATTCTTGCCTCGCCCCATCAATCCACCCACGCCCCTCAAGGAGGAGGAGTACCCCGAGGTCAGCATCTTTGGTCGCACCGGCCGTCACTGAGGTCCTCCAACGGTCTCTCGCACTGCCCTTTCCAAGGAATATCCAAGCATCTTGAAGTGTTTTTGAAAGTCGCCTCGAATTGGGCTGCTGCGAGTGACATGCGGCGTCAGTCAAGCTTTGTCCTGTGATCAAGAGCAGGCACAGCCCGCAATCGAGTATTGCTGGGCTGTCCTTTCTTGTAGATCCAGGGCCAACTTCCCGTAGAAGTGAATACCATTTTTTATTTTTTCCGTACAGAGTATCAAATGAATCGCAGTGAATCCAAGCCGCCATTTTCTCAATAGACTGTCGTTGTATCGGCCGCATTTTGCTCCTCCTCTCACTCTCTCACCAATCTTGAGGCCCGACCATCGGTCACAGCCTCGGCAGACGTTTGTCGGCGAGCGCCTGCCCAGGGTGTAGCTCTCGTTTGTTTGCCCAAGCCGTGCGAGCGGGTGCCTGTTGCGGATCCCTGGTCATTCAGTGGAGAGGCTCGTGTTGATGTTACAGGCTCGTGTTGATGCAAACAGACGCCATCCACCTGGCTTCCATTGATCCGCCGATCGTTCGGCCATGTTAGAGGGTGGATTGAACCCAAGCTGCTCGGCATTCTGACCTCTGGTCCCCATAGCATCTGCTTGCATCCCGCCCGTTTGCATCCTCGAGCAACTCGCAACTCGCAACTCGCAGCTCCATCCTCCGTCTTGCCCACCCCGCTTGCATCCCAATGGGCCAAAAGCTTACCCGCCAGCTCGAAGAAAGCAGCCAAGGTGGCCCTCAACCCTGGTGTACGATCCCTCCTACTTCGTCCCGCACATCAGATTGCCGCAAAACCGATCCCCGTTCTTACCGCCACCCCTTTCTCTCTGCTTTGTTCAAGTCACCAAGGAGCAAATCATGGACGTTGTTCAAATCCTGACGCGGTAACATCTGTTGCTCGTTTCCGAGCCATCTGAATCAGTTTCGCACAGAGGCACCAGGCACCACGGTCGTTCAGGCGGGCTGATTCTTACATCTGCCTTCCGTGCGATTCCTCCCCTACTCCTTGTGGTTCGGTGACAGCATCAATGCCGCCAAGGCCGATCTCACCGACAAGTATCTCAGCCGAGCGACCCTTGAGACGCTCTTCAAGATGTGCAAGTTCAATGACTCCCAGCAACGGTTCCTGCTGAGCATCTTTGCTACATTCGACTCCCAGCGGTCCCAGAAGGTGGACTCGCGCAAGATCGTTGTGGGAATGTCGGCGTTCTGCACAATCAAGATCAACGATCGGCTCGCTTGTACGTAGCCAGCCCACAGCAGCAGCAGCAGCAGCAGCGGCGGCGGCGGCGGCTTCGTGGTGGTATCGTAGTGGTATCGTGGTGGTATCGTAGTGGTATCGTGGTGGTTTCGGACGCATCCTGTGATTTTTGTCTTCGAACCAAGCCAGTACTGATTAGATCCGCTTGACTGGTCGCTCAGTCGCCTTTGAAGCCTATGAGCTCATGAGCGAAGGGCTGACAGAGGAAGAAAGGTACAGTTGGTGTCCGAGATGCCAGAAGCGATGCATACTCTCCACACACCTCGCCGATGGATTGCTTTGCTCTGACAGCGATCTGGATTCTTTCCCCAACCACCGCAGTGTCCTGACCAAAGATGTTATCGAAACCGTCATTCTGTGCCTGATCGAGACGATTTACAGCGCAGAGTCTGTCCAGGGCGACAAGACCGCCGCCGCTCCCACGCCTTCCCCAAAGCCTGCCCCGAAAGCAAAGTGTATCACGCCTGAGGACCGGCAGGCGCTCCGCAAATGGATCAACGATGTGTTCATGGAGGCGTAAATCGAGTCCGTTGGGGGGGGGACTTGCTGGGTACTGTCCGGTGACCTGTCCGCCGTAGTGAATTGTCTGTGTATTTGGAATCAATGTAAACTCCAGCAAAGACATTGGCCTCTGATGGGAAAGGGTCCTCCGCCTGGTGTGTGGCCTTTGCTGGCCAGAGGGTTCTACGGACTTGATCATTCGAGCGGCGTGGATGAGCCCAGCACATTTGTAGTTAGTGGCGCGCGCTCTTCAGGCGATGGACTTGCTCCTCGGCATCAAGAGTCTTGGCATGCTCCGCCCCAAAGGCGACCTTTCGCATGTCCCAGCACTTCCGGAAAGCATCGAGGGATACGCCATAACAGTCATCCGCACTCTTGCTGCCTTCGAGCCCGGTTTCGAGCCCCGTCTCGAGCCCGGCTTCAATGGCTTTGGCCCGGATCTCTTCGACGTCGCCAAGATGGTAGTAAAAGTCGGACAGCTCGGGCCAGTTGGCGGGCATCACATGCGAGCCTTCCATGGTTCTGATGATCTCCTGGATGTACCCCGAGGCATCCTTGAAGTTCCGCTCCTTCATGGAGCAATTCATGAGCGGCACCAGCGAGTTGAAATAGTGGTGGTGCTGCGGACAGATCTGCCCGGCGTACTTTTTTCTGAAGCGCTGGAGGGCTTGCAGGGCCGAGGATGTATGGCGCGCCTTCACAAAGTCAAATGCTGCGTCAAAGTCGCGCTCGACCGCTGCCTGGAAGTCGTTGAACGCACTCCGCTCGAGGGACGAGCCACAGTTGGAGCACTTCATGAGTTCGTCGTCGCTGCTGTCGGAGATGTAGATCCCCTCCCGACAGTCGCGGCAGTAAACTCCCTCCAGATACAGATCCGGATCGACGATGCCCTCCTGGGCCTCTGGCGAGCATCGGGAACAGTCGCAGAAGAAGAACTTGGTCTCCAGGAGCTTTTCTCGGCGCTTGTCTTTGGGATAGAACAGGTCCACGTAACTCACACAGAGCTCCTCGCCCCTTGCGATCGGCCGGAGAGTCCGAATCACCAAGCGGCCATGCGAGCCGCCCACGAACGAGCAGTTCGGGGAGCACGAGTGGTTGAACATCGACGCCAGCGGGAAGAGGCCAACCCCGATCACCGAGTTTGTGTTGCCGACCGGATCCAGCAGCCCGTGCGAGTTGGAGTTGATCTGGCATGCCATCGTAACCTGTTTCAGTCCGACAACACAGACGAGTCGGTCAGACTCTGCAAAGAATAGATCGAGAAGGTACTTGTGCATGTTGTTCGAGGAGACATGGTTTTGGGCAGGGCGGCCTTACCAGCTCAGACGCCGATGCGGCAAGATCACTCGGTAACTGCGAAGAAAGGTCCTCGGCTGTACAAAAGGACCCACGTTGGTGAGAGTGGCTCCGGCTCATTGGCACATTTCGGCCATCGGCGCTCCATGTCATCATTGTGTCGAGACGTTGCCTCGTGCAATCCGATCCTGCAATGCAGCAGAGCTCCACCCGCCTCAGGCACCGGCTGCACCGGATATCCTGGCTTACCCGCATTCTGCACGGCATTGAGCCACGACTGCTTGCACGAAGAGCGATGGCTAACTAGATCCCGAACGTACGAAAACGGCGTGGGACCGCTGCATCCCGCTCCGCTTGATTCCTCTGGCACGAAGCCCTCGGAGCCGTCATCCTCGGGGGACCGGTTGGTCAGGATGGCCAGGATCAAGCGGAATAGCCCGTAGTCGACCGAATGCGACGAGGTGATGCCGGGCAGCTCTTTCAAGATATCACATTCGCGCGAATGCCGCGATTCATCGAGCTTCTGGCATGCCTCGGAGCACCAGTACGATTGCTTCCGACATCCTTTGCAGACGATGCCTCTCTGTCCACGCTGGGGGCCCAGGAATGCCGAGTCGTCGTCCGTCGCTGGCTCGAGCGCCTTCAAGGGGCCCAGACAGTAGAGACACACTTCGTCCATGAGAGGCTTCATGATCGAGAACCCGGAGGCAGTCTCTGATATCACGAGCGAGCCTTCGGCGAGGTCTTCTTTTGCCACGATGTGCCGGCCCTTGCTCTTTGATGCTGCAAGCTGGAGACACATATCGACGAGGATATCCGCAATTAGCTTCTCATCGCGGCTCGCCGAGGACCGGGACTGCACCGCTGCTGTTGGCCGGAGCAATGGCCATCACTGATTGTATGATCGGCAAGCCCGAGGATGATGTCGCTGCAGTGCTGTTGCTGGTGGGAGAGCGAGAGCGATGGCCCGAGGCGAACAACAGACCTTGATCGGCCACGGTCTCATGAGTGCTTCGTACCGAGCCTTCCGCTCATGTGCCCGTCTGCGCTTTGCCTCGGCTGCTGCTGCTTCTGCGTCGGCCATCGTGCTGGATCTTGGTTGTGCTGGATGCGAGCTGTGCTGGGTGCGAGCTGATCCGCCTCGGTCGAATCGGCTCGGCAGGAGAAAAAAAGCCAATCACGTGTGCGGCGATTGGCACACCGATTCTCCAACCCAGCCGATGGACTACTGGGCTACTGGGCTACTGGGCTACTGGACTGCTGGACTGCTGGACTGATAGATGGTTGGACCAGCGGGGGCTGGACGAGCGCCCGCAAGCCAGACTCGCCACAAACGAGAAACGTTCGGGGGGGGGGGCACGGCCCAAGTGGTTGCCCTGGAGCCTGCAACAACAAACCTGACCGCGTGCTGAGGGGCAGGGGTGATTTGATCGCACCAGCCTCCAGCCGGGGCAGTGGTCGTCGGACACCGCCTGCCTCGACTCTCTCTGCACGAGGGGCCCTGAGCCACACCATGTCGATCTCGATCGTTCAGACACGCAGGGCACCAGGGACCTCGGTTGCTGCTGTCCTGGTCGGCTTTGGTATTGCCGACAGGCCACGTCCAGCGCCGTCATTCGTCTGAGCGGGATTGTCTATCGGGTCGACACATATCGCACCCATTGCGTATCACCCATTGCATATCACCCATCGCTCACTGCGGCGCGCCGTCCTGGTCGCAGACTTGCGATTGGCCAGGAGCCACCGCACGTGCAGTTGTTGGCTGGCACATCACCCCTGTTTGCACCCAGCCCAAGCCACCGTGGCACAGACTACCCCTACAAATCGCTCGTGCGATTGGCTGTCGAATTCCTCCAGCGCTGCCCAGTGGACCTTCCAGTGGGGGCTGCTGGGTGATCGTGCGTGCACGTTGCTGGGCTGGTGGGCTGGTGCAGCGGTCTCGGGATTTATATATCGTCACTCGCTTCCCACCCCCCTCGAGCTCCATCGCCCGCTGCTGCCTTCCTTCTGCAGAGCATTGACAGCATGACCGAAAATCCCCGAGCTGCCCGCTCAAAGGCATTTGCCCACCTCGACGACGCCAAGCTGGGATGGTTCCACTTGCGCGCCGTCCTGGTGTCCGGTGTCGGCTTCTACACCGACTCGTATGACAACTTTGTCATCAACCTGGCCCTGCCCATGCTCTATCACGTCAACTATCCAAAGACGCCGAGCATGCAAGCCCCTTCGGACTTTGCCAAGAACAACCCCAACTACGATGCCTGGATGAAAGCCAGCACGTCCTACGGAAACCTCATTGGTGAGCGCGTGGCCGGCCTGTCCCGGTCCCGGTCCCGGTCCCTGTCCCTGAATCCGCATTGTCTGTCCGCACTTTGGGTGCGTGGGAACCCCTCCCCGACTCGCTTCTCATCCTCAGTACCGTGAATGATTTTGCAGGTCAGGTTGGCTTCGGCTACCTCGGCGACAAGCTCGGCCGCAAGAACATGTACGGTGTCGAGCTCATGATCATGATCATCTGCACCATCGGCTCGGCCTTCTCGGCCAGCGCTATCCGCGGTGCCAACATCCTCCAAGTTCTTGCTATATGGCGCTTCTTCCTCGGCATCGGTATTGGCGGTGACTATCCTCTCTCGGCCATCATCACCTCCGAGTTTGCCAACACCAAGTGGCGCGGTACTATGATCGCCGCCGTCTTTGCCATGCAGGGCATCGGAATCCTCACCGGCGGCCTCGTCACCCTCGCCACCCTCGCCGCCCTCCAGAGCAACATCCAAAGTGATCCAAGCTACCTTGATCTCGTCTGGCGCATCATCCTGGCCTTTGGTGTGATCCCTGCTATGGCTGCCGTGTACTTCCGTCTGACCATCCCCGAGACCCCTCGCTACACCGTCGATGTCATGGGCGAGGTCGAGCAAGCCGAGGCCGACATCAACAAGGTGCTTGCCATGAACGAGACTCGCGATGTGTCGTCCAACTGGAAGAGCGAGGAAGTCAAATCCTCGCATCGTGCCAACGTCAAGAAGGGCGGATTCTTGGCGCACTTTGGCCAGTGGAAGAACGGCAAGGTCTTGTTTGGCTGTGCCTTCACCTGGTTTGCGCTCGATGTCGCCTGGTATGGTCTCTCGCTCAACGCCAGCACGATCCTGACGCTGATCAACTGGAACGGCTCCAACTCGCTCCCTCCGTACGACAACTACTGGCAAAAGACCGTCGGCCAGGTCATCATTGCGTGCATGGGCACTGTTCCTGGATACTGGGTCTGTGTCGCCCTGATCGACCGCATTGGCCGCAAGCCCATCCAGTACCTCGGCTTCGCTATCATCACCATTTGCCTGCTCATCCTCGCCATTGCTTGGGACACCATCAAGAACAACACTGTCGCCTTCTGCGTTGTCTTCACGATCGCCCAGTTCTTCTTCCAGTTCGGCCCCAACACCACCACCTTTGTTGTTCCTGGTGAGGTCTTCCCGACCCGCTTCCGCTCCACCGCCCACGGTATCTCTGCCGGCTTTGGCAAGCTCGGTGCCATCATCGGTGTCGAGGCTGTCGGTCCTTTCTTCAACAATGCCCCCGTCCCTGTGCTGTATACCTTTGCTGTCATCATGGCCCTCGGTGGCATTGCCACCTACTTCATCCCCGAGACCAAGGGAAAGACCCTCGAGGAGCTCTCTGGCGAGGACGAAGCCTTCGAGTAGATTCACTTCAATCGCACCGATCTCTTGATCGTGACGGCTCTGGCTGTTTACGGATCGTTGCCTCGGCTCGGTGCATCTTTTCAATTCTCTCCTTCGATACAGTGATCGGTATGAAAGGGCAAAGCACAACCACCTGTCACACAAATACACAATATTTCATCATTCATCGCTCATCGTGGAGAGTTCGGTGCATCAGCCGCAGAGAGAACAGGGCACAGCCATCAATCCAGGGTTTCCAACCGTCTCCAGTTTTCATTGCATTCACTGTATTCAGGCGACACGATGATTGACGGTATCATCACCGACGACGTTCCGTCTTGGGATACACAGAGGCGACTGGCCATTCAACAGAGGGCTTCAAAAACAATCAAACGAAAGAAACAAGGTCAAGAGCAGATATGGGTGGACTTGCACGACGAGCATATTCATGATGCCGGCCGCTGCAGATTGCATTTGCCGATCGAATCGTTGGGGGGGGGTACTGTCTGAGGGCACATTTTTGCTCGGCAGCGCATATCGATACGGGATTCGCGTCTGCAGGACCCATCGCAGTAAAATGGCCGAATACATGCCATTCGGGGTGCGCTATTCATTGGGATGCGGAGCGACATGTGGTCGTGACTTGGTCAAAGTATTCCATTTGTCCTTGGCGCTTTCAGTCGGCGCTGTCTCGACCCGTGGAGTGGGCCACTCGAGGTTTTCGCCCTCCCACACCTGCCAGAGTTCAATCATGGTTGATTCCAGCCACATCGAGGGCGGCGCATTTGATGGGGTCCAAAAGTATGGAACCTCGCCGGTCTCTTTGGAAACGTCGCCAGTGGCTCGTGTCTTTCTGGCACCGACTACGTCGAACAGAAACTTGTTGGTTCGCGGGATGACCCAGGTCCAAGCGCGGGCGATGACATCGTTGAACAGGATCGCAAAGATCACTGACAGAACCGTCGTTGCTATGAAGGGCAAGAATGCGGGGCCGAGCCCATACTGCATCCCTGCCTCGTCGATGCCCAGGTCAAACAAATGCGGCCACACCTCGGGATAGACAAACTCGTAGATGAACCAGACGGCGATCGAGGCCCAGGCAGCGAAATGCGTGAATATGTTCCAAGTGTGCGACTCGATGTAAGAGATCTTGAAGGTGATGATCACAACGACGATTTGGTAGATGAGCGTTCCGATCACGTAGAGTGACGCTTCCTGCGAGTGGCCCGACAGGTCGCTGCGCAAATAGGTTGCCAGCGTCAAGGTGGAGTCCGTCACCTCCAGCTTGTAGTATGCTCCGCAGTAGAGTATCATCGGAATCGACAGCGACACCAGGGCATGGAAGAACGCCTGCAGCATCCATCTCCAGAAGATGATCATGTTGAGTCCCTGGTTTTCGGCGCCGTAGCGGTAGAGTTCCGGGACCTTCAGCAGAGTCGCCTGACTCAGATCTTTCTCGAAAATCCCAATGGCGATCACCGGCAGCGACGAAAACAGAATGTTGAAGAGTGCCAGGGTCCATTGCTCGTACAGCGACGTGCCCGACCATCCCGTCCAGAGCTGGAAGACTCCCTGGGTGGCATAAAACGTGATGCATTTGTAGAACGTGCCCACGGTGAAGAGGCAGATGCGATTGTAGGAGTAGCGCCCGTGCACCAGCAGCAGATGCTCCAGGAATCGAAACTGTGCGATGGTGTAATCCGAGGCGCGGGCGGCGGCGAGTCCCTCCTTGCCGGTGATGCCGATGCCGACGTGGGCTGTTTGGATCATCGGTATGTCGTTGGCGCCGTCGCCAATGGCCAGGGTCACGCCAGAGGGATGCGATGAGAGCTTGAATCGCCGGATCCATTTCTTTAGGAACTGGTAAACGACCACCGACGATCCGTACAGGTCCCGCTTCAGCGGCGAGCTCACCATGTAGCTCTCCTTTTGCTCCTGCAGCGCCTTCTTGACCACACCGACCATCAGAGCCTTCTGAGAGGGCGAGAAGCGACAGCATATGCCGTTGTCGCACATGATCCCCACTTCTGCCAGCCGATGAAGCAGCGATATGTGACGGATCTGGATGTTCCTCAAGGATGAATCAAAGTTCTCCTCCAAGTTCCGGAGCTTCGAGCCGGTATTCTCGCAAATTTCCCAGCAGGCGTGCTGGCGCTCGATCTTGTTGAGGGCGTCGCCGTCAATGACCATCACCAGATGCTCCGCTTTGGTTTTGTCCGAGATGGTTGACTTTGAGCGATGCTTGTCCACGTTTTTAGCGACAGCCCTGTGAAGGTCCACGCATACTTGGTGTGCGTATGATATGGAGTGATCGATCTCGACGTCGTTGTTGCCGTCGATCAGGAGCACCTTGCTGTCGTTGGATACGAGGCCACAGTTGTAGGCAATGTTGACGGCCGTTTCTTTCTTGTCCCCCGTCAGCATCCACAATCGGATGCCGGCTCGCCTCATTTTGCCGATCGTCTGCGGCACGCCTGTCTGGAGCTTGTCCTCGATGGCCGTCGCCCCGAGTAGGATAAGATCCTGCTCAATGGTGTCTGCGACCTCGTCCATGAACTTGGCCCGCTGATCTAGCGACGTTGACGCCAGCACATAGCTCTTGTGCCAGTCCTCAAAGTCTTCCGGTGTCAGGATCTTGCAGGCATATACAAGCGTGCGAAGACCCTCCTTGGCAAACTGCCCGACGTGCTCCAGAGTGGATTTCATAACGCCGATCTCGTCGGAGGGGATGAGGTCGATGGGCACCAGGCGCGGGATAATGACAGAGTCGGCGCCCTTGCACAGCAGTACGATTCGGCCGTCTGGGTACTTGTATATGGTCGACATTCTCTTCCGTGCGCTCGTGAACTCGATGGTCGTGAGAACCATGTACTCGATGTCTGTCGGCGAGTTGAGGACATTCAGGGTCACCTTGGAGGAGGTTTTGCTGCGTAAGCTGAAGAAGAGGTCTCGCGCGGCGTTGACCAGAGCCACCTCGTCTGGCGACGAAGACTGATACGAGATTTTGAGGTCGCTCTCTGACCGCGAAGGCGGCTCCCATCCGTCGTCGCCACCCGTCTCGAATGAGTTCACCCAGTTCTTTGCGTCTGCGGCGGATTTTTGGTCTGGTATGGCTGTGTGGCAGAGTGCCATAGCTTCGAGAAAATCCTCTGCTCTGCGAAGGATGGCGTTTTTCATGGTCTGCTGCGAGGTGTTGCTCGTGAACAGGTCTTGCAGCAGCAGTTTCGTAGAAAGACAGTCTTCGTGCGCGTCCTGCGGGTCCATCGTGCCTCCGTACGAATGAACCCAGCGGATGCCACCCAGCGACATTTTTTTGAAGAGCATGATGTTCTCTGTCAGGGTTCCGGTCTTGTCGCTGAAGATGTACTGCACTTGACCAAGGTCCTCGTTGAGGGTGCTTGTCATGGCTTGGGCGGGGGTGTCCGAGTTCTCGTCATACATGTTGATGTCGTGGTTGATGAAGAATACCTGCGCAAGCTTGACGAGCTCCATGGTCACGTAGAGGGAGATTGGAATCATGGTGTTGTACAGGATCACGAACGAGAAGAATGTTGATGCTAGGCTGGATGCTGCGTATTTCTGGGCGACGTAGATGCTTGCTTGCCCACTTTCGACGTTGACATCAGTGCAGGCGGCGCCAAGATAGCAAAGGTACCAGTGGTGCTCCTGCCAGGTGTCCACGACGGCGTTCCATCCGACATAGAAGATTGTACAGGCCCCCGAAAGCAGCACGACGGCGAGAAAGACAAAGATGACGATTCCGTTTGTGAGCCGCTCGAGGGCCGGCGCCTTGGTTCTGCTTGAGGACGTGGCGTTTTTTCGGATCTTGGTGTCTTCGCCTGTGTAGACGGCGATTCCGTAGACGTACTTTGTGTTCTTGAGCGTGGATCCACGAAGGAGGAGTTGGTTGACGGTCAGCGGATATCGGCCGCCTGAGCTATCCTCCAAATACCCGTCAAAGCTGTATAGGTCCTCCTTTGGTGGCTGCGCGTGAATGTAGCCTGAGACCAGTGCGAAGCAAATGTCAGCCCGGCAGTCTGGGCCGCCCGCACTCGGAGGTGAATGTCACCCGCGGTCAAAGTTAAGCAGAACGCATTCATCGCATGTTTGCTGCGGGGACCACGACAAAAGCGACATGCACAGGATCATTCTGCGCGCGTTCCTCACCCTGGAATCCCGACAGGCTCTCGAGGCTGGTGATCGCGTTGCATGTGGAGCTGAGGGCTTGTTTCTGTTTGAGATTGGTTTCGCCGTCGAGGTTGGCGGTTTCGACGAACGCGATTCCTTCTGGATGGGACGACGCCAGGACCACCAGATCGACCGGCAAGACCTCGTGCTCGTCGATCCGAACGATGGTGCCGACGGTGATGTTTTTCCGGAGCTCCTGGCCCCACTCAAAGCGCGGTGGACTGGAACCTTTGGCGGCCTCGAGCTTGGTCACGATACCGTTGTTTTCGGTGTTATCGGATATGTGTCTGCAGTAGTCGTCGTAGCCCTCGCGTGCCATCGAGAGAAGCACGGTGAGGCCCAGCGGGAAGATGGTCGTGAACCGGCCAGTGGGACTCCAACCCGGCACCATCTGCAGCCCACACACCAGCAAAAAGTACATATTGGCGACCTTGCTGAACTGGGCGTAGAGCTGCTTCGGCACAAAGGTCAGCGGCGTGTAGCGCGACGTGCGGACGGTGTTGTCCTTGAATCCGCCGCTTGGGCCACGGAGAAGCGGGACGACGACGGAGAGAAAGGCATTCGCGAGCCAGACCGTGAAGCCAAAGTGCCGGGTGATGAAGTTGGAGTGACGCGATACGACCGGGAGGTCGGGCATATCGAGGTTGACCGTGAGACTGGCCTCGGGCGTAGGCGGGTTGATGGAGATGATGCGGCCGATCTTTGGAGTCGTGTTGATCTTTCCGGCCATCGAGCTCAGCGCCGACGACCGTCGCCGGTCTTCGGAGGATTTTTTCGAGAGCTCGTCAGCAAGCGAGAAGATGGACTCGTTGCCCTGCTTTGTGCCTCCAAACGCCCGGTTGACGTGCGATTTGACTTTGGTGCTGCTGGCAGATTTTTTCAACTCGTCTTTATACTCCTCGTGTGATTCCGAATACGATGCATCGCACGACTCGGCGTGCGATGTCCCAACGTTCTCGGTCGATTTGGAAACGTCCTGGGCCGACGTGCTTTCGCCAGGATCGGCGCTGATGCCATTTTCGCTGTCATCTGAGGCACTGAGGACCGCGAGTCGCGGCAAATTCGGATACGAAGGTGGCTTTGCATCCATGATACCCCAGAGCTTACGCGAGTTGACGGAGAGCTATTCCAAGGCGGAGGCGAGAGACTGATGGCAAAACGGGTACTCGGGTAAATTCAGCGATGCTCCAGAAGCAGAGAATGGCCGAAAGATTATGGTTAGAGTGCTGCTTCGACATTGACGCCCCCCAAAGGTCTGCACCTGCGCCCGTGCTCTTGTCAGGTTCGTGTGTGGCCCCATTGCGGCCTTGATTGGTGACATCAGTCGCTGGGGCATCAGTTGTACATGAATCGACGGCATTTTTGAGCACGTTGCTTGTATGGCAATCTGCAAGCGGGATATTTCATTCGCTCACAAAATGGCTGAGGCACTCAGTGCCTATCGTTCGTTTCTTTGATGGAACGCATTCACCCCCATCTTTCATCCACAACGACCATACACCTCTTGGAGGCAACGCAAGGGATATGCCTCCCGCTGCCGTCGCCCGAGCCCCGTCAAGTACTTCGATATCGACTGGATGTATTCAGGCCATACCGGCGGAGATAACTCCATTCCGAGAAAGCGAGAACGCCACTGGTAGCCTTGATGGTAAGCAACAGTAGTTGACGTGCACATGGCCTGTCGACAAACTGCAGCAAATACCCGAGCATCCGTTGTCTCGCGCTATCTATTGAGGATGGCGAGTGCTCAAGCCTATGCTGCGATCTCGCGGGCAGCCTGCGGGAAGTACTCGGGATGGGCAGACATATACTTGACCGTGTACTCGTCGGCGTTGGTGATGACGAACGGATGACGATGAAACACCAGACGAGCGCCTGAGAGAAGCAAGATGGAGATGAACACCCACGTCCGATTGCTCAGCATGTACATGACTGAGTAGCAGCTCCGGAGATGTCATGTTGCTGGGCTGCTCAACCTCGCACCATCCAGTCGCAGTACTTACCAACATAAAAGTCCGAGGTTCCGTAGTAGGTGGTGCCGTCGGGCTTGCGAATCTTGCCTTTCTCAAGGAACTTTCCGCCAATGATTCCAGAGTTGCGCTGGTGGGGTTCAAAGACGGCAATGGTGTCGTCGGCCAGATAGAAGCTGATAACAAACTTCCGGTCTTTGTCGATCTGCTTCTCGGTCTCGAGAACAGCAGAAAAGCGGAGGCAAACGCCGTCGTACATCATCATCTGCTTGAAGTCCTTCTTTGGAGCTTCATCAGGGAGAAGCTGCGCGACAGGAGCACGATTTACGAATGAGGCAGCGACTTCTCGGCTGAGGGCCGCAGCGGGATCGGGCTCCTCGTAGTCCTCGATCCGGATGGGATCAAAGTTCTCTAGGCCGTACTTTTCGGCATAGTACTGTCGCGTGAAGCCATCACAGTCGCAGATAACGAACGGTCGGCCATAAAAATGCAGAACAGAGCCGATGGACAGATCGCTGTCTTTGTAGTAGCCCTCGGGGTTCTCGAGCTCGGCGCCACCGCCATTCACATAGTGGTTGACCCGAACATGGGGCCGTTTGGGCAGGCGGCAGCGCCCAAGGAACTGCGTGTTGCTCTCTCGGCCCGAGTTTGCCGGGATCGACTCAATGATTTCGATCGTGTCATCGGACAAATAGTAGTGGACGATCATGTGTCTGACATCACCAAATACCGAGTTGGTGTCGTCCCAGACACAATAGAACCGAAGAACGCGTCTGTCGTTTTCGAGGAACTTTTTGAGCGAGGTTTTGGGAGGGCAGGGGCGGGTGGCCTTCATTCGCGAGAGCAGCTCGTTGCGGTACAGTTCGTACTGATCCTTCGGGAACTCGCCGTTCTTGGGGACCGCGATATCCAGGGCCACGAGAAAGTCCTGGTGAAGGTATTGCGCCGGTTCAGTTCCATGCCGCGTCGTGTGAGTGCTCGAGTTCTTGCCGACCGACTCGGACACGACTGGTATATAGAATTGGCCACACGGCCTGCTACCAGCTACGATGAAATGATCCGTGTAGTTCCACAGAGTCCCAGGCTCGTGCTTCGGAACAAGTGCCACTCGACCCTGCGCCCCACTATCGCAGCCGCCATACCCTAGTGAACTGATCGCATCCAACAATCTTGAAAGTGCGGGCATAGAAGGTCACTTCTCGGTCGACATTGAAGTCGTTGATGGTGTAGTGCTGTCCCTTGGGAGAGTCTGCCTTTGGAATGCGGTGTCGCCGGATCAGGGTGCCTGAAACAGGAGAGGGTAGATCGCTGAGTCGAGGCCGATGGGTTGCTGAAGGAGCCACCTCAAGCAGGTCGCCTCAGCCGCTACATAGGAGGCGCGGCAAGGATGCTCGTCTGCCTACCCTGAGGGATACCACTGTTGGGAGTCTTGGGCTCGCTGACATGCACAGTGTCGTCTTCGAGGTAGAAGTAAATGTTGACTCTGCGCGAGGAACGCCAGATGCACACCAGTTAGTACACACCGTCAGCAGGATGGAGTCTGTAATAACGGAGAGTCTGTAATAACGGAGAGCCTGCATTTACCAAGACATCAACGGACTCGCTGCGCTCCTCAATGCGCTGAAAACGCTGCGGCTCCCTGATTTCGCCAGCTGCAATGCCGCCCGCCCCGACTGGCCGTCGCTTACTTTCGGACTCGGTACTGTTCCTCGCGCTTCTCGTGGACGGCTTCCTGGAAGTACGCATAGAACCTGAGCACCTTGAGAGAAAGGCAGGAGTCAGCCCTGGGTCCACGAATGACACTGTTTTCAGACGCCCAGACACGCCATTTGGACTGGACATCATAGTCCCTCGAACCAGGAGCATTACTGCGTGGCGCTTGGAAATGGCCGTACTTTGCGATCAAAGGCCACCCAGGCTGGCACGCTCTCGCCCATGTTGTTAGCATGGGGATACATCTCCGCCGACGTCTTCAGCTTGGACTCATTCTGGCCGCGAAGCAGCTCGCCCCCTATCGAGAATGCCAGTTAGCGGCGTTTGATTCTCCATCATTCACAGTACAATGTCGTCATGTTGAAGCCAATAAACAGCACAGACGGCTCATCACGAAGCGTTGCGAGTCGCTGTCGACCGGGCCGTGTCTGGCGCCAGCATCATAGGGAGATGCGATTCATGTCTCGACCGAACAGTTACCAATCCCAGGAGCCTCCTCGCGAAAGACCGGAACGCCGTTGCAGTAGTCAAAGGCGTGGGATTTTCTCTTGTTATCGATGTTCTGAAACGAGGCGGCCGAGCAAGTTCGCCAAAGGTGAGTCCGGCGGTCGTGCTCGCCCATATGGCGACGCATTTCCTCGACGCTCCTTCGCAGAGCATCAGGTTGAGCTACTGCACCTACCCGGTTCAAATCGAACGTGTGTCCCGGGAGAAACGGGAGTTGCTTTTGAAGCTCGTTGAGGGTGCCGTCCATCTTGTGTGTGTCGTGATGAACTTTGGAGTAGTTTGCCGAACAAGTGGTCTGATTTGCAGCTGAGGATGTGCTGACGGGCCGTGGATGCGACGATGGTATGGACTTGACAAGTCAGTGCTTTGCGAAATATCCCGATACCGTCTGCAGGCCCTCCCGATGGTGGCTAGAACACTGCGATCCCGTCGTTGCTGATGGCCGTCGCCCCAGTCGATACTGAGGTGGCCGGCGTCAGCAGTGCTCCAATCGAGCCACCAAATGACGTCGCCGCGAGATCCTGTGATTCGGTCGATTGGACTGCCCAAGCCAGTGTCGCGGCGGATTCGATTTAAAAGCGAGCATATGGAGAAACTGAGAGCATATGGAACGGCTGCGAGCATATGCAACGGCGGCGCTATAAGACGCCAGAGCTCCGCGATCATGAAGCCATCCAGGATCTGCCTCGACGTCGCAAGCATGCTCGACCGCAGGCCAACGTGGATGTTCATGCTGTTCCTGCTGCTTCCACTTCAAATCAAAGTAGTTGCGGGAACGCAGCGCACCACCCCCTTGGTTGTTGGATTCCTCTGCGCCATCAGCGATCCGCCACTATGGTAAGCATTGCCATCGCGACAGGACCGAGATCTCGAAGACGAGGGAAGGAAAGCCAAACGTGTGTGGATGGAAAGCTGCATATCCAGAGTCAAGGCTTCACAGCTCTCGCGACGACGGCTCACTCGGCCAGCGGGTTGTGGGCATGGGAATACCTTCCGCACATCCAGGAGCCACGAACTGGCTCGCGCTCATGGCTTTGGTTCTCGCGTTGCTTTCGACTGCAGGTGCCCCACTGTCGCCGAGATGCTCAGCTTTCGCATTGAGCAGATCAACAACAATACCTTTGATCCGAATCTTTTGCCCGGAGCCCAAGTATCTTTGCTTTATGATACCGTCAACCCAGTGCCATCCAGTGTCGTCCAGCGAGTCTACCAGATGATCGCGAGTGGCGCCACCGCCATCATTGGTAACGGGTCGAGTTTGGGGATGCTACTCCGGAGCTTGTCGTGTATCAACCGCAAATAGCCCAGCTATCAATCTCAGTCGATGCCTTCCGCCGTTTCGCCCGCATCGAGTGCACTTCCCAATAGCCGTTTGCTGATGCCACAGGTCCAGGGGTCTCGAGCGTTGCAACAACGGCGTCAATTATAATGCAGGGCTACACGATTCCCCAGTGCGATGGCGTGACGACCCTCGCAGATTTAAGCAACAAGGTTTCGTATTTCAACTTTGTAGGTAACATGTGCGCTTATCGGGCGTGCTGCTCGGGATTTCGCGGCTCTGTATCTTGCGCAGCGCCTGGCTACTGATACCAACTCGACGAAACTCCCCCGCCTCAAAGCTCCGAACCGTCCAACCCGATAATCACCGAGTCGCCTCGTTGCTTGAATTTGTGAAATGGAAGTCGTGGAGAATGATTGCGATCTTGGTATGGCGAGCCCCGTGTGCTGCAGCCATACTGGTGGCGTATTTTGCTTGATGGAGACTGTCCTTGAGCTGAACCAAGTTGCTCTCGCTACTGCCGGCAATGTCGATTGATAGGCCACCAATGATGCTCTTGGCACTCAATGTACGTATTTTCAGCATTTGGCACGATAAATGGGTTGCTCGGGGTGAGTCCCACATCTCCAGCCGACCACGACCGCTTATTCGCACATATCGGAAAACGCCAGTGCTCGACAATGCCCTGCAGCAAGCCGCAACCAGCAACATCATCGTCCTCGCCTCAGCCCAGATCAGTCCCCAAGTCAATACTGGCGAAATCGAGAACGCCGTCATTACTCTCAAAACCTGTGGCGCGGCCATATTCTTGTTCTTGGGAACTGCGGATGTGTGGGTGAAAACGCAAGGATATCTCAGGTACAACCGTCTGCAGCTGCCACGGAGGGATAGATTGCGAAATGGCATCCCTCTCGGAATCGATGTCGGTGGTGGCGAGCAGAGCATTTACAAATGCGTGGGCAGCTCAGCGGCACTTCTGACGAACTCGCCTCCTCCTCCTGAATCAGTAACGGAGGAATATACGGGCCAGACTATGTGTGGATGCTCGAAGTCGACCAGAATCAGACACAGCTCGCATCTGCGTCGGCCTTAGACGGTACAATTGTGAGTCTCGAAGCAACCGCAATCCATTTGCATGCACTTGCCTACTTGACTTGGAGCGGCACTGTAACTCGCTGCGCGTCGCTGTTCATTGTTGTTGTTCAGATTAGTACCCCGCTCGAGCAAATCGAGCCATACACTTTGAACTTTACATCGGCGTGGGGCGCTTCGAACATCACACGGTAAGGCTGAGTAGGTATACAAGGCATCGACAGGATGCAGAGGCGATATGTGGGGAGCGTAAACCCGTGCTAGGTGTCTCAAATCTCATCTGCTGTTGGCTATCACTGATGTCATTTGCGCCGGTACAGCTATCCATATTCCCGGCTGCCCTTGTTGAGCGACTCTCTGTAAGTTGTGAAATATGGCAGTGCGGCGTTGCCATGCACTTTATTGGTAGTTCCACGGTCCAATTGCACTGGCTCTTTACACTCGTGAAGATGCTTGCTGGCCTGTGACTGCATTGTGCCCTCGAGACTTGCGCCCGTATCTCCAACATGTAATGTGGACAATCATGGACATCTCTGAGAAGCCAAGCTCACACGATATGCGCACACCCAAACTCTGCACTCGTAGATATACCTTGGATTGTCTCTCAGTGCTCCTCTACGGATTCAACCAGGTAGTGGGTCTGATGCTGCAAGTTGGCGAGAATGATGCCGCGCTCGCACTGCGTCTCGCATGATTTACCTAACCCTGTGTCCTTGTGTCTTTGACTCCACTGTGCCGGGCGCATCGTGATCAAGTTGTTGCAATCAAATACATCGTACTCGCTGGCCAATCTTGCCGCTGGGAATCTCAGGGGGAGCTATCAGTTTCCTGCAACCTTCAGCAATCCAAACATCTCTCTGCAGACTTCGCCACAGATGTTGCTCGATTGTACGTATCTTGGCACCGTTGCTCTCGGCTGGTGAAAACGATTCCTGGGCCTTGGGAGTTTGAGGGATGAGGAAGCAGCAAGATGGCAAGGTCGTCGCTGTGTCAGCCTAACCGATGCTTGACTTGACTGTCGATTCCCTTCACCAGCGAACGGGGATTTGATGGGGTATGATATCATTCCTGTCGGCATAATTGCACGCATACCATATTCTAGGGCCAGCAGCATCCGATGTGTCCAAAGCCGCCAGAGCCGCTCGCTTTGATTTGAGGCACGATTTTCACGCGATGAGACTCAGCCCCGCTTCGGATCCGATCTGGCTTTCCACAGCGCATATCAGTTCTACTACTCGAGACTAGGCAGCGCCATTCCGTTTGCCGTGTACTATTCGAGCAACAACACATGGTCCAATATCTCGGGTGCAACGCTTGTGTATGCTGGAGGGTCCACCGTTGATCCACCAGATACCTTGAAAAGTGGGTATTCGTTGCGTGGGTCCGAAAAACGTGATCGCCAAAGCATCGTGCCTATTCCCGACACACCGAAGCCATCGAAGCCGCGCCGACGCCGCTCTCATCTCTCTCGCACGTTTGATTCAGATCTAACCTGTCCAGCGGGCACGGCAATGTCGCTCACAAGTGTCAACAACATCAATGTGATGATATGCACTTCATGCCAGTCTGGAACATTCAACCTTGTTCCAGGAGATCCCTGCTGGCCGTGTCCCCCGGGAGGCATATGCTCTGGCGGGGGCAGTCTGCTGGTCCAGGCCGGGTGGTGGCGAGATCCATCTTCAAGCCTCTCCAATCCGCAGCTCTACTACTGCACCAGTGGCACGAACTGCTGTTCGGTGGGTGATCGGACTGCGATGTCAACTGCCAAGCACCCTGAAAGAGAGTGCCGATATCCCTCTCGTGAAAGCGCGTGCTGACACCTACTCTTCATCGTGATGCCTCAAAGAGTGGCGGTTGTCCGCTGGAAACGCAATGCGACGGCGACTCGAACGGCATTCTCTGCGACGGCTGTCCGAGCGGCATGTCCATGTGGGGATATACATGCAGCGTATGCAACTCGGTATCAGGTGGCCTGATGTTCTTGATCTTGATCGTTGGGATCGGAGTCAGTATCCTCAGCATCATTCTGCCGGGGGCTTCGTCCGTGTTTCTTCAGGAAATGGTGAGTCATGACCGCCGTGTGTATAAATGGGGCAGCATCGAATCGACTTGCACCAGACTATTGTCATTGGGCCTGATGTGGCCAAGGCGATAATGATCGCAAGGCAGCGTATGCTGAGAATGAACGCTATCCGTCTCAGCTCTTCTTTTACCAGGTATGCCTCACCATGCGGGATTGCGTCGCGCCATGCAATACTCCGCATAATCCAGGACGGGAATCATGGCTGACACGCGCGAGCAGCTCGCAGGTCTCATATTGGACCCGCAAGCAGAGATCTGGAAGTATCTGTCGCTCCTGCGCATTCAACTCAGCAATCTGATGAGCCTCAGCACAAGCACAAGTCTTTGTCTCTTCCCGACCCAAACCTACGGTCGCGTCCTCTTCAACTTTGTCTGGCCGGCGACTTTCCGTAAGTCGCTGAAAGTTGGAGCCATCGATGCCGCCGTTTGTTTGCGAGGCAGAGCACCGGACATTATAATAGCATTGGATTCTGTCTCGATTCATCGGGAGTGCCATTGCCCATGTTTGCTGATGGCATATCATCCATTCGACTGACCGTATGCACTCGTTCACCACCCTCCAGTCATCGAGCTCCTTTTGATTTATCTCGCAATCCGAATGATCCATAAGCTGGCGGCAACAAATGCGATGGCTGAATGGATCCAAAGGCGTCTGCCGACCTATCTCCAGCCAAATATGATGAGGAGTGTGTTCATGAAAAGTAAGCCTCGGCACCCTGCTCGGAGTAATCGGCACCCAGCACGGAGTAATCGGCATCATCTTGGCATGCCTCCTGCTGGCTGGTGGCCATTTACCTCTGGAGAGCGGCGCCGCGTCCCGCAACTTATCAGTCTGTTGACATCCTGTTTTGTGGGTGGGGATGGGAATCGCGCAGGTCTGATCACCATCACGCTCCTGATCCACCTTCCCGTCGTCGATTTGAGCTTGGCACTCTTTGACTGCGAGCGCATCGGCAGCCAGTCCTATCTCCGAGCCCATCCATCAATCCAGTGCTTCAATAGCCAGCAGCACATCATCCTGATGGTCATTGGAACGATTGTGTTGGTGGGCTGCATCATTGTCTTTCCCATTCTGACTGCTTGGCTACTCTGGAAGCGCAACCACGGCGACAAGCTGGACGACCATGATCTGGCCGCGCTGGTGACGCCATTCAAGCGCCGATACTACTAGTAAGCCAGCGATGATGGGGGGGTGGATATCGGGATGTCATCGTGAAACCAATGTCGCGGCAGATGTACCGGATGTGGCAGATGCGATGGAGGTGAGGGACGGACTGTGGACTGTGGACTGCGTGCGCTCCGGCCGCTCGATGTTGCGGCTTTGCACTCATCGCCTCTCGTGCTCGTCCACTCCGACGTCCCCCCCCCAACTCTCACGGCCGCCAGCTACTACGTTGTCGATGTCATGGAACGCACGTTGTTGATCATTTTGACAGTCGCCTATGGCTCGACCGACGCCTCGGTCTATGCCACGGGCGTATTCGTTGGGCTCTGGGTGATTGCCGTTCCCCACGGAATTGTGCGGCCGCACTCGACGGTCTTTGAAAACGTCACCAAATCAGCCAGGCTCCTGTGTCTCATGGGCCTGTGCCAACACCGCACTTCGTCCAACGAGTACTGGACGACCGGCATTCTGCTGGTTCTGCCGGCTCTCTTGGTCGTGTGGCCGATCTACCAGGGCTGTCGATATGTTTCGACCGAGGGCGTCCAGCAGATCCGGAAGAGAATGAACAGCGTTCCCAAAGGCGTCCTCACGAACCAGAGCCCGAATGAGAGCCAGAGCCAGAACTCGAGCTCAAGCCCAAGTCCAAGCCCAAGCCAGAACCAGAGCCGCAAGTCCGTGTCCAAGGTCGAGGAAATGCGCCTCGGATATAAGACAACGACAAGACTGCGTGAATCGTCCGTCAGCCGCACAACGACATCGGGCTCCGGGCATGGCATAGACCAGTGTTGAGCGCTAGTGCACCGAGCTGAGGCGCATTCCTCGGCAGTACAGGGCGCCATTGGCACACATGTATCGGCTGAACACACAGCGCGTGTAAGTTACGGGGATCAATCATGGACAAGAGGGTTCCCAAGGCTGTTCATTCAGACTGAATCGCACAAAGCAACAAGACAAGGTTCAAGGCATTCCATGTTGTCATTCAGAAACAGCGCCTCTGGGTCGGACAGCATGGACGAGGCAATATACAAGATGTATGAACCCATGTCTTTTGTGCTGGCAAAAGAGGCATGATGCACATCCAGGAAACGGTGGGGGGGGGTGGAAGGGGAAGGGGAAACTTAGAAGTCACTGTAGTACTCGTCATCCGAGTCGAGCTGCTGGGCGGCAAAATCGACCTTGTATCGCAGCAGACCGCCGATGCCACCGAAGCCCTTGACGAACTGCGATCCTTCCTGGGATCGGTTGGTGACAAACTCGAGCGAGGCACCAAAGTCCTTGTACTTTTCCGCCAGCTGTGGATGTGGATGTGGATGTGGATGTGGATGTGGATGTGGATGTGGATGTGGATGTGGATGTGGATGTGGATGTGGATGTGGATGTGGATGTACAGCAGAACCAAACAGCCAGGCGCATGCCGCAAAAGTGGGGTCAGTGTTAGTCAAGCGGCAGGGCCATGCGTGCTCGTCCCAAATCGCGCAGCCATCTTCTTGTTCCCAGAGACAACCCCAGATATCCGGCTGCATGACCAATCAGAGTCCGCAACCTTACCCATTCGAGGAGCGTGATCTTCTCGACGATTTCCAGATCGACATTGTTTGCCGAGTCGGTAAAGTAGCTTCTCTGCTTCTCCTGCTCCTTGGTGAGGTTCAAGACCGTGACGTCGCCGGTAGCAGGGTTCTTGAGGGTGTACCGCTGAATGTCCAGGTTCTCCCAGATGATGAGGGTCTCGACGGCGCCTTGCGAGAGGCCCTCGAGGGTGTCGACGACACCAAAGCAGTATTTTCCGGTCTCCTGGGAGATCTCGTCAAAGTACCGCTGGATCAGCTTCTTCTCCTGGATGAACTTGACGTTCTGGAGCACCTCGGTCGACAGCTCGATCGCCTGGTTGAATCCGTTCTCACCGCCGTAGGAGACGTCGACAACCTTGACGATCTTGGCCTGCAGGCGCTGGTCAAACATGTCGGACTGCGAGAGCTCGGTCTTGAAGTCGGCCGAACCAGCAAGGACCAGGCCGGTGACGTTGACCTTGTCGTTGGTGATGTAGAACTGGACAGCAAGCTCGGCAATCTTGCGGACGTAGTTGTGGCGCTTTTCCTCACGCAGACGGGCGAAACGCAGGGCGGACTGACCACCGCGGCCGTGCTTCTTGGGCAGGTCGACGGTCAGCTTGTGCAGAATCTCGCGGGTGTTGCCGGCCAGGGTGCCAAAGAGAGTGCCGTTACCATCCATGACGATGAAGCCGAATTTGGAGTCGGACTCGAGCAGTTCGGCCAGGGCCTGGGTATGGAATTTGTTGTCGCACATGTAGAGCGAGGTGTTGATGGGCTTGAAGGGCTCCAGATCAATGTTGACCTTTTTCTCCTTTCCCTCCTCGGTGATGATCGTGCCACAGTAGATGACCAGACCGTTGGGGGGCACCTTGGTGTAGAGCTTCAGACGCTGCTGTGTTGAGGTGATGGCGCCCAGCACGGAGAGACGGTTGACACGCGACTTGATGTTGGAGGCTGTTCCATATTCATCTGCCAGCATTCTGACAACTCGCGAGATCTGATCCTTGGGCTGCACGTTGCGATTCAGGTGGGCATGATCGTGGACCGAGCAAGTCCGAAGCGCATTGGAGGCGGCAGGGTCGGTTTGGTTGCGATGGAATTGGGTGTGGCGTGTCGCAAACACATGCGCCATCAAGAAATGACATGGGTCAGTATGCGTGCACTTTCCCAAAAACTACTTTGGCGACACTGGCGATGTGGATCACAAGATGCATTGGACACAGGCTGGACATGGCCAGCTGATCCACCACAAATCGCAGAGTTCTCTCTGTGAAAGAGATGCAAAGACGGATCGACGCAAGGCTGGAGCGATGAAATGATGGAGCGATGCGTACGGGAATGATCAAGGAGATCATGGAGGTTCCGTTGCCACGGGCAGCCTCGAGGCCCTTGATGAGCCTCTTGATCTTCCACATCTCAATGTTGGAGTCTCCGGATTCGGGCTTGTCGCTCATTTTGGTTGCTCTGGCTTGATGCTCTGATGGGTGCTGTTAGGGGGATCGGGATGGCAGGGAAACGATGTCTAGGATTGGAGGGCCACAGCAACCGACATGGCGAGCCACAATGCACGACCACGGGAAGATGGGTAGCAACGATGTACATGGATTAGGATAATATTGGGCACATGGTTGCCTGGATGCGAGCTTGGGAGCGGTTGAAACCAATCAGAATAAATAAAAGTGGGGGAAGGAGGCAGAAACGTGCTGAAAGCGGCTTGGAAAGGATTGACAGGGGGGCGAGCTGGTTTGGAGTCTTGCAGATAGATGCCAGGAGGCAAATCCACGTCGGACATGTGCGTCGTTGTCTCGGCGAATGCGAGGGTTGTGTGCAGCGAGGGCCTGTTGGCTCCAGCCCGAATGATGATCCAGGAGTCGAGTGACGCCGAGCTTGGGCAGAGGAGCAGACGCGGTGGCTTTCCGGGATCAAGCGAGATCCATCGACGAGATACAACGAGGTCGATTGACGGCGAGAACGATGCCCTGAACCGGACAATGCCCGTCAGGAAGCAAGACCACGACGACAGGCGCGGCCGAGCGTCTGCGAGCGGAATCGCAACAGACAGCGAGCATCGGACAGCGGCTCTTTCCCGTCCCCGAAGGAAAGACAGACAGGAAAGGGGGGGGAGGGTAAAGATGGAGGAGTTCGAATGGATGCAGGATCAAGGAGCTTACCCTCTCTTCTCTACAGCTTGGGCGGCAGACGCACGGGATGGCGGTGATAGGAGGAGGAGCAGGAGGAGGAGCAGAGCAGGACCGGGGGCCGGACTCGACGCTGGGCTATAATCCAAATCGGCAAAGCGTTCCCAAGAGGAGAATCAAGCACCCGCAAACGACGCAATCGCCGCGGCCCGACTTTTGCCCGAAAAGGCACGAAAAAAAGAGGGAAAAAAAGGGCGCAGTCGCATGCGCCACAGCCACTGTGTGTGTGTGTGTGTCTGGCGTGTGTGTGTGTCCGGGGCATCTCGGCAATGGTCTCGGCGATGGTCTCGGCGATGGTCTCGGTGGCATCTCGCCAAGCGAGAGCATCCCATACACACACACACATCGATGGGAATTCATGAAGATGGCTTGCCAATGGAATCGCTCAAGCTACTTGCACTTGGCCGCTCCCAGCCGGGTCCAGGACACGATCCCAACGTCCTCCTGTCGACCAGTGATCAGTCATGGCGTATATTCTGTACTTTGACATGCCTCGATATGCCCCTCTGAGCGCACTGGAGACACCAGAGTCCTGGACAGGTGAGGTCGAAATCGCGACCGATTGACCTGGCCTGGCTCTCATGGGCTCCGCCCCCCCCCCTTGTCGATGAGCACATTCGCTCGGAGGCTGAGAAACCAAAATGCTGCGGCAAAGCTGCTCCACACAAACGACTGGGGCGAGGGGAGCCATCACGACCCAGGATCATATATCAAGTGCAGTGGCGGGTGACGGGCGAGGCTGGGACAGCAACTCTCGGACGGTCCCAGCCGAGGACGGGGGTTTGTCTTGGACTGGAGCCTGGAGAAGCAGCAGCTCCCACCACCATCCTCCCTCCCCCTCCTTTTACTTACTCCTCCGACTCGGCGGTGGCCGTGCCGCGGCGAAGCTTGGCCCGACGGCCCTTCTTGCCATCGGCGGCGCCAGTCGGCGAGGTGACGGGAGCAGCGGCAGGCTTGGCAGCCGAGTTCTTGGGGTTGGGCGACGGCTGGCTCTTGGGTGTCGGGGTGCCGGGAGCAGGCTTGCCCGTGGAGATAGGCTTGGGAACCGCCTTGGGAGTGCCGGCGGGATTGGCCTTGGCATTAGGAGTGGTCGGGGTGGTCGGCTGGTTCTTCTTGGCAGAGTCGTCCTTCTTGCCTCCCTGGGCCTTGGGCTTGGGAAGCGCGGGCTCAGGGATCGTCTTGGCCTTCTTGGCCTTGGGAATCTGGACGACGGGGACCGGGGGTGCCGGAGGCTCTTCTTCGTCTTCCTCCTCGTCCTCCTCCTCGTCTTCCTGAGAGCCATCGTCGTTCTCCTCTTTCACTCCCCGCAGAGGCGTCTCCGGTTCGTCGCTGTCGCCCTCCAGGGTATCCGCGGCTTTGCGCTTCTCGGCACCCTTGGAGCTCAGCGAGCGGTTGTACTTCTCCTTGGCAACGTCGTAGATCTGCTTGTCCTTGTGGTAGGCGTCGTAGAAGGGCTGGGGGGGGGTGCGTGCATGCAGCCACAACGATGAATTCCACCGATGATACCAGCAAGATCGCAGTGGAGATGGGTATGAAAAGTGGAAATGGGATCAGCCAGCGGGTCCACAGTAAGTGCCCGATACGGCGACGCGCTTACTCTACCTGTCGCTCCTCCGGAGTAAGCTTGGCCCACAGTCCGGCGGCAACGGTGGTGATCGCCATCTGATTAAAGTTGGGGTTTTGCTCCCCAATCTCGTCGCGGACCGAGGCGACGAAGCGGAGATAGGCCGAGGTAGGCGGAGCCGGGCGGTTGGGATCACGCACTTTCTTCTTGTGGGCACCTCCGTCCTGTCTGTTGTTTTCTTTGTTGGTCGGGAGGAAGCTTGCCAGCTGCTCGGTCAGAGCACGCAGGCCGTCGACGACTTGGCCGATGGCGTTGATGAACTGGAGCCGCCAAAGGCAGTGCGATATGAGCAAGCATGCAGCAGCAAGGATGTCGAGGTTTCATGGATCACGATTGGAAGTCAAGGAAACTCGATTGCCCGTGCGATCCTTCGACGGACCTTCGGGATATGAACATTTGGATCGCCACACAAAGTACAAATAAACGACGCAGAAGGAAGGACTGGAGGGTCTTACCTTCACGCCTGTCTCGGTTGCGGCGAGTTCAGCGCTGAGACGGTTCTGCTGTTGCAGAGCAAGAGTCGCGGGGCTCGGTTTTCTGCCCATGTCTGTGAGTTCTGGGCCGGATGGAAGCCGCCGGGGGAACAGACGGGATTGGGTTACAGGGAGTCACGGTGGGCCGGGATCAAGATCCCAACGGATAGGACCAGGGTTGGGGATGGATGGATGGATGGATGGATGGGCAAGATGGGAGACATGGAGGGCAAGGTAGTGGTGGGGACAGGTTTGTTGTTAGTTGGTGGGGGCACCTGGGAAAGATCTGCGCTCCGGAACAAGATCGAGCGATCGCTCCGAGCCACAGCCCGCCGGCGATCGGTGACAAAGGCTCAACGATCGCCAAGCAGGGAGCCAGTAGAGAGGCTACAGAGGATCCATGTGGATGAATGGCGAAATGCAGACATCCGAGCACAGCGATCGAACCTGGTGGGGGGGGGCGGGAGATTGGTGTCTAACGGGACGACCAGGGATGAGCGATAGAGGGGTTAGGGGAAATGAGGATGCCGCGCTTGGGTCAAAGACGGGAAGACGGGCTGGAGAGCACGAGAGGGAGATGTGGGAGAGGGCGACAGCAGCGCTAATGACAGGGGGCCGCGGGCATTAGCGCGGGAATCGAGAGCGACAGCGAGAAAAAAAAAAAAGGTGGGTCGGTATGACAACAGAACACACGTGCTGACGTGGCTGACAGGCGTTTGCTGTTGGTCTGGCTGTTGGTCTGGCTGTTGGTTTGGCTGTTGATAGCGACAGAGACGATCGCTCCAATCAGTGTTTTGGTGAGGGGAGAACGACCAGCACCCAAAACAAACACGCCCCAGGATGCAATCAACCGAACCCTCTCTCTCACCACACCGTAGTGCTGTGGAATGAAAGCGTGTTTCGCACAGCAGAATCAAAATTACAGCTAGTGAGTCCCGCACAAAGGGACACCAGAGGGGCGGCAGCTATCCAGAGCTCTGGACAAACGTTATCGGTTTTCCGTTGCGTGGACAGCTGGGGGTTGTGATAGATGCGTTGGTATGCATTGGGAGGGGGTGAGATATATCTCCTCCTTCCTTTTCGGCCGACATTGGGCTAGGATTGAATCGTTCGCCGTCTCTCGGCCGGATGGTGGAGGGGATGATGCCGAGGTGGGAAATTAGGCGTTGTAGGTCGACGAGGCGACACGGCCGCCGCGGCCGGTCCAGTTGGTGTGGACCCACTTGCCCTCCTGGCCCTCGATCTCGTAGGTGTGGGCACCAAAGTAATCACGCTGTTGGCAAGGAGAAGTAGAAGCGTCAGCAACCAGATCGGCCGACAGGGCTGATTGCCGTGGTAAATGCGCCATGGCGAGCGGTATGACTGATGACAACCCATCGTCTAAACCACACACAATCAACAGCCAGACGGGTGGATCATGCTCACCTGGGCCTGGAGGAGGTTGGCGGGGAGCTTGGCAGATCGGTAGCCGTCGTAGAAAGACAGGGCAGACGAGAAGCAGGGAACGGGGACACCGAGGAGGACGGCCTGCGAGACGACGCGACGGAACGAGGGGATGGCGCGGTGGATGGCGTCGGTGAAGAACGAGTCCAGGAGGAGGTTCTGGAGTCCAGGGTTCTTGCGGAAGGCGTTGGTGATGTCGCCGAGGAAGCGGCTGCGGATGATGCAGCCACCACGCCACATGAGGGCGATGCCGCCGTAGTTGAGGTTCCAGCCCTGCTCCTTGGCAGCCTCACGGAGCTCCATGAAGCCCTGGGCGTACGAGATGAGCTTGGCAGCGTAGACGGCCTGGCGGATGTCCTCGACAAACTGCTGCTTGTCGCCGGTGAACTGGGCCTGGGCGTGGGACTTGAGGATGGTGGAGGCGTGGACACGCTCCTGCTTGAGAGCCGAGAGGCAGCGAGCAAAGACAGCCTCGCCGATGAGGGTCACAGGGGTGCCGAGGTCCAGGGCAGAGATGGCGGTCCACTTGCCGGTACCTTTCTGAGAGACGGCGAGTCGAAAGGCGGGAGGAAAGGACAATCGAGTCAGCCACCGTGGCAATATGTATGTGCGTGGTGTCGCTGTGACCAGCCGGCGAAGCAGGACATACCACCAGCCTCTGTTCGGCCGATTTGCAAGACCCACGACCAAAACGGGGCAGCAGCAAGAACGTACCTGGCCAGCCTTGTCGAGGATCTTGGCGACGAGAGGAGTGCCGTCCTCGTCGTTGAAGCGGACAATGTCGCGGGTGATCTCGACCAGGAAAGAGTCGAGCTCGCCCTTGTTCCACTCCTCAAAGATGTTGCCCATCTCCTCGTGCGAGAGGCCGAGGACGTCCTTCAGGAGAGAGTAGGCCTCGGAGAGGATCTGCATGTCTCCGTACTCGATGCCGTTGTGGACCATCTTGACGTAGTGGCCAGAGCCGCCCTCGCCGACCCAGTCGCAGCAGGGCTCGCCGGAAGCAGTCTTGGCAGAGATGTCCTGGAAGATGGACTTGAGATGGGGCCTACAGCAGACCAACAAAAGGTGGAGAAGGGCAGGGTCAGGCGAAGAAGCAACGTTGCGCGAGGCGGCAATGCGGCACAACGCGGCACAATGCCACTGCAGGGGGCTGGAGACGCACAACACGACACGCTCTTACCAGGCAGCAGGCGAGCCACCGGGCATGATCGAGGGGCCGTAGCGGGCACCCTCCTCACCGCCAGAGACACCGGCGCCGACGTAGAGGAAGCCCTTGCTCTCGAGCTCCTTGACACGGCGGATGGTGTCGGGGAAGTGCGAGTTGCCACCATCGATGATGATGTCACCGGCCTCGAGGTAGGGGAGGAGCTGGGCAATGAAGGCATCGACGGCATCGCCGGCCTTGACAAGGAGCATAACCTTGCGGGGGCGCTTGAGCTTGGCGCAGAGCTCTTCGATGGAGCGGGCGCCCTGGATGTTGGTGCCTAGAAGGCCGAAGGGGAGCCGGTGCGGGATAGAGGCTCGAGGTTAGCACGAATGCTACTGCGGCCACGGACAGTTGCACGTTTTTGAGCGGGGTGGTGGTGCCCAGCACGACAGAGCGCCGTCGCTGCGTGGGCCGCAAGACGACGGGTGTGCCCAAGGCCAGATCCAGCCAGATCCACGAGCGAGACAACCAGGGGTGCATTGCACAGCGGTGGATCTATGGAGGAACTCGCTCGAGACGCGCAGGCGCACGATGTGCGGGATCGACACTGACCCTTGGCCTCGTGAGCCAGGAACTGGTCGACCTTCTCGACAGTTCTGTTGTAGGCAACGACGGTGTAGCCGTGGTCGTTCATGTTGAGGATCAGGTTCTGACCCTGCATTTGGCGGAGGAGGTTGGAGGCAAAGGGCAGATCGGTGTCAACAACTAGATCGACCGAGAAACAAGCAGCCGTCGCGACGAGCAGCGGCAGGGGAGAGCAAGATGATGGCGAAGACGTACCATGACGGCCAGGCCGATAAGACCGATATCACCACTGCCGAAACGACGGGAGCGACGCCGAGCGAATAGAGAAATTGGGCGATGCCACAGAGCATGCAGACGAGCCAGAGCCAGAGAGTAAGCGCTTGTGGAGCTCCTCCCCCTTTCTTTAAAAAGAAGCCGAGGCAGCAGAAGATAGCAGCATCGACACCTAGACAATGCGGCTGGCAAACCTCCGCAGACCACGACCCAGACATGCGCGATGAGATCAAGGGCTTACGTGGGAGCAGACATGGTTTGCGATGGAGAAGGATTGAGCAGGTGGAGAGCAGATGAGGCAGGACGATTCCAGCAACGCAAGGGTCGAGGCAACGGCGGGACGCAAACGGGTTTATATCGCGATAGAGGCGTGCTGCGGGCGAGGGCCGAGAAACGGCTGCGCGAACACAAGATTGCGGTTTGGGGGAGAGAGCGCGGACGAGGGCCAGGGCGAGAGACGGCGATCGAAGGCGATGGAGGGGCGAAAAAGCAAAAACGGGAACGAGATCAGCCGCGGGGATTGGAGCGCGACGGCACCAGCCAGCGGGGTGTTTGTCAGCGAGGGGGTGAAAGGGAGGACATGGCAGATCCAGTGCGAGAGACTTGTCTAGCGCCGTGATATCAAGCGCAGAGTGCGAGATATCAAGTGCAGGTGTATCAAGTGTGGATTTATCAAGTGCAGGTGTATCAAGTGCAGAGTACAGATGACATTGTCTCAATTGGGTCCGGCAAGACTGGGCTGGACAGGACTGGACTGGACCGAACTGGATTGGATTGGGCGTCGGCGCCGGCCTTGTCCTGCCGGTCTTGGTCTCTGGATGGTCTCGTTCTTGTCTGCTCTCGCTCGGTGGCAGAACGGACGATGCTCTGCCATGCCATGCCATGCCATGCCATGCCATGCCATGCCCGCTGCTGCATCGATCCTGCCGAATTGAATCGCTGCTGCTGCTCGCATGGATCCACGGCAGGCAGATCCAGGACGGGTCTCGCTCTGTCCCGTCCTGTCTCAAAGCAGGTGGGATCTGTGCCAAGGGTCTCGTCATGCTGCTATCGCGCCTGGCACCGATCCGTACAGCATCTGATACGCCCTGGCGCCTGGCGCTGTTCCTGGCGATGACAAACCTGCGGCTGGGCTTGGAGTCTATGCTTGGAGCTTATGCTTGGAGTTTGGGCTTGCGCTCCGAGGCTTGGCTCGGCAAACAGCGCCAACCAGCCACGCCATGCGCAGCGACCGGAACAGAGGCGTTGTGGACACCCGATGGCATATGATGATCTGCGGGCCGTGCGATTACCCCCGCTGGGCCGTGAGCCGCAAGACGGACGATGCATCCTGTCCTTTGCCCACACTCGCTCCCCATGGTGGGCGACGGACGGATGTGTTTTCAAGAGCCAGAGAGGGTGATATACAGGGTGCTCCGTTTTTATTAATGAATGCCGCCGATGTAGACAGTGCAGGATGGGTGTTGGCGAGCCGCGTTGCGAGGCGCGCTCTCTATTCTACATGAGTTGTATCGCTGGGTATGGACCTAGCAATACGTGGGCTTGGATGGCGAGGCCAGAGTGGAGGAAAGAGTTGGACAGAGAGGGTATACCATTTGGCAATCCAGACCGAATCGCCCAGGCTCGAGGCGGGCAAGCAAGCAAGCAAGCAAGCCCCCGGCGATGAGACACGGACTGCTGCGGATTGTCCTGGTACTCCTCTGTGGCATTCCTCTGTGACAAGATCACAGGGCTACTGCTTTAGAGCAGAGTGGGGCGGACAACAACGACGGGAACCTGGCAGTGGTCGAGGCAGTAGGCGCCAAAGTCGTGGCTGGACTTTTTCTGGTCGTAGCCAAGGACGAGAGTGCTGGCCTTGAGGTTGACAGCCTGAGGCAAAGGGAGAAAGCCGGGACAGAGTCAGTGCCAGCCCGAGAGTCACTCAATCCATGCGTGCGATTCATGGCGATTGATGGCGATTGATGGCGATCGGAGCCGCCGTCGACGGGCTGCGGACAGTAATACTCACAGCATTGCAGAGGGCAACACGAGGATCCTGGTCGGCGTGGACAACACGGAAGTAAGTCTCGATCTGGCGCTTCTCGGTCTTCTCCATCTCGAGGAGCAGGTTGTTGGCGCGCTCCTGGGCGAGCGATTCGGCGGCGCTCATCTCGGGAGTGAGCTCGGAGACCTTGGTGGTGCCCTCGGTCCAGCCGGGCAGGACGGTGATGATGGTAGCGGTGTCGCCGTCGCTGAGGAGATGGCGGTAGGCCCAGGTGAAGGTGAACGACGAGGCGTCGGTGAGGTCAAGGCCGATGACGTAGTGCGACATGACAGGCAGGTTGGAGAGAGAGGCGGGTGCGGGTGCTGGAGGCAGATGGCGCTGTTGGAACTGGTGGAAGAAACACAGTGGAGACCAACCCGGCGACGCATCGGCCCGTCGCGGTTTTATCGTCGTCGACGGGCATGCCCGTCATCATGACTCACCAGCCGCCCGTGCTGGAGGGAACCGCGCCGCCGGCAGCCGGGATGGCGTTGCGTGCGCTGGCAGCCAGCCAATCGCAGGCGGACACCGGTCTGCAGCGCCACACGGCGGCCTTGCCAGCGGGGCGACGGTGGCGCGGCAGCAGCGACGCGCCTGTGCTGCGCGATCACAGCAGATGAATTCATTGAGCCGGCAGTGACTCACGGTGCGCCACGGCGCGCTCTCGCTGGGGAGGCGAGAAGGTCTCGGTGCTGGCTCGATGCTGACTCGATGTTGACTCGGTGCTGACTCACTGGCTGAATGGTGGACCAGCCAAAGACCGACTCGCTCATGATGGTTGTTCGGCTCGTCTCGCTCGGGACATGCCGGTGATACCAGATCTGGCATGGGCTTGGGCAGCGAGCTCGTCCTGGGAACTGCCATCTGGGTCCCGGCGACTTTGGATGCACCGATCGATGTTGGGGTTGCTGTGTCGTCAGGATCCAGGATCCAGAAGAGCGGCCGCCCTCGACCGCATGTCGTGGCGATATGCCCGGTTCACCAGCGAGTGCATCAGCAAGTGATCAGCGAGTACATCAGCAAATGCATCAGCAAATGCATCTGCGAGTGCATCAGCGATCGGCCACACATCGACCGTCAAGCATCGATCGCACATCAAATGCCATCGATCGCACATCAAATGCCATCGACGGAATATCAAGTGCCAGCAGCCCAATGTCCTCGACCAGCGCTCCCATGCCACCGCCCCAGCCCATCCGCCAGCATTTGCACCCACCGCCGCCCACGCCCGCACACACACACACCCGCGCCGCCGTTTCGCCTTCGTCTGGGCCGCTCCTTTTCCTTCGCCCGCTTGCCCACCAGGGCCCTCCTCCTGTTCTCACGCACAGGCCTGGCCCTCCCTTGCCTCGCGCGAGCCCTTCTGCCATACAACCCCTATCCCACGCCCGCGTCCACGCCGTCCATCTCCAGCCGCCGATGGGCCGAACACCCAGAAACCCGGGCTCCGTCCCGCCCACCGTCCCGTCCATCGTCCCTGTCCGCATCGACCCCGCTGGTCCTGTGCATATCGACATTGCCAGCCACCAGCGAACGGTCATCAAGGTGGGTCTGCCTGTCCTGCATGACCCTGCACGGCTCCTTGGCTCCTTGCCGTTCATGGTGCCTTCTGGTGATGCATCCGCGGGGTCCGGACGGCGGATCTCAGCATCCCCAAGTGTTTCCTGGGCCATGTCGTCGCTGAATGGGCACAACCCGTCGGCTGAGTGGGCAAGCCGTCAGCCTCTTGTCATTTGGCTACACCTCTCTCTTGCCAGCTGTCCGTTCCTCCATCTTCCCCCCACGAGTCTCTGGTTCTCTGGCTGTGTGCGATGCTGGTCCATCTCGCTTTCCCTGACGGGGCCATGTTGACTATCCGCTCCGCTGCTGCTCATGATCCGTCGCTGTCCTCACCATTGGGTTTGCTCCTTCGCCACCAGCTCGCCACCGCCGTCGACCACACCATCATCTCGCTCCAGAGACTGAAGGATGCCTGTCTCGAATGTCTCTCGACGACCCTACCCTTGGCCGCCCCTGCCTCAGAGCCACCCATCCAGCATTCTCCCGGGCCCGTCCTCCCGGCTGTGTCCGCGCCTGCCATCCCGGCCCAGACGGTGTTGCCTGCATCCAAGCATGCCCGGACAAAGGATCCCAATCGTCCTGCACGCCCCATGACGAGCTACCTCATGTTCTGCGAGGATATCCGCGATCAGGTCCGCGAGCAGAACCCCAGCTTCGGCCCGCATGATGTCGCCAAGACCATCGGCCAGCTGTGGAAAACCATGGCTGACGAAGAAAGGATGGTACGGACCCCCAGTGTTCGCGAGCTGCTGTCTTCCACTCTCTTGGCTGTGCCGACGAGACCCTCTACTCAATCTTCTGTCGTGGATTGACGCATGGCTATTGATCTCTCTGCACATTCATAGCCATACACAACCCGGTACGAGGCCGCCAAAGCGAAATACGACGCCGCCATTGAGGAGTACCACCAAAACCAAGCCCCCAAGAGCCTCCAGCCCATCGAGCCTGTCAAGCCCGGCCCGCCTGAGGCCAAGGCTAAGCGCCGCTACAACCGCAATCCAAACATTCCTCCTCGACCGCTGACGAGCTTCATCATCTTCAGCAACGAAGTGCGCGAACGCCTGCGACACGAGCGCCCCAATCTCAAGCCTCACGAGATTGTCAAGACCATTGGAGTGCTCTGGCGAGGTCTCAGCGATCAGGAGCGGCAGGTGAGCGCAGTAGCTGGGTCACGAAACAACCCACGATTTGCGTGGGAAGGCAGCATGAATCGCGGAGATCGCTGTCCCGGCGGGAACCCTGCGACAAAACCCATCGATATGTCCGGTTGTCGGTGGTTGCAGCATTGCACAGTGGGACACAGAGCGTATCAAACAATTCCCCGTTCCGCACCAAAGCCGGCGATGCGCACACCATCGTCGCTTTACTGACAGCTCCTTGCTGATCCTCTCCCCTGTGATGCAGCCGTATCTGGACCAATACGAGCTCAAGATGCGGACATACAAGGCCGCCAAGGATGCCTACCAAGGCTTGCATGACGTCGGCGCCAGTGGGAGTGGGAGCGCCCCGGTGGCGACAAGTTTGGCTGCATCACTCAGCGGCAGCATGGTCAGCGATCAGACCCACAGCCATGGCCATCTCCCCATGACCGGCACCGAAACTGCAGTCGCCAGTATCTATCCAGTCGGCTTCCCGATGTTCCAATTCTCAAACATGATTGCCTCCAGTGAAATACCTCTTGCTGGGCCCAGCAACAACAATAACGGAGGCGACGCCATCAAGAGCGTGGGGAATAATGCCAACGCAAACCAAGGGGGCAATTCACCCGCCACGCTTCAAGGCACCGTCGCTGCATCTATCCCCAGCCCAACTCCAGTGCCTGCTCCATTGGCGCCTGTGCGCAATGGCAAGACCAGAGTCCGTCCTGCAGCCCGACAAACTCAGTCGGCGACCAAGGCATCAACGCCCGCCAAAGCCAAGATATCCCCCAAGACGGATACCAGTGCCCAGAGTGACACAGCGACATCAAAGATCGAGAAGCGCAAGCGAAAGACATCAAATGCGCCTGCGACACAGCCAAAGCAGGCCAGGACCCGCAAGGCTCAGTCCGAAAACCAGAGCGAGTCAGCGGCTGAGCCGCCCACGAAACGAGGTCGACGAGGATAAGGATCAACACGAATAGGAGTGTGCTCGGATCCGGGGTAACATGAACGGCCCTTGCCTCCGTATTCCCCCCCCCTCAATGACGAAGAATGCACTGCTTGCACCTTCACAACCACCCATACTTACCGTGGAAACTCTTTACGATCGTCGATTGTGATTGATCTGTTGCGCCATCCCAGAAATTTTCCAGTTTTGATGTGAAACGTTTTGCTGTTCAGTATTGCGTTGCAGCCGCTTTCTGTGCTTCTATTCAGTGCCATTTTGTGTTGGTTTGACGATTATGATATTATCTGTTTGATGTCGAGTCATGCCGCCATTGAGTGCATACATGTCCTTGACGGCCCGTAGGACTCGGACCTATGTTTCAAATATGATCAGTAGTCCTTCCTGTTTCAAGAAAGACACCAAGGAATTCAATAACACACACGAAACTGGGACAGGGAGGTGGAGGCGAAGGCGTGTGAAATGGATGACTTCAATGGGTGGTCCGGTGTCCACATGAAGCGGAACCAAGAATGGATGGTCGTTCGCGGCAAGTTGAAATACAGCTGAGATCACAGGAGAAGTGCCAGGACCCACTGGCCAGGACATGGACCACCAGCAGGTCAGCACCAGTTTGGATGATAGCCCAAAACACCAGTGCACCGACAGAGCCATCAACACTTTGGATATATTAGAGATTAGAGATTAGAGATTAGAGATTAGAGGATAGAGATTAATGACGGAGAAGAGAGGATGGAGAGTATAGGGGGTATAGAGTATAGAGGGGATAGAGAGTATAGCACAGGGAGCGAGTAACGACCATCGAGGGTGTCAGTGTGAGGAGGGTCGTGAGTCGAGTATGTCTCGAGAGTCGGGTATGTCTCGAGAGCTGAGTATGTCTCAAGAGAATGCTTCAAGAGTCGGGTATGTCTCAAGAGAATGCTTCAAGAGTCGGGTGCGTCCCGAGAGTTGAAAAAGAGAGTTGACGATGAGAGCTGACGAGGAGAGTTGACGGTGCCCTGGCTGTTGCAGCGGAATAATTGCAGCAAAGAGCTGAGCAACGACAGAGACCAAAGAGTTGGATAGAAAGAGAGCGAGGAGGGGAGGGTGTTCGACCCAGAGTCTCTACGCCCCGACATACAGCGGATTGTCAAAGACGCCGCCTGGCGATTCGTACAGCGGATTGGCCCGTGCGGCATTCGACAGTGCGTCGCCGACGCCGCTGTTCATGACGCTGGACGACACCGATCCCGGTCGATAGAAGAATGCTGCAGCTCCAGCGGCTCCCACGGCAGCGACGCCGCCCACCACCGACGCCGTAATCACCCCGATCGACGGACCCGTCGATGTCGGAACGCTCTCGGTCGGGATGCAGCCCACAAACGGCTGGTACTCGATCGTCATGGCCGCCTGGGTCGACCCAATGTCGTTCTTGTAGCTGTTGGCATAGACGTTGCCATAGACGACGCCCGACGGCGAAGCCACATCAGCACTCGGGGCCAGAATCATTCCTTGGAGCTCGACGTTGGCCAGCTGGAGGCTGGTGGCCGCCACAAGGTTGAAGATCACTCGGCTGCGATACGGCTCCAGGACCGACATGTCGCAGCTGCCGACCGAGACACTGGTGCCGCCAACGTTGATAATCAGGGTGGCCGACGGACACGAGGTCAGAACATCTTCGCCTAAAAGCACGATCCGCTGGGCCTGCTGCAGATTTGCGGCCGAGAGCGAGGCGGCAAACACGTTGGAGGAGGCGTTGGCGTTGCGGAGATCAAGGGTCAGGTCGGTTCCGTTGAGGAAGGACTGGACATTGGCCGAGACGGCGGCGAGGCTTGAGGAGAGCGCCGAGAGATACGAGAAGGTGGCGGTGAAGTCGGTCTTGTTCTGATGGCGGCGGCGTAGATCCGACAGAGTGACCACGAAGGCGCAATGTGTGGGTTGTGGGTTGTGGGTTGTGGGTTGTGGGTTGTGGGTTGTGGGTTGTGGGTTGTGGGTTGTGGGTTGTGGGTTGTGGGTTGTGGGTTGTGGGTTGTGGGTTGTGGCAAACATGCAATGCACACAAGTACATTCAAACATGGGTGGAGGTTTATAGTGCAGATGCACCCAGGAATATGTTGAGCGATAAAATGTGAGCGAATGTCCTCGGCTGATAGCATTCAGTCACGCAGCGCAGGAGCACTGCAACACCAAGTAATTGCTTCACAACAACCGCAGCTCGAGCTCGCTGCCACTCAATACTACTGTCACCAACGTTCCGATTCACCGGCGCTCCCACTGCCCACATCACGATCCGCCGCTCGCGCGAGCCCATGTATCGTGCATCGTGCATCGTGCATCGTGCATCGTGCATCGTGCATCGTGCATCGTGCATCGTGCATCGTGCATCGTGCATCGTACATCGTACATCGTACATCATGCATCATGCATCATGAATCGCTTGCACTTACATAGATCGATCCGCATCCTGAGCTTACAAACGATACTGATTCGGTGGCGTTCTGTCCGCTCGCAAAATAGCCGTTCGATACCGTCAGGGCCGAGTCGGTCGAGAATCGCGCGTCCACCATCGACTTGTTGACGCTCTGATCGACAATCGCCGAGTTGGCAAGATAGACCGGGAGTTGGTTCTGCGAGAGGAAGCCAGTAACTTGGTCGCACGAACCAAACTGGCCGTCGTAAAGGGAGCGACCAACATCCAGGTTGTTGGATACGATGCTTCCGCCGACTGCGATTCTCCCCCCAATGGCTGTTTGAGCGCGTCCAAGGTCCAAAAGAGAACGCACAGGACGAAATAGAGCGAGGGTGACGTATCGATGATGTGAGGGAGACATATGGATCGCGTGATAGCAATAGCGGATGATGGCATCCGGACGATGGCACAGAAGGTCCGTAGACGGCGTAGGGATCGGAAGCGATCGGTGGATAGAACATTGATATTTGTCGGCATTTGTTGGTATTTGTCGGTATTTGGTGATTGAATCCACCGATGGTAATATTGATGGTTGATATTGATGGTTGACATTGATTATTGATATTGATGGTGGGCGACCATATATGAGATGTAGATGATTGTGCGTGAGAAACGGTATCCAGGCCCGCGCCAAACTCCCAAGCGGAACCCGATCAGAACGCTATGTGCCTTTCAAATCCCAACACTATGCGCTCACTTCTATATCCATAACAAACAACATATCAGGACCCACTCTACGGCCCATAAAAATATTCACTGATATCGAATGGCTCCAGTGAGGATTGACTACATACCACCATTGCTGACAACCACGTCACCACGAACAATGAGGCTGTATCCGCCAGTGAGATAGCTTGAGGAGGGTCCCCAATACTGGTTTCCACACGACCAATTCGGTAAGGCGGCACAGGTGATTGAAGGAGCTGGGGCTGACGAGGGCGAGGGCGAGGGCGAGGGTGAAGGAGAAGGTGAGGGAGACGGAGACGGAGAGGGACTTGGAGACGGAGAGGGACTTGGAGACGGAGAGGGACTTGGAGACGGAGAGGGACTTGGAGACGGAGAGGGACTTGGAGACGGAGAGGGACTTGGAGACGGAGAGGGACTTGGAGACGGAGAGGGACTTGGAGACGGAGAGGGACTTGGAGACGGAGAGGGACTTGGAGACGGCGATGGGCTTGGTGATGGAGATGGAGATGGACTTGGAGAGGGAGATGGTGATGCTGATGGCGAAGGACTTGGAGACGGCGATGGAGAAGGAGAGGGAGATGGGCTTGGTGATGGAGATGGGCTTGGTGATGGAGATGGAGATGGAGACGGACTGGGGGATGGGGACGGTGATGGTGAAGGTGAGGGAGACGGAGATGGAGATGGCGATGGCGATGGCGATGGACTCGGGGATGGTGATGGTGAGGGTGATGCAGAGGGTGAGGGACTTGGAGAGGGAGATGGAGACGGAGATGGAGATGGAGATGGAGATGGAGATGGTGACGGACTTGGAGATGGACTTGGAGAGGGCGAAGGTGAAGGGGAAGGACTTGGCGATGGAGACGGAGACGGACTTGGTGATGGAGAAGGCGATGGAGATGGAGATGGACTGGGAGGTGGTGATGGCGAGGGTGATGGGGATGGCGATGGAGAGGGTGACGGACTTGGACTGGGTGACGGTGATGGAGAGGGACTCGGAGATGGCGAGGGTGATGGCGAGGGTGATGGCGATGGAGAGGGTGAGGGACTTGGAGAAGGTGACGGAGACGGAGATGGCGATGGTGAGGGAGATGGACTTGGGGAAGGTGATGGGGACGGGGATGGCGAAGGGCTCGGAGATGGCGAGGGAGATGGAGATGGACTGGGAGATGGAGATGGGGACGGACTTGGACTGGGTGATGGACTTGGAGATGGCGATGGTGAGGGAGATGGTGAAGGAGATGGTGATGGAGATGGCGAAGGGCTTGGAGATGGGGACGGAGATGGTGAAGGTGATGGAGATGGAGAGGGCGATGGGGACGGACTCGGGGAAGGAGATGGCGAAGGGCTTGGAGATGGGGACGGAGATGGTGAAGGTGATGGAGATGGCGAAGGTGATGGAGATGGAGATGGAGATGGAGATGGAGATGGAGATGGAGATGGAGATGGAGAGGGCGATGGGGACGGACTCGGGGAAGGAGATGGCGAAGGGCTTGGAGATGGGGACGGACTGGGAGATGGGGACGGACTGGGAGATGGTGAGGGAGACGGAGATGGGGATGGACTGGGAGATGGTGAAGGAGATGGAGATGGAGATGGTGAAGGACTTGGAGACGGTGACGGTGACGGAGATGGAGATGGAGAGGGAGATGGACTTGGAGATGGAGATGGAGATGGAGATGGACTTGGAGAGGGCGATGGGGACGGACTCGGGGAAGGTGAAGGTGATGGAGATGGAGATGGTGAAGGTGATGGAGATGGTGAAGGTGATGGAGATGGTGAAGGTGATGGAGATGGAGATGGGGATGGAGATGGGGACGGACTTGGACTGGGTGAAGGTGAAGGTGAGGGCGATGGGGACGGACTTGGGGAAGGAGATGGCGAAGGGCTTGGAGATGGGGACGGACTGGGAGATGGGGACGGACTGGGAGATGGTGAGGGAGACGGAGATGGGGATGGAGATGGAGATGGGGATGGAGATGGAGATGGACTTGGAGAGGGCGATGGGGACGGACTCGGGGAAGGTGAAGGTGATGGAGATGGTGAAGGTGATGGAGATGGCGAAGGTGATGGAGATGGGGATGGGGATGGAGATGGGGATGGAGATGGCGATGGAGATGGAGATGGTGATGGTGAGGGAGATGGGGACGGACTTGGACTGGGTGATGGACTTGGAGAGGGCGATGGGGACGGACTCGGGGAAGGAGATGGCGAAGGGCTTGGAGATGGGGACGGACTGGGAGATGGGGACGGACTGGGAGATGGTGAGGGAGACGGAGATGGGGATGGACTGGGAGATGGTGAAGGAGATGGAGATGGAGATGGTGAAGGACTTGGAGACGGTGACGGTGACGGAGATGGAGATGGAGAGGGAGATGGACTTGGAGATGGAGATGGAGATGGAGATGGACTTGGAGAGGGCGATGGGGACGGACTCGGGGAAGGTGAAGGTGATGGAGATGGAGATGGTGAAGGTGATGGAGATGGTGAAGGTGATGGAGATGGTGAAGGTGATGGAGATGGAGATGGGGATGGAGATGGGGACGGACTTGGACTGGGTGAAGGTGAAGGTGAGGGCGATGGGGACGGACTTGGGGAAGGAGATGGCGAAGGGCTTGGAGATGGGGACGGACTGGGAGATGGGGACGGACTGGGAGATGGTGAGGGAGACGGAGATGGGGATGGACTGGGAGATGGTGAAGGAGATGGAGATGGACTTGGGGATGGAGATGGAGATGGAGAGGGAGATGGTGAAGGAGATGGAGATGGACTTGGGGATGGAGATGGAGATGGAGATGGAGATGGAGATGGAGATGGACTTGGAGATGGACTTGGAGATGGACTTGGAGAGGGCGAAGGTGAAGGGGAAGGACTTGGCGATGGAGACGGAGACGGACTTGGTGATGGAGAAGGCGATGGAGAAGGCGATGGAGATGGACTTGGACTGGGTGATGGACTGGGTGATGGACTTGGTGACGGCGAGGGGTCTATGACAAGGTATTGTCAGTAACGATTTCCAAGACATCTGGCCAATACTCCTCCATCATACCTGGAACTGTGATGCACGATGTTGAATTGACGACTGTATAGTGATTTTATATGTTAGTTTCAATTCCAGTTCGCCGATGCAAAGATTTAACCTTTGTTACCTTGGACGAAAAACTGTGCTGTGTACATCGACGTCGATACCGAGCCGGAGTTGCTTATGAAAGTTTGGAGTGGATAAACCCGACAATAGCCGTTTCTTTGCAGAACTTGAGCTTGTAATGACTTTGCAGCAGCATCACCCTGAAGATTTCTCAACGTTGCAGTGGCGTTGAAGTTACTGTAGTCGCTCGATTGAACAGCAGCCCCAGGATCACCGTACTGCGCAAGTGATGTATGAACAGTACTTGTTGCTGGAGGTGGTGAAGATTTGGAAGCCAAGGATTTGTAGTACGCATTCGTGCTGTCGAATGTACTTATGGGGCCGTTAGTGTTGGCATTAAAGTCAGACTTGATCAAAATGGAGACCAATGCGTTGTTTTGAATCACCAAGTTTGCAGTCTGGGCTATTTCGTCGTAAAAGCTTTGGTTCAGTGTTATTGGAGAAGCATTGGTGCGGTAAACTTGGCCGTAGCTGGATGAGTCAATATACATGCTTGTTTGGAAGAGAGGCTCAAACAAATTTGAACTGGAGCATGGAGTATTGGAGGAGATGGCTAATTTGAAATCAACCAGTCAGTGGTTGCATTGGTACTGTCCCAGCTTGAACCACAAACAGCTCCTCTGCAGCGATGCTTACAGTATTTCGCAGCGCAACCATACTGCTGCGAGTTTTGTCCATTGACGCGATAGGCGCTAACGATGGATTGTGGACATCAGTGGGATGCCATGTTTGCCACTAGTCATGACTTTTTGAGTTTGCGTTTACAATGCTCCATCAGCAGACTTACGACAAGGTGGGTAGATCACTATCTTCATCCGTCACTAAGATGATTTGCTTCTGCGTATTGTTTCCGCTCCTCCACGAGAGCGTGCATGGAGTGGATGAAGACACGTAGGCGGTCTGATACCAGGGCCTGTCAGCATCATTTCACACGCAACAGCCGCTCTCTGTCCCCTTACATCATGTGAAGCGCAAGATCGCTTACGCTGCACGATTTTCCGAGATCGGTTGGTTTGTTCAGTACCACTCGGATAGCTTCGAGCCCTGAAGACACATGCCGTTTTGCACCGGTGAGCCGCATTATTCGTTCCGTACTCTCTCGCGAGGGGTCAGCGAGCCGTCCAGCTAAAGAGTATCTGAACTGCAGAACGTTCCTCTGAGCTTACCGGCCTCTTGTCCTCCACCACTGCACCCGATTGCATTCAAGGCGGCAGCTGCGGCGGTGCCGTTGCTCTGTAGGCATTGCACTCGTCAGTACAGCGTCAACGGAAAGGTAGTTCGGGCAATCGGCACTCATGATGTGAAAGCGCTTTACCGTGAATGGCAAGTAAAGTTGAGGTGTTCCGCCAATGGTTGCGATGGCAAACCGGGCATTGACTCCTTGACTGACCAGGCTTTTGACAAAGCCTGAGAGACCACTGGCTATTTGGGCCTGGTACGGACACATACTCCCCGAAATATCAATGATAAATAGAAAGTCTGCAGCAAGCTGGACCTGAGTTGTCGTTGTGGTGTTGGTGCATACAACAGCGGCGCTGGCGTGTGTCGCTGCGAGGAGCAACGCTGCCAGCGTTGCTGCCCAAAGCTGTCTCCAAGTAGCCAGTCGATGCATGGCCGTTGATTCCTCGCTGAAAGCTCCTGGAGAATATTGGTCAAGGCTGTCGGTTGCTCAGACCAACATGCTTATATCCCACTCGCATGGGTCGCCCACAGAGCAATTCTGGCGACACCGATCAATCACGGTGCGAACGTCCGCAATTGTCTTGGGACCGAGGCCGGCAGCTTTATTGTTGTGGAGCATGGCGTGCTCGTGCGGGCCATTCATGCAGCCCGATTGCAGGAATTTCTTGGGAGAAGCTTCCTGGAAGAACCTGCGGCGACAATGCAGCCGGGGCGGCGCTTGGGGCTGCCAGCTACGATACTGAGAGAAACAACATGTCCCGACTGGACACTGCGTGGCTCAGCCCCCACCAATCTATTGTCATCCAGTGCTGTCTCGAAACGGCCTGAGCCGCTCTGGTTTGGTTGTGAATTCGACTCCACGCTCCACAATTTCTCAGTGTCGCAATGTGTCGCAATGTGTCGCCCCTCTCTTCATTTACAGTCAATCCAATAAAAACGGGACACCCGTGATTTTGACGATTGATCAAATATTTTCTTACCCACACTGGCCACGACCGTTCAGCGATGGGATTCTGGGTCTGAATCGAGGACGCCACTGTGCAGTGTCGCTGCCACCCCAAAAATGCGCTGGATTTGATGAGATTCTTTCTTGCCCAAGGGCAGAACCAGCCATGGTCGCTATTTTCTCGCGCAGATGGCTCCCCGCAAGCCAAAGACACCACCCAGGCGACCAAGTGGATCCAGAGCACCCACAAGATCCTTGGTCTGCAGGAATGGATGAGCACCACACCAAGTCCCAAGATCACCGGGTTGGCTTCCTTCCTGCAATACATTCGCCATGTGTTCGATGGAGACATGCTGGACAAACAGCTGTACTTCAGCCTGACCCGGCGACGGCGATTCAAGCGACTCGATCTCCACAGCAAGCGACAGCGCACTGTCCACGAGATGTGCAAGCAAGTCATCGACCAGGCACCAAGGGAGACCGAAGTGGTGATTGCCTTTGGGAATGCATCCTGGAAACAGGGGAAGGGATATGCTTCCAGTCCCAGGAGACTCAGGTTTGCCAAGTATTTCGAGCAATTCCACCACCACCAGAGACGCCCACCAGACCGACCCGTCTCCAAGATCCATGTGTGCTCGGTGAACGAGTTCAACACATCCCAGGTGTGCTCACATTGCCGGGAAGCCAAGCGACTCGAGATGGTTGAGCATCTTGACATCGAGAAACCACACTTTGTCCAGAGAGTCGAGTGAATGCACCACACTCACACATCGAGACATCAATGCCTCACGGAACATGATCTCGGTATGCCAGTCGATCATCGCCATAGGAGATCGACCGGGTGTATTCAAGACTGTGCTCCCGAAATCAACGAAAACAAAGCGATTGCCAACGAAGACAGGAGTGCAATGCCATGGCCTGCCCGCTGGGTCTACAAGTCAGTCAGCGGGGTTCAGACATCTGAAGCCAGGAAGGGGAAGTGTCCCGTTTTTCTGGACCGACTGTACAAGGATGAGCCGTGTCTCGACCACTACTGCGTTGTCTGTTTTTGCCATCGATGCACCAGAGCCATTCTTGTCCCAATGACTCCAGAGTTTCTGAGGGTCGCTGCACAATCACTCGATCCAAATGAACCCTTGTGCACATAATTGATACAGAAGCCCCCCAGCAAGGAGATCCATGCCTGTTACCGACGGTGACGAGGAAGCACTGTATTGAAATTTCTCGGGAGAGAATCGGACATGATTCGTCCAGTCTCGGATGAACTAGCTCGACTCGGCGCTGGCTCAATTGAACAGTATCGCCTGTACCATCGCATCAAACTCTGCGAGCGCTACCCGACTGTGCAAGCGCGTGAGTTCGTCAGAGTCGGTAGCCTCGACATATTGCAGCTGGATATGGATGGACTTGAGGGTCTTGGGCGACACTGTGCGGATGGCGTCAGGTCCTATACCGCGAATGATAGACAGGATGGCCACTATGGCGCCTTTGATTTTGCAAAGCGCGAGTGTGTGTTAACCAAGAGTAAGCATACTGGGGCTTTGCTGGCAAGTTCTGGTTTGATGCTGAGCCAGTCGCACTGGGCGCATCTCGTTCTTTACCTCGTCGGGTTTCCACCTGCTTCTCGAGCCTCAGCGTATTGACAATATAGTCCAACACTTGGTAAATGTACGGGACGACCGAAAAGGGCGAGATTTCGGCAATCTTGGCAACGAGCGAGAGCGCGCTCATGCGCATTTCGACCTTGTCGTCATGAAGGACCGAGAGCACAGGCACCAGAATCTCAGAGGCTGGGTCCAAACGTTGAGAAAGCAAACAGCCCAGTGGTTGGTAAGTGCGAGGTGGACAGGGACACGTGTCCGAAATCAAATACGCAGGCAGGCGATATGACATATTGAGTGTGGAGCGACAGAAGATGACCAGAGAGGCAAATAATAGCTATGGGAGAGTCTGGGGTCTGCGATATCGCCGTGTGTCGCAGGCGATAGAGAGTACCCGCTTGAACTGAGCACGCCCAGCGATGCGATGCAATGAAGCGATCGGTCGAGTGTGAAGGTGCTTTGGAACCCCTGGAGTGCTGCCCTCTGCAATATGCTGCTACTGCGCCTACCATATTTTGAGAAAACCTTTCCGGACCGATTGATGGTTTGGAGCACAGCTTCGCCGATCCTTAGTCTGTAGTCCATCCCAAACCCGGCAGCGTCAGAGTAACGCGACAAGATGCGACCCATGGATTGCTGCGGATACACATCAGTCATGCAACTCAGCCCCTTGATGGAATTGAGATACGCAAAGCTATCAGGGTCCTCGATCTTGTCAAGAAAAATGTCCAGAATATCGTCAAGGTGGGTCTCGGCAACGGCATCTTTGGAGCGGATCAGGTTCATGAGCAAAGCCATCCCTCGGGCCTGGATTGGGACCATATCTGACTGCAATTCCTTGAGAGCTTCTCCATATATCCTTTGCGATTCGCCGCTCGCGGTAGCTGTTTGGGCGCAGGAGATTCAAAAGTAAGATGTATATGAGTTGTCAAAGACTCGACATCTGATACAACGCACGCTGCGGGACTGGACTTGGACTCGATTCGATCTGTGGACGACGCTCACCTGAGGCGCTCTCACAGGCAGCCAGCTTGGCGGCTATGCTCAAACGAACAGCCTTCACCAGCTCGCGCAATTCCTCATTTTCTCTGGCCGAGTGTATCTGGAGGACCACCAATACGTCACGAAGAGCATTTTGGTGCTTATGGTCCAATGTGATATCTATCAGGGGCGAAAGTATAGAAAGATACATTTAGGAATCCAAAGTGGTGCCTGCGCCTAGAGCGGTCGACCTCAAGCTTCCCGCCTACAGATTGCGCGGTAGGTCATCACCTGTGTTCAAAACGGTGGAGAGGAGCCCAAGTCCCATAATGACTCCGTCGATATCGGCCCCAAAGATCATATTCTTGGAAAACATGATAATGTGGTCGGGCTTTTTGACAATCGACTCGCCAAACTTTTGCATCATCTTCATCACCAAGTCTGTTATTCGTACGGACCTGTGACAGGAGTGTTTCGGCACGAGTCAGTGCGGGCTTCCGAATCAGAGATCACAATACGAGCGGACTCATCCATTCTTTTTTCACGGCTACGACACGGATGCAGCATACGCGTACTCGATTGGGTCCAGGCCGTCTTCTTCGAGCGCATCACCAACTTGCGACTGTTTTTCGATAAGATATATGAAAAAATCTCCAAGTACGCGTTCGTTGTCCAAGAGTTGTAGAAACTCAAGGAATTCGTCGAGGTCAAATAGGGGCCTAGATATTGGATTTGGTCAGGACTAGCACGCGGCGTTGATTGCGGCTGATTTCCGAGTTCAATGTGGGGTGAATTCGACCATAGGCATCAGAGGTACGACAATGACCCACCGTTCTCCAACGCAAGTGGGATTCATGACGATTTGGATCCCACCTGCGGGACCTGGAGCCACCCGCGCTTTAGTAAGACTGGGGTCCAGGATGATCGAGCGAAGAACGTCAACCGACACAGACGGTTCGACTAGATTCAGCACCGAGCGCAGGACCGACTCCAGGATGATCTTGGTGCTTGATTTGCTCGATCGGCAATGAGCATATGCTGCGTACATAGGCACTGTCGCTGTGAAATTGTCGAGACGAGGTGAGATCACTGAGAATGCGACATGATCCAGCCGAGATCATCAATACGCTCTGGTCATGGTCAATCGGGCCGATAATGCGAGTGTTGCGCGAAATGACGAATGCCATGCACGAGGCAAAGCAAACAGCGCGCACCTGAAGCCAAAAACTGCAGGAGATATGGACAAGGCTCGTTCCCGGCCAGCAGCTGCTCCGTCAGACACAAGCTGGAATTAATATCTGCCTCTGTCGACAGGATAATGTCTCCATTGAGGTCAAACCCTTTTGGGTGGCTGGTGGCATAACAAAGCAATCAAAAGAGGTTAGATCGGCACAAGATGACTGTTTCCAGTCCCAGGAGCCGTAGTAGCGGATCGACAACATACAGAGTCCCCAGACTGTCGCGATAGTATAACATCCAAGGCTCCGTGGCAGGATCCACGACAATGCTTCTGCTCAACTCTGGATGCTTGTTGATCATTCGAACGGCGATAAACGCGGCGGCCTTTGACAGCACCCGATGTGCATCCCGGTTGCCCATGAGCTCCAAAACCTGAGGCCCAAGAATTCGATAATACTCCTGCTCGGGAGGCGGCGCATGCATTGGGAGCCATCGGATATCAGCTCGCCATCGGATATCAGCTCGCCATCGGATATCAACTCGCCATCAGACATCAGCTCGCCATGCCGATCCACGCAACTGTCCAGCTGATTGCCAGCAAAGCGGCCTACCTGGACCGAGCTGACCTGCCACGGGGTCCGCAGTATGAGGTTCGATATCTTCTCGAGTTGCATAACATCGATAAGCTCTACGTCACAACAACAGAGCGTTCGGAGTGCAAAATCGTGTCCATACAAGATTGTCAAAATGCGATGGCATGGGCGCAGTTCAGACCGAAGCACAATGGCAAGAGCGAGCGTCAGTGGAAGAAACAAGGGCGCAGGACAAAAACAGAGATTTCACACAATGACGCAAGCCCTTGCATTAGTCTCCCGTCGTTCCTGTAGGACATCATCTGTCGGCTCAACAAAATATGTACCATTGTCAATGTCGGAGGGAAGTGTGCCCTGCAGGACGGTACTAAGCCCGCGCGGCCTCATCAGCAGCTGGGACAGATAGCGGCCAGCGATTTTCTTGAGCCAGGGCGGAGGTGGGCGACGTCCTGTGCCCTGCAAGATCATGAGCGACTCGAAGACGATGCGTACATCGAGCCTAGATTGCATTCGCGATTAGCGATAATGTCGAGCAGCGATCATCAAGCAGAGGTATACAAGAGGGCAAAGGAAGCCAGTAGTGGCAGACAGATCGTTCGTACGTCGTGAAGAGCTCTTCGAAAGCAATCCGGCATTGCTCCTGGTCATCAAAACTGGTGGGGCTCGAGGACGGCGCTGCCGTTCGGATCGCGGTTGCGGTCGAGCAGTTGGAGCGTCGCCGCATCGCAACAGAGGCAGAAGCAAAAAAATAGCCCGAGTGGCCAAATGAATCGATATCGAGAGGCAGAGACAAAATCGGTCAGCCTCGTTCAAGCCCAGACTGTCCTATATTGGCGATAATATATATAGCACGCATAATTGATAGTAACTGGCCATTTCGGCAAGTGTCGCCCTGCCAACGTCATGCCAGAACGCAGTTCAACAGACTTACAGATGCTGGAGTATCCGAGTTGTAAAAGACCGGCAAAGACATCGGGTACATAGCGGGATACCATCCACCGAGCCAAAACGGACTGCTTCTGGTGCTTCATGATGCCAGCCAGAAACAAGCAAGACTGTTGGAGCAACTGAGGCTGGGGCGAGCCGCATTTGCCGTGACCCACTTGATCTGAGCATCAGCGATAGCCGAGCGATATGGAAGAGCAAAATCGATGGTAAATCTTCGTGTGTGCCATCAACTCACCAGCCCGGTATGTACAATCTGGCCATGGACCTGGAGAAGCACTTGGAGAGAGTCGTGGCCAATGGCACAGCGAGGAAAGAGACCACAGATGGATCCAGTGTGGTCAGGGTCTTGTTCATACCTGATGAGAACGAGACTGTATACTTGATCCGATTCGAGAGGGGCAGGCCCACATTTGGCTCAAGGAATGGCGCAAGCCCCCAGAAGATAATGATCTCTATCAGGGTGTTGACTAGCTTGAGATCCTTGGCTCCAAGATCTCGCACCTTGGCTGAGGGCGACGAGGGAGAAGGGGTAAGCATGGCCGTAGGCTTGACCGATAGACATTCATTCATGGCACAGGCGCCCATACCGTCAGGATTGATAACGAGGCTATTCATTTCGTCGAGGCATCGAGTGCATTCCGCCAGCAGAAACAGCACCATAGCCGAGTCGTCGGATGCAGCACCAATATTGAGTTCTGGATTGGCTTTGAGGAGCTTTTTTCGGAGCTGGGCACCAAGAGTCTCCCCCTTTTCGTCTGGATCAGGCCCAGGGCATCAGCGATGGCAGCGCAATCGCAGGCTGGACTGTTGCGATTTGCTGGACGGAATGACAATGCTGCACAAGATGCGGAATGGCCGCGAGCTCACCCGAGGGACCGACGATATGTGCAGCTCGCTCAAGGAGTCGGTCGATCTCCATGGTCTCGGCGCCGGAGCGGCTGGGCGCACCGAAGCCGTCCTGAGCATCCATATCTCTGGGGGATACCAAGATCAAGCCAGAACCGGCGCGGCCAGAGAACGAGCCAGAACCGAGACAAGACCGACGCCGCAATGGGCACGTGACACCCGGCATGAGCACCAACATGGACATGCAACGAGCCGATTCGGAACGCAGAGCCAGTGACGGATGTACTTTGGTGGCAACAGAAAGATTCGATCTCGACACGACGCAACCCCGAGGATCCAAGCGTCCAGGTGTGTGGGTGTCCAGGCCCATCGAGCGGCCCGCCTGGGTGCCCAGTCAGCACTCAAGAGGCAATGGCATTGAAAAAATGAAAGACCTCCTCGTGGTCATAGACCGCCACCTCGGTCTCACATACCGAGCACCGCACTGGGTGGTATGTGTTTTCGCAAAGTATGCTTCCAGACGGAGAGTCGGCGCTGTTCTCGCTGGGTGGCTTCCGAGACCGTTGTTTCGAGACAGACCCGCGGCCCTGGAACCTCAGACGCTCGGTCGTCACTACTCGACAGTTCTGCACAAACATGGCCCTAAACTGATTGTGATACCGATCGTGCCTGATCAAGGGAGACGAATATTATGGAGTATTAGATCCCGGGAGTCACCGCCTGGATTGCTCGCAGCCTATGAGCGCCCACAGACAACTAACCTCTGACAGTCCAAACACAGGATGCTGAAGCACATTGGGCAGGTTAAGGTCGCATCGGTCGTCCGTCTGGCCGAGGATGGTCTCCCGGTCGGTACTGTCCCGGCAGAGAATGTGAGTGTCCGTAAGCAAGCATAGCTAGTTCCAGAATGCCACCCCGAAGGGCAACCCGAAGCGCAACCAGAGACAGCGTCGGAATCATATTTGCGCATTGCCTTCATTTGGTTTGCACGACATCCCATAACCAACCTGAATTCTGGAGCCGGGCCATCCATTGCTCATCGAGTTCGTCCGCAATCGGATCTGTGGTTCAAGAAAGGTCAAGTCTAGAACCATACAAGACTGGTTGGGTGCATCATCTCCGATCGACGAGTCTCTGCTGAGAAGCATGTCTTTACCAACCATATAGAATGTCTGGACCTCGCGGAACTTTGTACTTGTACGGCTCTGCGGGAGTCATCGCCAGCCGACAGAAGAAATGAGCAGTGCGTAAATATCGGCTCAGCGGGGACAGAAAGTCGCCTTCGAGACCTTGGCATTGGCCGATCAATTGAATCAGCGCGACCGGGCCGGTGCATACTTTGCCGGGTGCCTCCATCGTCCTGTTCGTACTCCGAGTCGGAGGAGCTGGATATGCTTTCATCTCCCGGCTCAGCTTCGTCCTCGTCGTCTGTGAGCCACAGACCGTTGTCGTCGCCCTCGTCGATATCCTCGTGGAGGTCGGGGTCGTCGTCGGGATCGATGGGCATCGGGTCAGGCTGCATTGGAGCGATACGGAAGGAGAGAACTTTGCTGGAGGAGCGGTGCTTGCTCTCGACGACAGAGGCTTTGATGCAGGCAGGGCGATCTCTGGCGGCCGTCCTGGACCAGGCATGAACAGGACAGAGCCTGAGCGGGGCGACACGCCCGATTTCAGCGACTGCGGCCCGAGTCACGCCTGCTCATCCAAGGCGAAAAAAAGTGAAACATCCGGCTCGCTGCTCAGCATTCTCTGCATCAGTCCAGCCCAGCCCAGCCCGTCTACACAATCATGAGCCCAGATTCTGCAGCGGCGGAGAGCCCCTCAACAGAGAATCCGTCGGCCGAGCGGCACTCGACCGTGCAGGTGCCCTTTGACCCAGCCAAGCCCCCGACAACGATTGACGTACTCAAGGCGGGTATCTGCCGAGACATTCAGCCGAGATAATCGGCCGAGATAGTCGGCCAAGATAGTCGGGCGAGACAGCCAGCATCGGCCGCTTGCCTGCATCTAGCGGCCACCTCCGACTCTCCATAATAGAGGCAGCAATTTCGGTCAACTAGTTGATTCATAGCCCTATCGGTGGTGTTTCGTCCGTGCAATGAACCAGGGCCATTGACTGCGATTGTCCATTTCCGCTGCAGAATCTGAAAGTTGAAGAATTCAAGCCCGACAATCTGTCGAGGCTGCCGTGTCTCAAAAAGTCGATGCTCTATGGCCTCGCCGCCGGATCGTCGATGGGCTTGGTGCGATTTGCTGTCAAGAGTAAGTTATTCCGACCGGCGAGACTTTCCAATGTGCTGGCCGAGCTCACAGGCGGGAAAGGACGCTGGCGAGTTTACCAACACAGCGATCGGCGAGTCAATGCAAGCCATCCGCCCCACCGAACGACTTGACTCGTCACTCACGATCCCTCATCGAACGATCGCCGGATAGGATCGCCACGATCTGCCGGAGATTGGGCTATGGCCACATTTGCTGTTGTGGCAGTATCGAGTTGGTAAGACCTCGACGACACCTCGCGACTGCTGCGGGAGAGAACGATGCTGGATAGCCCATCCTGATCAGCACGGGATTGACACGATTGCAGGGAGTTTTGTCGATTCCAACGAAGACTTGTTCAAAAGCAGGTAAGAGCTATGTGGCCCGCAGGAAAATAGATCGCAACCCTGGGAGGAACCGCCGTGGTCCTGCATCCAGCTCACACACAGGTTCGGCAGATGGATGCGCTCGTGAATACGAACGAAGCAGAGGGCCCATCGGCAGCCAAATCAATGCCGCAATAGAGCCTGTAGGCTCAGTCTTATTCCACTTCCCAACCGGCTCTGCTTTTATTCGAGATGAATCGCACATCAACCGAAGGATCATGGGAACGGACCAAGCTGGAACGACACTCTTGCAGCCAGTGTGTGGGGAGAAATAGATGCGCTCACAGTGCCTGCAGGACGAAACGAAGCCGTCTCTCTTTCTTGTCTCTGGCATCTGAATACAGGGGGACTTGATCCTTCCCGTTCCAACCATCCATCATCCCCTCGATTATCGCTACAATATTCAACCCAGCTTGTACTGCTCGCGCGGTCGACAGCTTCTCCATCGTGCATGCTCCGGTATCGTGAAGGACGCCCGGTCGCAACGTCGTTGGCATAGATATCGACAGTACCATGCCCAATAATGAGATCCACTATCAAGCGGGATCCCCAACACCGACTCACAGGACCATATTCATTGGAGACACGATCTCGAGCCCAGAGCTTTCCAAAGCTTGTGACGGCGGGATATTGCGCAGGATATGTGGCCGGGCCGGATTTCTGCGGCGAAACATCCGCTGAGTGGGCCACAAATCAGTTGATGCTGTTATGGCGACGACGGCTGCCCCAGGAGCGGTAGAGTTTTGATTTCCAGCTGCCAAGTGACCGGTGTGCTAGATGATGGAAATGCGAGCAGAAAGCAATGACAAGCACCGAGAACGTCCAGCGAGGGATTCCATCAGCACGCAGGCTCTGGTGGCCTTGGCACTAATGAGCAACAGTCGAGACAGCTCGGACAAGGACATTGCTGGCAGGCCCCCAGTCCGGCAGGATGTTCCAGAACAAGTGGGCGCCATTGAAGCGCTCCCCAAGCAGGCATGCCTTGGCCCCAAGGACAATCCCAGGCCCAATCACAGACCATTCTTCAACGGAAATCCTGCAGTCATTCCAGAAACTCTTTGTGGCGATGTTCCAGACAGAAATCGGCGCTTGCGCGATAGGAACGTTGGTCTACTATAAAGGCGGTGCCTGGAATCCTGCACGGCGTTCCGAGAGCAGGAACCCAACGACGACTCTCATCAAACCGGCTCATCAGGACACTTTCAGCCATGATCTCACGACGGGCACCCACTGGGGTCCTTGCCCTCGTCTGGATCATATGTAGCAGCGTCTTCATAACAGCGCACGCCGCTGTTGTCTGTACCAACACTACCACCACGACCAAAGTTCAGCTCGCCTCGGATTTTCTATTTTTGATCGACATCTCGGGAAGCATGTGTCCATACCAGACCGCGATTGCGAACGGTCTGGGAAGTTTTATCCAAAACCTTGCCTCTCAAGGCGTCAGTGCCCGCTACGGCATTGTGACCTTTGGAGGTACACCAGGGCTCTACTTGCCCTTCACAGTAAGTTGAACGTGAGTCTGTCACAGACTGCCTTCGACCAGGCGGCTGCTGACCACTACCGACCGCTGATTGACAGAGCGATCCAAACATGGCTCAAACTGCCCTAACAAACTTGGGATGCAACGGAGGAGGCCAAGAAGCAGGTATGCTGCCGAACCGCCGCAAGCAGAGACACTGTAAAGATACTCAGTTAGCTGACCGGTGGAGGTCGCCGTAGGATTGGAGGCTATTCGAGTTATCTTCAACAATCCCAACGACTTGGGCTCCAATTGCTATGTAAGTGGACCGCTGTGTCTGCTCGCAAAATTGAGATGGTCGGGACAGTAGCTAAGTCTTGCTCGTCCGTACTGCTACAGAGTCAATACAACGGCGCCTGCACTCTCACATGGAGACCTTCATCGCAAGCACAAAAGCAACTTATTCTTGTTACCGATGAGGACAGCGATATGCCAACGCTTTCGTGGGTATCCGAAGAAATCTTTGCATAGTCACAGGATCATCGTTAAAAACTAACAGTCGTGGTTGCCACCAGGAACTACCTCTTGAGCGGCCAGTCTTCAAGCCAGTATTACTGTGCTCAAATGACTTGTAAGTGGATTGGCGTGATGGGAAGTATCGAGAGAATGCTTCAGTGCGAATTTGCGGGCACAGCTCGAAGATTGGGTTTTCAGATTGGACCGAAACCAGCAGCTAATAAGAGAATATCTGCAAAGATACTGCCCAAGGATGCAGCTCGTCGATGCAGTTTGAGCCATCGTTCAGCACAAGCAAATTCATCAGCACGATATCCGGTTGGGGTGGTTTCTACCAGTACTATCGAACCACAGCTTCACCTATAGTGCTTAACAGCATAGCTTATGCAGAAATAGCGCTGACGGCACAATATATCATCAACAACAATGCTATGGTCTCGATCCTGGTCAAGTCAGACTACAATGCCAACACCAATGGTCCCATAAGCACTTTCGATCCCAACACCAGCGGCTATTACCGCTACCTTGCATCGCAGACATCATCGCCACCCGCAACGAGCACGATTCATACATCGTTGGCTCAGTACGGCGATCCTGGATCAGCAGCACAAAACTCGGACTACAGCAACTACAATCCAAGTCAGACGCTAGCAAATCTTCAGGCAAATGGGCTTTCGCAATCTCTCCAGGCCTTGATATTGCAACGAGGAGGTTATTGTAGGACTTACGCACTGCAGAACTTCATTGGCTCATCATCTGGAATGTCAAGCAGCTTTTACACTGCGCAGTTTTTCAACCAAGGTAGGGCAACGATATCACTGAATGGACTTCTGTAACAAGGAAAATGCTAACTTCGTGCCAAAAATATAATACAGTGGTGAATTCGACGACATGTGTAACCGTACCAGGTATGTAAAATGTCGATTAAAAGGTGTTCTGGATATCAACATACTGATTTGATGCATAATATTTAGATCCATCCCCATCTCCAAGTCCATCTCCATCTCCAAGTCCATCTCCGTCTCCCTCACCCTCACCTTCACCTTCACCCTCACCCTCTCCAAGTCCCTCACCCTCACCATCCCCTTCGCCATCTCCATCACCTTCGCCATCTCCATCACCTTCACCATCTCCATCACCTTCACCATCTCCATCACCTTCACCATCTCCATCACCTTCACCTTCCCCGAGTCCGTCCCCATCGCCCTCTCCAAGTCCATCTCCATCTCCATCTCCATCTCCAAGTCCATCTCCCTCTCCATCTCCATCTCCGTCACCGTCACCGTCTCCAAGTCCTTCACCATCTCCATCTCCATCTCCTTCACCATCTCCCAGTCCATCCCCATCTCCGTCTCCCTCACCATCTCCCAGTCCGTCCCCATCTCCCAGTCCGTCCCCATCTCCAAGCCCTTCGCCATCTCCTTCCCCGAGTCCGTCCCCATCGCCCTCTCCAAGTCCATCACCCAGTCCAAGTCCGTCCCCATCTCCCTCACCATCACCATCTCCATCTCCATCGCCATCTCCATCCCCATCTCCATCCCCATCCCCATCTCCATCACCTTCGCCATCTCCATCACCTTCACCATCTCCATCACCTTCACCTTCCCCGAGTCCGTCCCCATCGCCCTCTCCAAGTCCATCTCCATCTCCATCCCCATCTCCATCTCCATCCCCATCTCCGTCTCCCTCACCATCTCCCAGTCCGTCCCCATCTCCCAGTCCGTCCCCATCTCCAAGCCCTTCGCCATCTCCTTCCCCAAGTCCGTCCCCATCGCCCTCACCTTCACCTTCACCCAGTCCAAGTCCGTCCCCATCTCCATCCCCATCTCCATCTCCATCACCTTCACCATCTCCATCACCTTCACCATCTCCATCACCTTCACCATCTCCATCTCCATCACCTTCACCTTCCCCGAGTCCGTCCCCATCGCCCTCTCCAAGTCCATCTCCATCTCCATCTCCATCTCCAAGTCCATCTCCCTCTCCATCTCCATCTCCGTCACCGTCACCGTCTCCAAGTCCTTCACCATCTCCATCTCCATCTCCTTCACCATCTCCCAGTCCATCCCCATCTCCGTCTCCCTCACCATCTCCCAGTCCGTCCCCATCTCCCAGTCCGTCCCCATCTCCAAGCCCTTCGCCATCTCCTTCCCCGAGTCCGTCCCCATCGCCCTCTCCATCTCCATCTCCATCTCCATCTCCATCTCCATCTCCATCTCCATCTCCATCTCCATCACCTTCGCCATCTCCATCACCTTCACCATCTCCGTCCCCATCTCCAAGCCCTTCGCCATCTCCTTCCCCGAGTCCGTCCCCATCGCCCTCTCCATCTCCATCACCTTCACCATCTCCGTCCCCATCTCCAAGCCCTTCGCCATCTCCATCACCATCTCCTTCACCATCTCCCTCACCATCGCCATCTCCAAGTCCATCACCCAGTCCAAGTCCGTCCCCATCTCCATCTCCCAGTCCATCTCCATCTCCCTCGCCATCTCCGAGCCCTTCGCCATCCCCGTCCCCATCACCTTCCCCAAGTCCATCTCCCTCACCATCGCCATCTCCGTCTCCGTCACCTTCTCCAAGTCCCTCACCCTCTCCATCGCCATCACCCTCGCCATCACCCTCGCCATCTCCGAGTCCCTCTCCATCACCGTCACCCAGTCCAAGTCCGTCACCCTCTCCATCGCCATCCCCATCACCCTCGCCATCACCACCTCCCAGTCCATCTCCATCTCCATCGCCTTCTCCATCACCAAGTCCGTCTCCGTCTCCATCGCCAAGTCCTTCCCCTTCACCTTCGCCCTCTCCAAGTCCATCTCCAAGTCCGTCACCATCTCCATCTCCATCTCCATCTCCATCTCCGTCTCCATCTCCCTCTCCAAGTCCCTCACCCTCTGCATCACCCTCACCATCACCATCCCCGAGTCCATCGCCATCGCCATCGCCATCTCCATCTCCGTCTCCCTCACCTTCACCATCACCGTCCCCATCCCCCAGTCCGTCTCCATCTCCATCTCCATCACCAAGCCCATCTCCATCACCAAGCCCATCTCCCTCTCCTTCTCCATCGCCGTCTCCAAGTCCTTCGCCATCAGCATCACCATCTCCCTCTCCAAGTCCATCTCCATCTCCATCACCAAGCCCATCGCCGTCTCCAAGTCCCTCTCCGTCTCCAAGTCCCTCTCCGTCTCCAAGTCCCTCTCCGTCTCCAAGTCCCTCTCCGTCTCCAAGTCCCTCTCCGTCTCCAAGTCCCTCTCCGTCTCCAAGTCCCTCTCCGTCTCCAAGTCCCTCTCCGTCTCCAAGTCCCTCTCCGTCTCCGTCTCCCTCACCTTCTCCTTCACCCTCGCCCTCGCCCTCGCCCTCGTCAGCCCCAGCTCCTTCAATCACCTGTGCCGCCTTACCGAATTGGTCGTGTGGAAACCAGTATTGGGGACCCTCCTCAAGCTATCTCACTGGCGGATACAGCCTCATTGTTCGTGGTGACGTGGTTGTCAGCAATGGTGGTATGTAGTCAATCCTCACTGGAGCCATTCGATATCAGTGAATATTTTTATGGGCCGTAGAGTGGGTCCTGATATGTTGTTTGTTATGGATATAGAAGTGAGCGCATAGTGTTGGGATTTGAAAGGCACATAGCGTTCTGATCGGGTTCCGCTTGGGAGTTTGGCGCGGGCCTGGATACCGTTTCTCACGCACAATCATCTACATCTCATATATGGTCGCCCACCATCAATATCAATAATCAATGTCAACCATCAATATCAACCATCAATATTACCATCGGTGGATTCAATCACCAAATACCGACAAATACCAACAAATGCCGACAAATATCAATGTTCTATCCACCGATCGCTTCCGATCCCTACGCCGTCTACGGACCTTCTGTGCCATCGTCCGGATGCCATCATCCGCTATTGCTATCACGCGATCCATATGTCTCCCTCACATCATCGATACGTCACCCTCGCTCTATTTCGTCCTGTGCGTTCTCTTTTGGACCTTGGACGCGCTCAAACAGCCATTGGGGGGAGAATCGCAGTCGGCGGAAGCATCGTATCCAACAACCTGGATGTTGGTCGCTCCCTTTACGACGGCCAGTTTGGTTCGTGCGACCAAGTTACTGGCTTCCTCTCGCAGAACCAACTCCCGGTCTATCTTGCCAACTCGGCGATTGTCGATCAGAGCGTCAACAAGTCGATGGTGGACGCGCGATTCTCGACCGACTCGGCCCTGACGGTATCGAACGGCTATTTTGCGAGCGGACAGAACGCCACCGAATCAGTATCGTTTGTAAGCTCAGGATGCGGATCGATCTATGTAAGTGCAAGCGATTCATGATGCATGATGCATGATGTACGATGTACGATGTACGATGCACGATGCACGATGCACGATGCACGATGCACGATGCACGATGCACGATGCACGATGCACGATGCACGATGCACGATACATGGGCTCGCGCGAGCGGCGGATCGTGATGTGGGCAGTGGGAGCGCCGGTGAATCGGAACGTTGGTGACAGTAGTATTGAGTGGCAGCGAGCTCGAGCTGCGGTTGTTGTGAAGCAATTACTTGGTGTTGCAGTGCTCCTGCGCTGCGTGACTGAATGCTATCAGCCGAGGACATTCGCTCACATTTTATCGCTCAACATATTCCTGGGTGCATCTGCACTATAAACCTCCACCCATGTTTGAATGTACTTGTGTGCATTGCATGTTTGCCACAACCCACAACCCACAACCCACAACCCACAACCCACAACCCACAACCCACAACCCACAACCCACAACCCACAACCCACAACCCACAACCCACAACCCACAACCCACACATTGCGCCTTCGTGGTCACTCTGTCGGATCTACGCCGCCGCCATCAGAACAAGACCGACTTCACCGCCACCTTCTCGTATCTCTCGGCGCTCTCCTCAAGCCTCGCCGCCGTCTCGGCCAATGTCCAGTCCTTCCTCAACGGAACCGACCTGACCCTTGATCTCCGCAACGCCAACGCCTCCTCCAACGTGTTTGCCGCCTCGCTCTCGGCCGCAAATCTGCAGCAGGCCCAGCGGATCGTGCTTTTAGGCGAAGATGTTCTGACCTCGTGTCCGTCGGCCACCCTGATTATCAACGTTGGCGGCACCAGTGTCTCGGTCGGCAGCTGCGACATGTCGGTCCTGGAGCCGTATCGCAGCCGAGTGATCTTCAACCTTGTGGCGGCCACCAGCCTCCAGCTGGCCAACGTCGAGCTCCAAGGAATGATTCTGGCCCCGAGTGCTGATGTGGCTTCGCCGTCGGGCGTCGTCTATGGCAACGTCTATGCCAACAGCTACAAGAACGACATTGGGTCGACCCAGGCGGCCATGACGATCGAGTACCAGCCGTTTGTGGGCTGCATCCCGACCGAGAGCGTTCCGACATCGACGGGTCCGTCGATCGGGGTGATTACGGCGTCGGTGGTGGGCGGCGTCGCTGCCGTGGGAGCCGCTGGAGCTGCAGCATTCTTCTATCGACCGGGATCGGTGTCGTCCAGCGTCATGAACAGCGGCGTCGGCGACGCACTGTCGAATGCCGCACGGGCCAATCCGCTGTACGAATCGCCAGGCGGCGTCTTTGACAATCCGCTGTATGTCGGGGCGTAGAGACTCTGGGTCGAACACCCTCCCCTCCTCGCTCTCTTTCTATCCAACTCTTTGGTCTCTGTCGTTGCTCAGCTCTTTGCTGCAATTATTCCGCTGCAACAGCCAGGGCACCGTCAACTCTCCTCGTCAGCTCTCATCGTCAACTCTCTTTTTCAACTCTCGGGACGCACCCGACTCTTGAAGCATTCTCTTGAGACATACCCGACTCTTGAAGCATTCTCTTGAGACATACTCAGCTCTCGAGACATACCCGACTCTCGAGACATACTCGACTCACGACCCTCCTCACACTGACACCCTCGATGGTCGTTACTCGCTCCCTGTGCTATACTCTCTATCCCCTCTATACTCTATACCCCCTATACTCTCCATCCTCTCTTCTCCGTCATTAATCTCTATCCTCTAATCTCTAATCTCTAATCTCTAATCTCTAATATATCCAAAGTGTTGATGGCTCTGTCGGTGCACTGGTGTTTTGGGCTATCATCCAAACTGGTGCTGACCTGCTGGTGGTCCATGTCCTGGCCAGTGGGTCCTGGCACTTCTCCTGTGATCTCAGTTCGCCGCAATTCGGCCACTCTCTCATGAAAGGGGAGTTGTTCACCAAGACATTCTCGCCTTCGCCTCCAACTCCTTGTGCCTCTGCACGCCAAACAAGCCCTTGGCTCCCTCGGTTCTGAATACCGTTTGCTCTTCCTTGATTGTTTCTTCGTCTTCCACGCTCAAGATCTGCATCCTGACGCTTGTGTTTGTGTTGTGTGCAAACTGTTCGTGATTTGTCGCGATCCTCCCTATCCAACATCGAAGCTGCTTCATATTCTGTTGCAGTGATAATTGTGGTGATTTCACTTATACAGATCATCATATCATGATTCATTGAGTGTCTCTGTCCCTGGTTCGACCATCCGATTATTTCGTTTTTGATGAGTGTTTCTAACCTATTAGCCCATTGCCAAGGCTGTTGATGCTTCGGCATCAGAGTGCACTTTCACCACAATGCTCGGAGTACTATGTTTTATCGCATGAGCGATCGAAGACTTAAAATGTATTCGAAATCCAGAAATCAAGAGACTGTTTGCCTCTAATCGAGCAACCCCGTTTCGCTGAGTTGTTGCATTATCTTCAAACACTGTTCCCATATATTTAGCCGGAACTGCACCGCTCCCGAGCTGCCCAACAGTGTTTCTTGACAAGTCCGCTTCCGCCATCATGGGGAGATATTTTTCATCTACAGCAGGCCCTGGCGTTTGAGATCTGTGCAAAACTGTTGTTAGCGAGATGGATTTCGGCGATGTTGACATGCGCGGTCGTATCATCGGTTCGATTGCAGAGGTGGATTGCATCACTTCAGTGGGCGAAGACTCCGCCAGACCCTCCTGCCTCAACCCAAAGTAATCAACGTATACCTTCGAAGAGCTTGCGGTTGAGTACATTGCCTTCTCCGTCCTCAAATTCCTCCATAGCCTCGGCCTTAAAGTCCTGGGTTTTGGTGTGCTTCTTGAGCCGTTCGTGCACTGCAGCCCATTCGCGTTCATCCAAAACACTGATATCAGTCTACCACAGTACTCCTCTCGTAGGTCCCTCCAGGCCGCTCGACAGCGCCAAGACATCAATGATTGATGCCGCTCGTGCTTACGTGCGATCGCATCGTCAATGTTTGTGATTTCGTGGAACTGACGGGTGTTGGGAATACCCAAGGAGCGCATTCCGTGAGCATGCCTCCATTCCTGTTGAAGTTTCTCCGTCAGTAAAACGACTCGGCGTTGCATAGCAGGGACTTGAGCGGAAAAACAAGCTGCACTAGCTTTGCCCATTGAATAGGCATCTACCTGAAAATGCTTGTCAAAGGCCTTGCGACCCATGTACACAAAGTCGCCGCAGATCTGGCAAGAGTACTTGATGCCCAAGCCATGGAGCTTGTACAACCAGAACGGGATTGGCTTTCCATCCCAACCCAAAGGCAGCTTGAGGGGGTTGTAGATCTTGTCCTCGTTCTCGTCCTCAGATTCGCTTTGGTCCACCTCCTCGGCCTCGTCATCCATTTGCTGCAATATTCAACGAGAGCAACTCAGCATGGGCTGATGGTCTAACCGACGCATGCTACCGATATTCGTTGCTACAAACGACACGCATCATCGACATACTCTGGCACGCTCTTCATCCGTCAGCGACTGTTTGCGCTCGACATTGGCTTTGGTGTCATCAATATATGGCAGGAGCTCGAGCGCATATGCTTTGACGACTGTTTCGGCTAGAATCACGGGCCTCAGCGTCTCTTTCCGGGCTTTAGCGGCCTCTTCGCGCGACTTTTTGCGTTCATCGGGACTGACATCCGTCACACCATTCTGCAGAAGCTTCTCGGCGGCTTTTTTATGTTTCTTTCCTGTCAAATGGGCGTCGAAGATGGTCTTCTTTGCAAATTGCTTGGCACCTGAAACGCAGTTCATATCAAGGATCGAAGGATCAGTATTCACATACATATGCCGTGGCATCGAGCGTTGGGATGCAGGGTTTCGGACCAGCTCTTGAAGCCGACGGCGGGCTCTCGGCTGGGTTGGTCGGTTTCTTTCCCTTGCAGAGCTCTCGACATCGCCGCTGTGGCAAAGATGCGATGACGAACGTGTGGAGATGTTTAAAGCAACTTACATGGCACGCAGTAGCACTCGTCGGCTTCCTCGTCATCTTCATGCTTCAGAATGCCTTCCCAGCCGTCAAAGACCGTATCCTGATCCCACTGCTCGTTGAAACTCGTGATCGTGTCTTTATAAACCTGTTGCAGGTTGAAAAGCGGGCGACTTCTCTGGAAAAAGCTCTCCAGATACAGTTGCATCTTGGACACATAGCTATCGGCCACAAAACACAATCAATCGGCAAGTCGGGTTGAGGATGTATGCCATTGATAGCACCGATGTGGGTGCTGTGAAGGAGCTGCACTGGCCTAGAGATCTCAGTATGATCGCAAAGACACACACCTTGCATAAGTAGGAGTCGACTTGGCTTCCTTTGGCAGGAACGTAAAGTCGCCAAAGATGTCCAGATACTTGCGATAGCTGAGTTTTTCGATGCCCTTTAGGTTGATGTAGATGTCGTAGAGCTGGTGGAGATCCAGATATCGGCCCATGCCTTCCTCTCCTGAGAACAGAACTTCCATCTCTGATGCCATATTTCGATCAATCCAATCGCGCTGCCAGGATTAGTGAGATGCACTTGATTTCTCAATTTGCGCTTGCGGTATATTTCCCAGTCTGACTAGCGGATACCGCAGTTTCCTCCGTCCCTCAACTTGGCTGCAGCACTGTTGCTGTGCTCCGCTGAGCTAAATGTGACCACATCGACGATCGAGATCCGCCCTGCTCAGCATGGCTCGCCAAGCACCGATGCTTGGCTCACACACGTACCTTCGTCCTCCTGCTCAGGGTTGTGGATGTTTCGGAAGGACAGCTCCATCGGCTCGACAATCTCGTTTGGATACTTGCGATGATAGTCCTTGATGGTTTTCAGACGCTCGTAGAACTCGGCAAACTCATTCGATCCGGCAATGGCCTGCAGCTCGGCCTTGCCGAGGCTGGATTAGAGCAGCGTGAATGTGAGCGAGCGTGGAAGCAGCACCAATACGAAGCAGCATAAATGCAAGGCGAACTCGGGCACCGGTTGCCGGCTGCATTACCCGTGCTCGTCTTCGTACAGCTTCAGGAGCTCTGCGCTCTTGTCCTGCGATCTCTCTGCGCTCGTAACGGTCGGCGAGAGTGAAATGTCAGGCGTCATTGATTAGATTGCAATGCGTGTGCGTTGCTCGTGAGCCAGCAGAGGACTGGCGTATACGAGCACCCCGATCGCCCTCGCCAAAGCTTCTGCAGCGGTACCTAGGAGCTTCAAGACCCGATGCTCGGTCTGCAGCTTTTCCTTGTGCGTCTTGCCGGGCTCGACGAGCTCCTGGACCATGGCGGCCTCGAGGCGCTCGATCTCCTCGTGGGCGTGTCTCTGTCTCTCCAAAATGGTATCCATCGCTGCGGTCGATCCGATCCGCTCGGTCCTGCTGGCTTTGGCTGGTCTGATCTGCCGGATCTCTGTCTGATCTCTGTCGGATCTGGTCGTCGTGGATGTGGGCAGAGCCAACCAAACGCCGCCTTGGGCAGATTGGTGTGAGTGCGTGTGTGTGTGTGCAGGAATTAAATTAATCTGCCGCACACTGGGCCGACCCCGACCGAGATCTCGATCTCGATCGTCTTTGCCTCCTCACCCGATCCACCCGATCCACCCAGGCCAGCGAGACCAGCAAGCACAAGCCATGTCGGAATCGAAGCAGAAAGGAGGCATCGACAGAGCCAGCGACGAGAAGCTGGTCTTTGAAACCAGGTACCAGTCCATCCGATCGTCTCGAGTGCTGCCCCCTGCCTCGGCCGCGCATCAATCAGCAATCGAGCCAACTGCTATTCCCAACATGGAGCGGGGCTACTACACCGCATACGTTCTCCAGCGTGGTCTCGTGCGAGATACCGGGAGAATACAACTGACATTTGCATGTATTGCCTGTGGGCCTACGCAACACCGATCTCTTCAGCGGCGACGTCAAGGTCGTCTCGTCGTTCGATCAGATGGGACTGAAGGAAGATCTGCTGCGAGGAATCTATGCCTACAGTACGCCGTCATGATCATCGCTGTCCTGGCAGTGTTTTTGTAATACGGATCATCCCGGACCAGCCACTGACTTGTTGTTGGGTCTGCTTCCATCCTCCAGACTTTGAAAAGCCCTCAGCCATCCAGCAGCGTGCCATCGTTCCAGTCATCCGAGGCCGGGATGTCATCGCCCAGGCCCAGTCCGGCACCGGCAAAACGGCCACTTTCTCGATCTCCGTCTTGCAGTCCATCGACACCACTATCCGCGAGACACAGGCCCTGATTCTCTCACCAACTCGTGAACTGGCCACTCAGATTCAAAGCGTCGTTCTGGCGCTGGGCGACTATATGAATGTGCAGTGCCACGCCTGCATTGGTGGAACAAGTATTGGCGAAGATATCCGAAAGCTGGATCACGGCCAGCACGTTGTGTCCGGCACTCCCGGCCGTGTCTTCGACATGATCCAGAGACGCAATCTGCGAACCAAGAACATCAAGATGCTCGTCCTGGATGAAGCCGACGAGATGCTCAGTCGCGGATTCAAGGAGCAGATCTACGACGTCTACCGCTATTTGCCACCCAACACCCAGGTGGTTCTGCTCAGCGCCACCCTCCCGCACGATGTGCTCGAGATCACCACCAAATTCATGACCGACCCCATCCGTATTCTGGTCAAGCGTGATGAAATCACCCTCGAGGGCATCAAGCAGTTCTTTGTCGCAGTTGAGAAGGAGGAGTGGAAGTTTGACACCCTGTGCGATCTCTACGACACTCTGACGATCACTCAAGCCGTCATTTTCTGTAACACTCGACGAAAGGTGCGGTCGCTTGGGGGTGGTCGCTTGGGGCGGCGAGGATGCTCTGTGAGCCCGGCCGGAAATGGTCAAAGGAGCGACTGCTTCCTGACTGACGCGATCAGCTCGATACGAGCCGCAGCGCAAGTGCTGGAGGGTGTCCTCGATGATTGCGTACCATCACCATGCTGACATCCAGCTCAAATGCCTCGCGACGATGGGTCCAGGTCGACTGGCTCACAGAGAAGATGCGCGAGGCCAACTTCACCGTGTCATCAATGCACGGCGATATGCCCCAGAAGGAGCGAGATGCCATTATGCAAGAGTTCCGCCAGGGCGCAAGGTGTGTCTTCCACGATGTTGTAATTGCATGACTGTTGAGTCACCGCGCTCTACCGCCGCAATAGCCTGCTCGGCAGATTGCTGATTCTGTCTTTCTCTGCAACACAGTCGCGTCCTGATCACCACCGATGTGTGGGCCCGTGGTATTGTAAGTATCCGGGCCGTCCTCGAGCATACCTCTGTAGTCATGATTGATTGGCAGCCCAGCTGACTCGGAGCGACTGTTGTTGCTGCTGTCCGTGTTTTAGGACGTGCAACAGGTGTCGCTGGTCATCAACTACGATCTCCCAAACAACCGTGAACTCTACATCCACCGGTAAGCCGCCACGACTCATCGGACGCGGAATGAGCTGAGCTTGCGTACAACGCATACTGGACCTGCCGCCCTCGCTGAAACTTGTCCCGCAACAGCATCGGTCGCTCCGGTCGCTTCGGCCGCAAGGGTGTCGCCATCAACTTTGTCAAGAACGACGACATCAAGATTCTTCGCGACATTGAGCAGTACTACTCTACTCAAATCGACGAAATGCCCATGAACGGTACGATCAGAGCGACGACGTGGAGGCAATGGCCACCAACAGCTGCGGGCGCGAGGGGCCCCTGGCCAGACACTGCAGCATGGTGACTAACAATTCCATTTTGTGGATGTATCCAGTGACCGATCTTATCTAGAGACACACTTACACTCAGCGCAGAGAAAAGGGTACACCGCCCTCTGTCAGGACGGGCCAGGGTCCCTCTGCAGCAACCACGAGCCTGCCGCCTGGAACCGAAGGCGGCATGGCCGCCACTGCGCAATCGCTCCCATCTTTGCTGGTTATCGGATTTTTTGTTGTTAGTTGTGGGAGCGCGGCCTTGAATACATTCGGTCCATTATCCTTGGCCACGGCCGACCCATCATACCAAAGTTGTGTTCTGCGAGACATCGATGTGCCATTGACAGATGGTCCACACTGGCACAATGGGCGGCCCAGCTGCACGGATTCTTCAAGAGTGGGGAGTGTTGGGCACCGCTGCTGCGGCATTTGGCAGTCTTGGATCCTGTCTTTGCCATCGATGATTATCTGAGAGCCCTCGCCGCACTCCCGTCAGCCCCATCCAGACGATCTCTGCGCCTGCGAGCCGCCAGTGCGCTCGCTTCGTCCTGATCCAGACGGTCATGCGCCCCAGTCCAGCGACCGATGAGCGACCAAGCACAGGCGCCATGCACACACACACACACACACTGGATTCTGTGTCGCCCTTGGCCGCAGAAAGAAAAAACCAAACTGCCGATCATCTTGCTCTGGGGCGAGTTGATCTGGACCACAAACCGCATCCGTCGTCGTCGCCGACACATCCGCAAAGATGAGCCACACGATCTCCTACCGACGCTTCGTCTCTGAGATGGCCAGGATCAGTGCCAACGCTCACAAGGTAGGCATGCCGGAAGCCCCGCTCAGCCTGCGCTCGGCATCGCCGCTTGGCCGCTGCGATCGCCCTTGCTCTGGCAACTGCGATATGCTCCGCAACTTGTCCGTGGCCATCAGCAGCAGAAGTGACTAATATCGATGACCTACTTTTGCCGAATCTTTCATCCAGGGCAAGCCTCCGGCACTGTACAACCTCCACAAGCTGAGGGCATCGCCTTTCGAGCCCGTGTCGGCAAAGCTGCTGGCTGCCAAGGAGGCTCTCGACACGAACTTTGTACGGGTGAAATCCGAGCTCTACGACGAGACCAAGCAGCACTCGCTGGCAGTCTCCAAGGTTCTGCAGTCGGACGACACCTGGAAGCAGCTCATCGCGACAAGCACGCCCCCTGCCAGCGACGCTGCGCCCGAATCCAAGCAATCCTTCCTGACAGACATCCCGCTGCCCAAGATTATCCTGAGGCATGTCACCAATCCGTCAGAGGCACTCGAAACGGGCATGGCCCTGGGCAAGATTACGGGTTTCCGAATTCAGGTCAAGGGCCGCCGAGGCACTCGGTCTGTGACCAACCTGGTGCACTATGGATCGTTGGGCGCCGGTGACATCCATAATGCATACACCGACTTTGGACGATCGTTGTTTATCACCAAGCGCGGTGTCACTGGCGTCAAGGTTTGGGTGGGATATGCAAAGTAGACCGGATCCAAATCTCGGCAGCCGCGGATGATGGGTTCGAAATACAGACGCTAGCATACAAGACATCTGCGAGCAGCAACGGCCATGTGCGAGTCGGCCGACTGATCCATTGGCGGTGCTCGTTGAGCCCAATGCCGCCCAGACACCATCTCTCGACTGGGGAGCGAGAGTGCCGGCCATGATTGCCGATGGAGAGCAAGGAATGCGATGGATGCAGGGTGGCTGCCAGAAATGCACATCCCGCAGCGTCGCAAGACCTGCCAATGGTCTACATCTCCCAAGATATGCAGAGGATGCTTATGCGCACGCGATGGGTCGGCCCGCTCGTTTTGACCTGCCGATCTCGTCTGGGTCGATCGCGGCCGCTGGGTTTTTGCATCTTTCTTTTCCGACCAATACACATCGCCCTCTGGCCCAGCACGCCGCACGACCACCTCGCCTCGCCCTCCACTCCTGGCATCGGCATCTCGCCCCTGTCGGCTTTCGCCCCCATCTTCGTTCCAGGCGACACATTCGCTCTGTCCCTCGGCTGTCGGTGCGTTTCCTTCGCATGCTTTAATTGCATCGAGAAGCCCCGTGCAGCGAAACTAACCACCCTCCCGCGTCGCTCCTTCGTCGGGCTCACCTGTATCTCGGTCTGGGCCTGCAGCCTGCCCAGCTCCAGCGTGCCGACGATTTCTCGATCATGTTCAAGCGCAAAGCCGCCGAGCAGCGAGCAAAGCTCGCGTCGGCTCAGACCAGATCTCGCAATGCTCGGCCAGAACACACTCCCCGAGCCGTCTCGATCGAACTCGCTGCCCTGCCAAAAGATACCTCCAGCATCTTTGGGGTTGTTTCGCTGAAGCTGCTGCTCGTGCTGGCCCTTCAAGCCCTCTCGATCTGGCTCTTCGCCTCCGGATTCCTCCTCACCCGTATGGAGCTGCCGACCCTCAGCACATGCGATCCCTCTGTCACGGTTGTGGCCAAGCCCAGCAACGACTCGACTGCTCCCGCCGAGGCCATCAGAGCGGACGGATTGTGCTGGCATCCTCCACGGTACAAGCGTGCTGTCCTCGTCATCCTCGATGCCCTGCGCTATGATTTCACGGTCTACAACGAGTCTATGGCGCTCGACGAAAGCCAGAACCGAGGCCGTGTGCCATTTTATCGCAACAAGCTTCCTGTCCTCCATCGCCTCCTGCACTCTCAGCCAAGCAATGCCCTGCTCTTCCGATCCAAGGTCGATCCTCCAACCACGACCCTGCAGCGCCTCAAGGCCATCACCACCGGAACCCTCCCGACGTTTGTCGACATTGGCAAGAATTTCGGCGGCTCGCTTGTCAGCGAAGACAACATCATGGACCAGCTCAAGACTTTGGGCAGAAAGTCGGTCGTTATCGGCGACGACACCTGGGAAGGCATCTATCCCCAGTCCATCCACGAGAGCTACCCGTATCCATCGTTCGATGTCTGGGATCTGCACACTGTCGACAATGGTGTCCTCGAGCATCTGTGGCCGATCCTTGCGCGCTCCCCCCGAGACTGGGACTTTATCGTGGCCCATTTTCTCGGCATCGACCACGCCGGCCACAGATACGGACCGGAGCATCGAGCCATGGCCGACAAGCTTGTGCAGATCAACCAGGTGCTTGAGCAGCTCTTTGAGGCCATCGACGACGACACCGTGGTCGTTGTCATGGGCGACCACGGCATGGACTTCAAGGGCGACCACGGCGGCGACAGCAAGTCCGAGACCGATGCTGGACTCTTCATCTTCAGCAAAAAGAAGCTCACCGACTTTGACGGCGCCGCAGCTGCCCATCAAAGCCTGGTGGCGGCCATCCAGCGGGTATCCGAAACTCAGGACTCGGCCGACGACCCGATTCGAACGGTTTCGCAAATCGATGTCGTCTCGACCCTGACGCTGCTGCTGGGACTGCCTATTCCATTTGGCAATCTGGGATCGATTATCCCGGAGCTGTTCTTTGTAGCCGACGGCGAGCATCCAGATCCGAGCCCCACATCGCCTTGGCTGGACTTGCTCAAGGCCTCGCACCTCAATGCCAAACAGATCTGGCGATACCTGCAAAGTTACAGTCAGGCACTGGCAACAGCCGACTTTTCGCTTCCCGAACTCGGGCGGCGATTCAGTATCGCCACCGAGAGCTTTGAGGCGGCAGCTCGGTCTTTGCCCACTGAGCCGGAGCTGCTGCGTGCGATTGAGCTCCAGTACGAGTTTATGCGGTCGGCCCTCAAGATCACCCGCAGAGTTTGGTCACGCTTCGATCTTCCCTTGATTGCTATGGGATGCGCTGGATTCTTTGCTGTCGTGCTGGCTTGTGCTGCCGAGATTCGCTTCTCGGTCAACCTGGGCTCGCTACAAACGCTTCGTCATCCTCTGGTCGGCCTCGCCATCGGCGCTCTCATCGGAATGGCCCAGCCCCTGTCCAAAGCCCTGGCTGTGCTGTCTGTCGACTCGGAAATCAAACTCGTCCACGAAGTGGGTTTTGCGCTGCTCGTGGGCTACGCCGCCGGTACTGGGGTTCGCATCCACCAAGCCAAGCAAGGCTCCAAGCCAACTCCAAACGAGAGTGGCAGCGTCCTTCCGTCACCCGAGGCCGTCCTGGCGACTCTCCTGCTTGGGCTCCACGCCATTTCGCCGGCCTCGGACAGCTACACAATCTACGAGGACTACGGCACCAACTTCATGCTGCAGACCTTTGGAGCCTTCCAGCTCGTCCGATCCATCTTTGTGCGCCACAACAAGACCCGCGAGAATCTGATTTGGTACTCTGTGATGTTCATGGTGTTGTCGCGGCTGACGCTTTCGTCGGTCGTGTGCCGCCCCGAACAACACCCGCACTGTATTCCGACGTTCAACTCGGCTCCTTCGAGCTCGGTGGCGGCGATGCCCACGCTCGTGTTCCTGGCCCTGATTTCGGCCCTGGTTGTGATTGTTTCGCGGCGCGTCCTAACGGAATCAGACTCGTTCCACTCGACAGGCTCGCTGATCGTGGGTGTGTTCCTACCGGCGGCGCTGTCAATCTCCTTCCTGTATTGGACCCTGGACACGATCGAGGGCCACCACTACTTTGAAGCCAACCAGCGCTGGCTGGGCAAGCTCAAGATGTGGATTGCCAAGATCGGATTCCTGGCTGCCAGCGCCACCTGTCTCTATGTTTGGACATCGGAGCCCTCGTGCATTGGTCTCTCAATCGTCCGCAGTGCCTCGCCCGCGGCCTCAGCGGACACACCAGGCAAGGGCGGCAAAAACGATCAGGACTCGGATGAACCCGCAGCACCGGACACCCAGGCAACAGTGGTGCTCAACGGCATCGCCAATGTCGTGGGCTCAGCGTACTTTGTCCTTGTCGCGGCGCTGTTCCTGATCCTGGCCATGTTCCAAAAGCCCATGGGCGGCGTCATGCTCTGGACCGGATTCCTCGTCGTGGTTTGTCTGTTCGAAATGGCGGCACTGTGGCGCGAATACTTTTCTCTCCATCTGCCTGGGATCATCAAGAAAGAGTCCGAGCGCACGGCTGTACCAGCTGGCGGAATCCGACTCAACCTCCCCAGTCACGGCACGCTCGTCTTCCTGTTCCTCACGGTGCTCTCGATCCTGTCGCACAGATTGTTTTTCGCAACGGGCCATCAGTTCATCCTGTCGACGATCCAATGGGAAGTCGGCTTCATCGGCGTCGAGCACATGAACTTTTATCTGTCCGGGACGCTCGTGGCGCTCAACACCTTTGGCGGCCCGCTGGCATGTGCACTCTCCGTGCCCATGTTTGTCATTTGGAAGCAGCCCATCCAGAAGGGCCAGGAGCGACGGCTCTTCCAGTCCGTTTTCCGGGCCCTGCTGATGTACATGGTCGTTGTGGGCACGGCCATGGGCGTCAGCATGTCCTTTGCAGGCTGGTTCCGCCGCCACCTGATGGTCTGGAGTGTGTTTTCTCCAAAGTTCCTGTACATGACGGTGATTGTTGTCGCCATCGACCTGGTTGTGGCGACAGTGTGTGTCTGGGGAGTCTTTGGGCCGCTGCGATGCTACGACGAGTTTGTCCAGGTGCTCAGCGCCAAGCTCGGCAGCGTCTCTGCTGCTCGCCGACAGGAAGAGTCTGAGTAAAGCCCGAATCCGGAATCGAACGTCCGTCTTTCCTGAGAGCAGGCAGCACATTTGATTGTTGCGGAGCATGTTCACGGCTGCACATGTCCCTGGCGGGGTGGATGGACTCGCACATGCTGGCTTGGTTTGATGATGGCCTCGAGACAGCACCAGTCACCTTGGGCACGGGATACATCTTCACCCAGTTTCTGCAATATGGGATCGCCGCCACGGGGAAGTGAGCGGGCTTGTATATTCAGGTTCCAGATAGCAGCCATAGGCGGACTCAGAAAAGAGGCGACGTGAATCACTTTGCAAACACTCGATGTAGAACCCCATTTTGAGAGGGGTGTGTGCACCAATGCTCCGTGCGTTGGCGACGGGCAAAGGCCATGCAGGAGGAGCACGGGGCGAGACCAGAAACGAACCACATACAAAGCCATGCGCAAGCTGTCGGTGTGGGAATACAAAATTACGGAATAGCAAGGCATGGAGGGCTGAGGTACTATATGGAGAGAGGGGCAATTAGAGGGTCGCACAGCCAGCCGAGAGCACCGGGGGGCAGCGAAACACAGGAGAGGTAGCGGCTTAGAAGCCAAAGTTGACCTTGACAGGCTCGTCGCCAGTGATCCAGCGCAGGGTCGTCTCTGCATGAAACAGCATTAGATGCGTGAGTACAACAACCGAGACGTCTGAACGCACGGTCCACAGCAGGCTTGCACCACAGCGCAGCCATGACGGCGCACCGTCGAACAGAATACATACGAGTTCCTTCGTTGATCTTGTATGCATCCAAGTCCTTGTCCCTCTTCATCTTCCGCAGCTCGGCCTCCAGCTGGCCGCGGGCCGTGACTTCCTTGTTGAGCTGCTCGGAGTACTCCTCGCGGATATCGGCGGCGACCTTGCGGAACTCGGCGCGCAGCTTCTGGACGGAGGGTGTCTCGGTGCTGTTGTTGAAGCCACCCATGGTCTCGATCATCTTGTCCTGGAGCTCGGCCTGCAGCTCGTTCACCTGGGTTCGCAGATCGGCGATCATGGTCTCGTTGCGAGTGCGCTCGATCTCGGCGTCGGACATGCTGCGCTGGAGCTGGAGTCGAGCAAACGGAGCAGTCAGATCGAGTGCCAGCGGTTACAGCGATGGGCCGGGAGACTGGCGGCCGCCCACATGTACATCCACATGTCCACACATCCACACATCCAGCCACACATACCTTGTCAAACTCGCGGATGAGCGTGTTCATCTCGGCCTGCATGGACTGCTCGCGGTGTTGCTGGTTGTCCAACTCCTCGAGCAAATCGACCTTGCCGGTCTTCAGGTCCACGATCTGCATCTGCAGCTTCTCGACCTCGCGCATGAGCGTCTCCTCGACCTCGTGGTCGACGACAGGGCCCTGGTTCTGGACATCGGTCAGCTCGGCCTTGATTTGAGCGGTCTCGCGCTCGCTCTTCTCCAGCTGGCGCTTGATCGACTCGAGCTGGCTCGAAATCGACTCCTTGGCATCCTGGGTTTCCTGCAGCTGGATCTGCAGCAGCGATCGCTCGCGCTCCAGGCTCTGCTTCTCGCGCGAGAACTCACGCTGCATGTCGTCGAGCTCTTCTTTGACGCCCTCGTACTCGGCGAGCTGCGCCTCGAGCTCGCGCAGCTTCGAGTCCGCGGTGGCGTTCAGCTGGCTGATCTGCTCGGTGTGCTGCTGTTCCATAAAGGCCATGTCCTTCTCCTTGCGTTCAATGTCGCGCTGAGCCTGCTCTAGCTGACCAAGGACGCCCTGGACCTCCAGCCGCAGCTGGGCAATGGCAGACTCTTGCTCGCGGGCCTTGGCATTGCTCTTGTTGAAGGACTCGAGTTCGGACTGCTTGAGCTCGTGCATCTCGTCCTCGAGCTCGTCGATGGTGTCCTGTAGGCGGTTGGTCTCGTCCGTGAGCTGGGTCTTGGTCTGCTGGAGGGTGGCTTCGGCGCGCTCCAGCTTCTGCTGCATCGTCTCGATCTGCATGGCGTGCTCGGTCCTGAGGGCGGCAATCTCCTGAGCCTGGTCCTGCTCCATCATGCGGAGCTCCTCCTCGTGCGACTCGCGCAGCTTCCGCAGCTCGGCATCAAGGGTCTGGGCAGAGCGGGCCTCGAGCTCGCGCACGGTGGCCTCGGTCTCGGCACGGGTGTCCTCGCGCTCCTTGGCAAACTTTTCGTACAGCTTCTCGATCTCGTCGGCGTGGGCGCGCTTCATTTCCTCCTCGTCCTCGCGGTGGAGATCCTCCATGTCCTGGATCTGGTCCATGAAGTTAGCCTGGGCCTCCATGATCTGCTTCTTGCGCTCGGCCTCGGCCTCCTCGCGGATCTTCTTGAGGCTGATGTCCATGACGCTCGAGTACTCGACGTCCAGGGCCTCCTTCTCGGCATTGGCGAGCTTCTTGGTGGCGTTGTGCTCCTGGCGCTCCTTGTCGAGCTGGTCCTCGAGGCGCTTGCGCAAGCCCTCCAGCTCGGCTGTGTGTGACTTTTGCAGCTGCTCGATCTCGTCCAGCTGGCGGTCCTCCATGTCGTCGAGCTCGGCCTTGTGTTCTCGCTCCATGGTGTTGATCAGGTCGTTGAGTTTTTGCTTGTCCTTCTCCAGGGCAGAGAGCTTGCGGGCAAGCTCTTCCTGCTCGCCCGAGAGCTGGTTCTTGGAGTTTGAGAGGGTCTCGCGCTCCTGCATCAGGATCTTGCGCTCGAGCTCGACGCTCTCGAGGTCGGCCTTGAGGTCGTCGATGGCTTCGAGGTGCTGCTTGATCTGCGACTCGAGGGTCAGGATCTGCTTGGCGTGGCGCTCCTCGATCGACTTGATCTCCTTCTCGTGCAGCTGGACCGTCTCCTCCAGCCGGCGGGAGGCGTTTTGGGAGCTGTTGTTGTGGAGATCCTCGAGCTCGCGCGCGGCGCGGGTCGAGTTTTCGCTCTCGAGCCGCAGCCGGTCGTGGGCGTCACGCAGCGAGCGCAGGTCCGAGGCGAGCTCGCGCTTGGCGGCCTCGAGCTCGAGCACACGCTTCTCGAGCTCGCCCGAGCGCTTCTGCGAGTCGCGCAGGTCTTCGTTGACGTACTCGAGGCGGCTGCTGGCCTGGTCCGACTTTGTCTGCAGCTCCTTGACCCGATCCGAGAGGTCCTTGCGCTCCGTGATGAGCCGGTTCACCTTGGTGGAGAGACCATCGACGCTGAACTGCAAGTCCTCACGCGCGGCGCGCGAGCCGCCGGCGGACGGCGGGGGAATGTCAAAGTAGAGCTTGCGGAGGACGGCGAGCTGCTCGGCATGGTCCTTGGCCGACCGCTGCAGCTCCTCGGTGTCGACGGTGGACATCTTGAGGCGATGCTCCAGGTCGCGGATCTGATCCTGCTTGGCGCGCATGTCGGCCTCGAGGGCCAGGGTGTCGTTGCGCTTGGACCGAGAGCGGCTGTAGATGGTGCGGCTGCGGCCGGAGCGCAGGGTGCCGCCGTCGCTGTCCGAGTCCGACTCGGCCTTGGTCTTGGCATCGCGCAGCTGGCGGTTCAGCTTCTCGATCTCGGCGTCCTTGGTGGCCAGGCGCGAGTCGAGCTCGGTCTTGAGGATCGAGACCTGGGCCTTGAGCGACGACACGGACATGGCGCTCTCGTTGCTGGCGTCTCGCGAGGCGCGGTGCATGTCAATGACGTTGGTCTTTTCCTCGAGCTCGGAGGAGAGGTTGGCGATGGTGCGGTCGCGGTCCTCGAGGTCGGTGGTGATTTCGTCGACCTGGGTCTTGAGACGGCCGACTTCCTTCTCGAGCGCACGGACGCGGTCCTTTTTCGAGGCCAGGTCGGCGTTGGCGGTGGCCAGGTCGAGCTTGTAGCGACTGAGCTCGCTCTGGACGACGGCAAGCGACGAGTTCTCCGAGGAGCTGTTGGACTGAAGGCTGGTGAGCTCCTCGCTCTGGATCTGCAGCTTGCTCTTGAGCGACTGGATCTCGCGCTCCTGGCTCTCGAGGTCCAGCCGGCTGCTCTCGGTCGAGGACTCGAGTCGCTCGATGGTGCTCTTGAAGATCTTGATCTCGCGCTCCTGCTCCTTGATCTTGGTCTCGGCCGAGGTCAGCTTGCTCTGCATCTGGCCGTCGTCGGCGCTGGGCCCATCGCTCGAGCCCGAGCCTGAGCTGGTGTTAACCACCTCGTACCGGAGGACGCTGCCGACGTGCTTGAGCACGAGCTGCTCGAGCTCGACAAGCTTGCCCGTGGCACGCCACAGGTCCGACGTCAGGACGTCGACCTGGCGGTTGGCCTCGGCAACCTGGTCGTTGGCCTGCTTGAGGCCCTGGCGGTTCGACGCCTCGCTAGACTTGAGCATGTCGAGGGCGGCATCGCGCACCTTGATCTCGAGCGTCAGGCGGTTGTTAAGTGACTTGATCTCGCTGTAGAGATTCGAGAGCTCGCGCTTCTTGGCCTCGTACTTGTCCGGCTGCAGGGCAACATACCCGGCGCTGTCGGCGACGCAGTCGGGCACCATGAGCTTGATCTGCGAGGCGTCGAGCTCGTTGCCGACGGAGCTCGTGCCGCTGGTGACACTCGTCCGGCGCGAGCGGATGGTCTTGTACGGGTCGGTGCGCAGGAAGGCAAACTTCTCGGAGACCTCGGCAGCGGCGTTGACGGCATGGGGCCCGTTGGCAGGGCTGGAGGCTCCGACGCTGCGGGCCTCGCCCAGCGGAGGAGACGAGACGTTGGACTCTTGCCGCCGGTGCGACGCGGCCGAGCGTGGGAAACGCTCGCCGTTGCCGGAGGGGCTCATCTGACGGATTCGGCGGCGCGCAGTCGAGTGGCCATCATCCTCGTTGTTATCCTGGTCGTTTGCGACGGCCCGGCGGTCGCGGGATTTAGAACGGTCGCGGCGAGGATCTTTGTCGGCCCCCCGCTGAGAGTCCTCAACATCCATCTGTGGCATAGAGGGAGATTTGTAAGCCGAGGGAAGACCGGTGCCGTTGGAGGATCGACCGAAGGAAGACGCCGTCACGGGGGACTGAACCCGCTTCTCGGAGGGCGTTCGTTGCGGAAGAGCGGGTCGATCACCGACATCAATGGGAGGAGGGCGGCTGGGGGCTCGTTCAATGTCGTTGAGGGGAACAACGTCCCGCTGTCGTGGAGGTGCAGCTGGCCGGCCGTCCAAAGGGCCCTCGTCGTTGTTGCGTGTCGATCCCAGGGTTTCTTGCGAGCGATTCGATCGAGAGGTGTTGGTGAGGCTGCGGGGGTTGTTGCCGACGTAGATGGACTTTGTGCGCACGGGCAGGACCGGTCGCTCGGCCGAGTCGCCCTTGGCCGGGGGTACTGGAGCGGGGGGGCGGTTCTCCTTGTCGCGTTCGAGGCTGCTGAGGTTGTCGAGAGCGTCAAGGTCGTCGGACTTCATCATTTGCTCGAGTGCATCCCACTGCGTGTCCAGGTTTGGGCGGGCGAGCTGCTCGACGCTGGTGGCCTTCATGATGGGAGTGCGCTCGATCTGGTCGTCGCCACGACGACGGCTGCTGTTGCCCCGGGACGGCTCCAATTCGTCGTTCTGGGTGCGCGAGGGGTCGCGGCGATGGCGGCTGGTGGCCCGGTCCGCATGTCGCCGCTCGGGGATGGAGGGGCCCCCGGCACCGACCTCGTGCCGCCGCTGGGGAATCTCGGCAGCTTGATCATGGCGACGCTGGGGGATATCAGGACTGAGCTCGTACCGGCGTTGGGGAGCCTCGGGACTGAGTTCGTTGCGGCGCTGGGGGATATCGGGGCCGTCGAGTCGGCGCTGGGGGATATCGGGGCCATCATGGCGGCGAGGGGGGATTTCACGGGTGGGTGCTTCTCGGTCGCGGGGAGGACGGCTTCGGTCACCGCGGTCGTTGCGGTCGTTGCGGTCATTGCGGTCATTGCGGTCGCCATAGCCACGACGAGGAGGAATCGGAGGCACTGGATCTTCGAGGCCAATGCCTTCGAGCTCCTTCAGCAAGTCAGACATGGGGCGGTTGCGTTCCTGGAGGCGCAGAAGTTGCCACGGAGGGTAGAGGCAGGTCAGCGGGAGAATGGAACCCGTGGGGCTGGCCGTAACGGGCATGGCCGATATGGGCCGGAAAGAGAGCCCGATTACCACACAGCGACGCATGGACGCAGAAGAATCCTCGGCATCACAACGGCGCGCCGTGTGGGAGTAAAATGGACGGATTGTGGTGGCCCGCGGATGGACGGATACCATGCAGCGGGCACGGCAATGCGGGGCGGCTGAGATGCCGAATCCTGGGGATACATTTCCGGTGCCGATTCACCGTTTGTCTCCCGCACTGGGCGCTGGAGAGTTCGGCACGCATCGCATCGGGATGTCTCCCTGTTGCTGAGCACACGCACGACGCTCGGCCCAAGAACGCACCTGGACTTTCCGGTCGACATAGGGATCGCCTTTGCCGTCTCGCGGCCGGTCGTCGTATCGTCTGTGTGCGCTGCTCATTGGCAATATGTTGATGGGGATTTGGTCGTCTGGGTTGAGCGGAAGGAGTAGCGTTGCAAGGCAGCAGCGGCAGCAGCGTTACAAGGCAGCAGCGAGAGCGTCAGAATGTTGGCTCGGCGAAACGCAGCAGAAGCAGAAGCAGAGGCCGGCGTCGACGCTGACGCTCGCAGGCGGAAAACAGTAGCAGCAGTAGCAGCAGCAGTGATAGGAGCGACTCCACCACTCAGCAGAATCATAACAGCAGCAACTGGACTCGACACAGTGACGAAATCCAGCTTGACAGCGTGCTCGATCGCACCGATCCACCCTCGCGCAGCGGCGACGATCCGGCCAGCAGAGCGAATGCCTTTGAACAGCCCCAAGCGGCCCAGCACCGAAATCCAGCTCTCCCTCTCTCGCTCTTGCTCTTGCAACAGAGCAGACCAAGCGACAGCTCTCGACGACGCACCTGGTTCAGGGGAGGGGGAGCCCGACGAAGCTGGTGTGCCCTGTCAAGGGGTGAGCAGACGAGGCAGGGCGGGGGGCAGGGCCTCCGGCTGGTGAGGAAGAGAGAGAGCCGGACGAGACGCTGGCACCGGCCAAGTCTTCTTATGGGGCAGCAGTGCCTTGGTGGACAGCGGCTGCGGCTGGGGAGAGGAGGGAGGGAGGGAGGGAGGGAGCTGGCGGGAGACCGGCCGAACGTGGGAGGGTGTGGTGTCTGGAGAGAAGGCCAAAATCCCTTAAAAGAATAGCGGCGAGGCAACGACAGGTGCGATCGGCAGACCGGATGAGCAAGAACAGCGACCCCGACCCGGCGCAGCGACACAGCGCGACCGAAACGGAAAGGCAAGGCACAGTCGCAGCAGCGAGAACAGGACAGACAACGGGGACTGTGGACAAGGCGCTGGGCCGCGGGTGGTGAAACAGAGGGCTTGGGTGCGACAGGGATGGGCAACGCCGATTCGGGCGATACAGAGGCAGTTGGCAGAGAACAGAAATCACGAGCCTTGGAGACGAGGATGGTTTGTGTTGCGGCCGAATGGCGAGCGGTGCAAGTGGGGCAGCGGATGCAAACAATAGCAGGCAACACGGCCACGACAGGAATAGCATCCGCGATTGTGTTGGCATGCAGGAATGGCGACGGGCAAACAATCGGGAGCAGCAGCAACACATGGGGCAGCGGTCGGGCGAGAGGGCAAACGTTGACGACATGAAACCGGCGCGGGCGTGGCGGCGACACTGGCAGCCAGACAGCCAAAGAACGAGGGAGGGGGATTGAAGCACGCACGAAGCGAGGCAGCGGGGGGCGGCGAAGAGAGTAACAAGTAACAAGTGCAGCAAAGACAGATGAACAGCCGCAAGGCGCACGGCGCGGGATGCAAGGAGTTGGACGTGCGGCTGTTTCCAAGCCGATACTCAACGGCAACACGGCCTTGGCGCTGCGGGGGGGGGACAAAGAATGCAGCGCGGACAGAGAAAGAAAGGCGGTGCGGTGGAGCAACCAGCCGGGCGGATGTCCGGTTGAGGCGGGAGCGAGATGTTACGGTTGTCGAGATGTTACGATTGTCGAGATGTTACGAATATAGAGATGTTACGGTTGTCGAGATGCTACGGTTGTCGAGATGTTACGGTTGTCGAGATGTTACGGTTGTCGAGATTGTCTATTGCGGTCTTGACCCGGAGGCGGCCGAGGCGATCGTTTGTCGTTGCAAATGGTCTGCTCGACATAAACCTTCACATTTAATCAAAGCGGCACACGGACTGGCGATATCAACGATCAAGCACGAAGTTGTCCAGTGGGACAGGCCGCATATGTCTGGGAGGATACACCGAATCCATATGGCATTCCCACATGGCGTTCCCACATGGCGTTCCCACATGGCACCCACATGGCACATCCATACGGCAATCTGCGCACGTTCCCAACGCCCGGCGCCGGCGATTCGGCCGCATTGGCTCCCCGGAGCGAGCCGTCGTCCGGGCCGCATGATAAGTCGCGGCGCATTGAGCTGATCGCTTTGGCTGAATCGCTTTGGTTGATCGATTTGGTTGATCGCTTTGGTTGATCGCTTTGAGTGTATCAACGCAGCTTATCACCGGTGATATACCAAAACGCGCTCGATTGTTACCGTCGCTCTGTCTCGGCGGATACCCCCAACCGCCGTCCCTCCAATGTCCTCCTCCTGAGATACCGGCCTTGCCCGCCCCGCCCCGGTTGTCCTGGAAGCCCTGGAGGTCCTGATGGTCCTGATGATCCTGATGGTCAGAATCCAGCCCGCAAGATACCGTGCTGCGCACGCCGGTGCAGCGCCCCTTCTGGTTTCTGCCAAGACCGCCTGCCGCGCCTGGTCAACTCTGCCGTTGTTCGTCGCCCTCCTCGCCGGCTGTCGGCCAAACCCTGCTTGAAAAGCCCCCGCTCCCCGCCAGCCTTTGTGGTCTGGTCTTCCAACAGCCTCTTCCTCTCACCCCGTCTCGTCTACACATCGGCCTGCTATCGGCCTTCCACCGATCCGCCTCGGTCTGCCCCGGTTTGCCTCGGCTGCCCAAACGCCAAGACGCTCCCAACACATCCTGCTTCCTCGCAAACGGACCTCCAGCCCAAGCATCCAATCACTCTCGGACCGCAGTCTTCTCCTGTCGATCGGATATGAGCACGTTCCAGTCCTCCAGCAACCCGTTCGAGAGCCCGCTCGACAATCCCTTTGAAACCATTGTCCATCCGCCGCCGACGCTGCTCACCAGCCAGCGGCTTCCTTCGCCGTCGTCCTTTCCCTCCACAAACCCGTTTGCCCAAGATGCCGAGCGAGAGATGCAAGAGGCAAGTGTCCCAGCTTGCTGACTCCCGAACACTATCGCTGGCTGTGGGGAGCGGGGTTGAGGCGACGCTCCTTTGACAAGTAGAGCCTCTTTCGCTGACACTATCGATGGGCTTTCTCTCGGCAGCGACTCGCAAAATCGAGCCATCCAGCGGACATTGACATGGCTGCTTCCGACTCGCTGACGGCACCGCTCGATGCAAGCAGTGGTGAGTGCCTACTCGCAGAGATGACAGTCCAGCCAAGTGACATTATGAAGAACCTTTCATGATTCGCATGGTCACTGCGATGGACATGTCCTCCATGATGTCCATGTTCCTGGCTGCATTCATTGCTTTCCTTTCTGTACCGCACATTGCCCTTCCCGCTTGAAGCCAATATGCCCGCCGCGATGTGCAGTGACCTCGCATCCAATCGCCTGTGCTAATGCAAGTATATTCTATCCCCCTCGATTCCGATGATATCCGTCCCTCCAGGTGCAAGTCTGCCTTTGATTTTCCAGCATAATTCAGCCACATCCTCCGTGTCCTCCCTCTCTGCCGATACCTCTGCACCGACTCTTGCCTCCTCTGTTCCTCTGCTCCCCTCTCTACCGCTGTCGGCAAACCTCCAGTCATATTCGCTCTCGGTTGCTTCCTCTGCTTCCCTCCCTCCTCGTCCCAAAGTTCCTGCCGTGATTCCTCTGGCTCCTCTCGCCATCTCATCCATGCCGGCACCCTCAATCTCGGTTCAGCCACCATCTGCACTTCCAACCCGAGCAAGCCCGGCCCTCCTCGATCCTGCTGGTCATGCGCCCTCGTTTTCAGCAGCGCACACTCCATCTCCTGACGAAATCGAGCGGCTCGACCATCTCCTGGCTGCCCAGCTGGCGCTGCAGGCAGAGCCGACTTCGACCAGCACCCACGACACCTCGAACGACGAGGCCATTGCCCGCTTCCTGTCAATGGAAGACCCCGCCTCAGAGTCGACCCCAAGCCAGTCGCCAGCCTCCACCCGCCGTCCAAGCACATCTGTCCCCATCAACACCATCTCTGGTGCCCGGTCAGCCTCCCAAGTGAACCACGAGCCTTCGTCCCTGGCTCTAGCCGATACCAGCTGCGACGAAGCACTGGCACTGGCGCTCTCAGAGGAAGAAGCCAACGAGTTGGCTGGAACTGGATCAAGCTCAAGCTACCTTCAATCGACTGCTCCTCGGCTCGCACCTGTTATTTCGCCGCCTCCCTCGGCATCATCGTCCGGTGCTCCACCGTACAGTATCAACGTTCCCAGGGGACATCGAGACGAGCTCCCATCGTATTCTGAGGCCGTGGGCACCTCATCGCGCCCGAGCCTGTCGAGGCCGCGCATAGCCAGTCGAACCATCATGCACTCTTCAAACCCCCAGGTTGCCCAGACATTCAGCATCAAGGTCCAGGAGACACTCTCTGTCACGTCATTCTCGTTCAACTCGATGAGCGACGATCCAGCCTCGAGCAGTTATCAAGTCAACTTTCTGCAGGTACGTTGTTCAAGAGGCCGCCGAGCCCTTGGTTGATCTGACCAGTCAGCATCTGTCGTGGTGGCATCTAAACTAATCCTCCCTCCCTGTGTGCGTGCTCTGCAGTACGGCAGTATTGATATTTTGTCATCGAGCCAAGGCGTCCTCTTCAAACTCTACACATCCTCCTACAATACCCGCTCCCCGGCTGTCACGCTGTATGTTGATTTATCTCGATGGCGCCAGTCTGAATCGCCAGCCGCCTTCGACTGCAGCCCCATTCTCTTGCACATTCCGTCGCTATGCATGGCCAGCCGGCGCATCCGCTCTCCCTTATGTCTCCTGTGACAGATCGGGCCCCACATACAACATCATTTACTCATTGTTCTCGATGCACTTGATTCTCTTCCGCAGTCGCCAGTTCAAAGTGCTGCCCGAGTCGCGACATGGCTACGGGCTCTTGGACGTCCAAATGGTCGGCCTCTTCAACCCCAAGCACCAGTTCTTCGGCGCCGACCACAGCGAGTATGCCTGGAAGCGGATCGACGGCGAGCTGCATCTCCTGCGCTATCCTACCAAGATTCTTGTGGCCCGCATCGCCATCTCGAGCGACCGACGAAACCGGTCGCAAGCGGCCATGGGCACCCTCACCATCTACCAGAGCGGCAACCTGATCGCCGCCGAGGTCGTGGCCATCGGCGGTATCTTGTCGGGGCTGCTGCATCTGATGAACTGAGAGGCCCTCGCCGCTCAAGCGGGCCAGCCGATGTGGCCATTGCTGCTAGACTGCTGTGAATCGATATGTACTGGCGCCGGATACATGGAGACGGAGTGGGGTGACGAGCGAGCAGTGTCTGTCCATGGGAGTCTCACTGAAATGTAGTCCCGCCGAATGACGCTGTTGTCGAGTTGGTCCTGGTTGATCTTGGCTGTTCTGTCCATGGCGCCCACTGGCTGGTTTTCATGGATGATCGTCGACCTGCACCGATGCCGCGATGTGTTCCATTCAGAAATGAAGCCACATTGACTACATTGCACTTTCACCGATCCATTGCGCCGCTCGCACGAGCGCCACCGCCATCCTGCAAGCAGCGTCAAAGTGCTTGTCACCAGAAGCTGGTATTGCGAGATATATATTCGAACAATACTACGCAATGAAATGTACACAACTCCATTGCTCACTCTCCAGTAAGGCAAACAGAACAGCGGGCATCGGAATTATCAAGCCATCGAACCGCTTAGGACTCGACGAGCTCACGGACTGGATGCAGACAAGGCAGGGGGGGACAGCGAGCAACGTTAGCAACGTTGGCAACGAACCAGGAGTAGAGGACAGCATGGGAGAGCGATGTGAGCTGGGCGTGTACTTACGACGACGGATGGTGCTGCGGATGGTGGCGGCAGCAGTGGTACCGACAGTCCAGGCACCACCGGCCAGGACCTTCTTGCAGGCACGGCACTCCCAGATACCAACAGCCTGGCGGCGGACAGAGTCCTGCAGATCGATCAAAGGCAAAATGGATCCGAGGAGAATGAGTCAACCGTGGACCGGACACCTCCCATCCAGACGACGCCGACAAGCCAGTCGAGCATGGCCGCCACGAATGGTTGTGCCACTGGGGGCAACATCGCTGGCTGCTGTTCGTTCCTACCTTGCCGCAGAAGGTGCAGGTGTACTTGGCGTGCTGGGTGATTTCCATCTTCTTGACTTGCTTACGGAGAGAAGCACCGTAGCGGGTACCGTATTTACCGGTGACTCCGACCTTTCTGGTACGCTTGGCCTGGAAACAGAGAGGCGCGGGGGGGAATCGCATTACTATCCTGGTCCGTGGCACGTATATACCCGCGATACGGAGGCAAGGGCGATTTCCCGCTGCTCCAGAGTCCATCCAGTCCCATCCAGCCTCATCCAGTCTGCCGATAGCCAAGGGTCTGCTTGAGCCGAGTTGATGCACCGACTTGCTCGATAGAGGACGCTCCCAGTCCTGCCACCGCGGTTTCGAATCCGGTGGCCGCAAATGGATCCAACAGGGATTCATCTGGGAGTGCGACGGACCATGCGCCTCTGCCTCTGTTCTGCATGGACGAGTCGATTTGGCGCTGCATCTGCCATCCACGCCCGCTCATCGATCGAACCCGTCCGTGTCGGCAATATCATCCGAGATTGGCTTCGACCAGCCCGGTCGGTGAATATGCGTCCTGTGTGTTGACAGCTCGGCGAGACGGGATCCGGGAGACGATTTTAAAGGCCCTCTGGAAGACGCGGGCCGACGACTGCAGTTCCATTTGAGGGATGACTCGGTTGGCCGTTCTCTTCCGCTGGTTGATGTTTCGACAGCCGCGAATCGATGGCTGGCCAGGTGAACAGCCCAACAGATGGACAGATGGATGGACAGATGGATGGACAGATGGATAGACAGATGGATGGATGGATGGATGGGCAGATGGATGGATGGATAGACAGATGGATGGATGGATGGATGTCGAGCCTTACCATTTCTGCTTGTTACTGAGGGGGTCTGGTGGGGAGAAGCAAAGGGTGTTTGCTTATTTCCGCGTATGAAGAGAGGGGAATTCCAGCAAATGCTGCCGCCCGGTCTGCAATACCACCGCCCGCCCAGCGATGCGCACTCGAACCACCAATCCACAGGGCGTCGCACAGGGGTCGCACGGCGCGCTGACTCAGCACGGCGCGGACGGCGATTGGCTAGGCTGCTGACGACACAGATCACAGAAGAAAAACGCAGCAGCATATATAAAACGATCCAACTCCAACTCCATCTTCAACCCCATCTTCAACTCCATCTTCAGCTCCATCGTCATCTCCAACCCCATCATCATCTCCAACTCCGAGGTATGCTGATGCTCCCGCTGACCCCTCGTTTCGCCGTTTGCGGCCCTGCTGCACATGATGAATAGCATTATCATTCAGTTATCCCTGGCTTAGAAGTCGGTGCTGAGAGCTATTGTTCTGAACCAACACGGCGGCGGTCCTTCGCGCGTTGGGGAGTATGCATGCGTCTCGATCTGCCGCGGTGCTAACGAGCCGCCGCTCTTCCTTTTGCGCAACTACAGCGCCCTTCCGCAAGCCCCAAGAGTCTCGTGGACTGATTGTCGGGCATTATCCTGGTGCCAGCAGTAAGGTGAGATGGAGTTCCAACTCCCCCTCGGTTGGCTGGGTCGTGTCCCAGAACCGATCGCCGCTAATGATGAGCGAGAATTCAAACAACAGTTATCCCTGTCTTAGACAATAGTGCGGATATGTTATTCTAGACTGATATGCGGGCGCTGCTCTCGTGCGTGTGTGAGCAAAGCACATCCAGTGCTTTTTTGTTGCGATTGCGTCTTGTGCTGGGGCTAACCCTCTTGATGATCCATTTCTACTGTCGTTTGCTCTCCATCCATCGGGATCAGTACGCGCGCTGTTTGCTCCGTGGCGGCATGTTGCGAGCAGCTGATATGAATAAAGAGTCGGAACACCATGTCTCAAAGGCCCGTCCTCGCGGCCCCCGTTTCGTCCCCCATCCACCAAGCAAGAGAGCGGCTTGTGTGCCGATTTGACCGATTACTGCTCGTGGGCGGATTGATTCGGTGCTGTGGCCAGAGATGGATTCCAATAGACTGAGCGCGGGTGCGAGCCAGATCACACTCAGACAAGATGAGCTTGGGTCCCTCTCCCTTTCGCTCAGGCTCAACGACACACGAGTCTATCGCCCCGTTGTCTCGACTCGTCGAATCAGTCACAGACCCGTCCGCTGCCGGCCCTGCCCGAGACAGAATACCTCGCTGATGGCACGCGAGACAACAGCCCAGCATCCGCGACTGCATCTCCATCTTGATTTGCGCTGTCGTCATCGACGGGGGCAGTCAAGCCATGCCGGCTACAGTCAATACTGCACTCTTCTCCTGGATTTACCATACAGACCGCTTCTTGTTGCCCGCCGTCGTGAAGGAACGGACAGGGCCAGGCCCAACGACAAGTGCTGCTGCTCAACAACGGTCGTAATCAGCAGAGTACAGCCGAGCGGCCGATCTTGATCCGCGGACGCACCCCTCGCGGTCAGTTCACACCCAAACCCTTCACTGACCATTCTCACGCTTTTCGCCGTAGACATCCTCCGATATTTTCTCCGGCAGCGTCGGGACAGTTCCCCGCTCGACTTTAACCCGGAATTGCAGCACTAGTCATCGGCATCAGCAGCCACCATGCGAAGCAGCAACAAAACCAAATATACGGTATCCAGAGTACCTGCTCCGATGATCACGGCAGCTGTCGTGGAACGATGGGCGTAAAGCTTGACAGCGCTCGGCTGCTCAGTAATGATCTTCATTATTATCTTCCATCCGTCTCTCACACGTACTATTTTCCCGGACGTTCTCGCCTCCCACCTCTTTGACGGCATCAGATCAATGTGGGTCTCATCCGAAGCAACTGGCCCATATGGAACATTGCCCAGGCCAGAGACACGGGCGAGCTCGCCATGATGATCGCCATCGATCGGATCAATAACAGCACCTGGTGGATGCGCGATGCCACCATTCAGCTCGTAACGGCCGATGCTGCCATGAACTGGGGGAAATCGGTACGGTTCTTGGAAGGGAGGGCTGTGGGAGGGGTGTGGGAGGGGTGTGGGAGGGGTGTGGGAGGGGTGTAATTTTACTTGATACCATGGCCAGAGCGAAAATCCTCCGAGCGGACATTCAAACGTGGTGACAGCGAACGTCCGTCGCCGCAGAAGCTCGACAGGCTGTCGCCTCTGAGTTTTCAAGTGCTCGTGCTGACGGCGTGTTGCCAACTTCCAGGGCGTAGCGGTGCAAGCACTCTACAATGCCGGTCAGATGGCACTGATTGTCGGAGATGTGACGAGCGCCCTCAACATCCATTCCGCCGCCATCAGTGGATACTATAAGGCAAGTGGCATCCGAGCAACGGCGCTGTCGTCTTTAGCAGCTGTGCGAGACTATTCCAGCCACGATAATATCGGCCATGGAAGCACAATATCGCCCCCCCCCCAAACGACATCACAAGACCGCCTCGCGTCAGATCCCCCTAGTGTGCCTAAAGTTCGATCATGCTTGCCGCCCTGCTTTCGATTATCCAAGATAACGACTGACATGTGCGACTTCCGTTCAGATTCCACATGTCTGTGTATCTTGTGCAGATCCCACCCTCTCCGATCCTGTGGACTTTCCGACCTTCATGCGCATGACATATATGTAAGCGCATGTTTCCTCGGCTTTCCAAGCATCAAAGCCATCAGTGGGCATGATTATGAGGTGGCGAAGGCTCAATCTCTGCCTCTTTATTTGTCTTCAGGGGGGTGCCAAGCGGCATGATCACCTTTGCCAAGGGTATGGGATGGCAGAAGGTTGCATTCCTCTACACCGTCGACTCGATGTCGCTCGCGTCGCTGAATTGGGCTCTGCAAGCTGCAGCCGCCAACAACATCACAGTGCTCACGACACAGGGTGAGTTGCATATCGAACGTGGATGCCGAGATTTCAGTTTCCCACGAGGAATGCGTCGGCTGTTGGCTAACCATTGCGGTCGCTTTGGGAACTCGCCGACAAACACACCCGTACAGCAATTCAGCTGCCGCCCTCGGTGAATCCCAGCAACGGCACCCAGATTATCCAAGCGTTGACGCCAATCTACGATATCCTGAAGAACTTACAAGCCCGCATCATCGTTCTCATGTCCGTACCTCCTCGACTCGAGTTCCCATTGAGCCATGCCAGAGACTGTGACTTTTGACTCTGCACCGGCATCAAGCTGCGCTTGCACTCACACTCGTATACAACCACGGCCTGTTTCTCCATAAAAGGTCGGATACAACCATGTCGGATGACATCTATTTCAGCGCGGCGTAAGTGGCATGCCAACGCACGATTTGTCTCGCGATGCCGTCGCATCCACTCGTTTCCTCTCGCGGCCCGACCCTCACCGTCCTGCTTTCCGCCCTTCCAGCTCGTACGGATTGACTGGCCAAAAATATGTAGGCGTTGCATGTAGACTTATCCCTCGACTCGACTCGGTATCGATGCGGATCGCGCCGGACGACACCACTCACAATCGCATCCTGCTGGGGAACCAGGTTTGGATCACCAGAACCCAGCTTGGAGGCATCATGAACAGCACTCAAGTCATTGCCAAATACGGTCAAGCTGCCTGGAACACACTTCAGTACAATGTTGCCACGCCTGGATTCAATTTGGTACTCATGTTTACTCCAGAGAGTTGAGCCATATCGCATGGATTGGCGATCTGAGTGGATGGCATGAATGTAAACTGGTTCGACACTCCCTCTTCTCTCGTTCTCGGTTTGATCACACACACACACACGCACATTTAGAGTACTGGCATGAATTCATCTGAAGGGCTGTTTCTGCAGAGCGTCTATCCTTACTACGTCCAGTATCGGTCGAGGTCAGTCTGTATACAGCCTAGCCAGATCGACGATGCAGCGTGGAGGGATGCCGCCTTGCTAACAATTCCCCCATATTAGTTTTGCAACCACAACGGGCAACCTTTGGTACGATTACGCCCAGCAACCGAACAACCAAGGATCCCGTGCATACGACGCAACTATGGCAGTCTTGCTGACTTGGGACAGGGTGAGATCGAGTGTACTGACAGCTCACAAGCCAAACTCGTCGATTGTGCAAATTGGCGCATGCGGTTGCTTGATGGGTCCGGATTGCTTGGACACACATACTTGTTATCTATACTGAATCGCCCGTCGTACTGCTGCTGTCGACTGCAGCTTCTCAACCAAACAGGATTCGAAGCCAATGCCATATACAACGGGTCGCTCGCCGGGCGGTGCAGCCCAGCCGAAGTCTCGGCGACTGGATTTGTCGGATACGGAGGACTGACCAGGTGTGTAGTGCTCATCGGTGTAGCAGCCACGATCGAGCTGGCCCGAGCTACCAGGGCCGGCCTGAGCCGGTACGGCCAGACTACGATACTTATCAAGCATTTATTCATTTAAATCCTGTTGTCGGGCAGCTTCGATTCGACTGGAGGCGTTATCTAGTAAGTACCAAAGCTTCGAATTGACCATGACCAATGCTTGGTATTTCGACTGCACTTTGCCTTAACCTCTTGTTAACGGGAAACAACACAGCCCCGGTATCATCTACTGGAACAACGGGCCAATTATGTGGTCTGTCGGGACCTACAATCAGACAGGCATCAATCTGATCAATGATGCCAATGGAAATCCAGTCATCCTGTCCATGTTCATTGGCGGAGCCGTGCCGAGCGACTCGCCCGTATACCAAGTCGATCAGCTCTTGTTCGGCGACCCGGTTGCGAGCGCCGTTCTCGGCGTATATGTCGTCGGCTATGCGTTGATCCTGCTGTCGATCGTGGTGGTTCTTAGAAATACGAAGCGTCGGTCAATCAAGTACCGCAGCCCGGTGCTGAACGTTGTGCTGATGGTACACCTTTGCTGCACATGAGCAAGCTATGGCGAGGCCAGTGGTCGCAGGACTGACAGCGCATGCAAACCTCGCTCATGTTATGCCGGTTTCCACCATTGCGCAGATCGGGGAGCTTGTGTTTCTGTCTTCAGGGCTTACAAGCATGTCTTATGTCACACCGGCTCTATGTACGTATGCTGGGCATGGGCCGCAGGATGACAGTCCGTGGCAGTCATCGGTGACGCCCGGGTTCATGGATGCCGTTCTGTCGCCGTCGCCCCAAGAGCAAGCTTCTGAGATGCTCTCGACCACCTGTTCAACCGAAAAGGCATTATCGAGCCATGGCTGATCTGTCTCGGTCTGACAGTGATGCTGGTAAGATCGGGTCTGGTCGGATCTGGTCGGAAGCGGGGAAAGAAATGTGGTCCGTTTCATCGCCGGCGATCGTGTCTTGGCCGTTTGCAGCAAATGACCTGGACTGTTTGCACCCTCGGGCAATTGATCGATACAGTCGAGTGTCCTGGTAAAAGCCTATCGTCTCTGGAAGATATTTGGTAAGCCGCAGCGTTCATCAGACTCGGGGCACTCCTCCAGCCGACGATCGACATCCCATGGCACCTATCCCGTCGGCGACGAGTTTGGAGGGAATCTAACCCTGCAAATCCGCTCTGCAGACAACCGGAACATCAAACCGGAAGCCATCTCAAACACAAAGCTCCTCCTCTTGGTTCTCTACCTGGTGCTCGGAGTGACTGTGCGTATGCTGCAGCGGAGTGCTGTTAACCAGGCCGCACTTGGGTGCCAGGGATCGCCCTGCGGTCACAGGTCAAGGCTCACGACCGCCCTCGCCACAGCAATGCCCTGACCCGAATGAACCGTTCGCACATCCATCTGCCTGTCTCTGTGTCTGTTTGTCCATCTGTTTGTTGATCCTTAGGTCTTCTTGATCGTGTGGACCTCGCTCAATCCCGTCGTCGTCGAAACCATGTACACGAGCGACACGCAGTACCAAGGATGCATCTTCATGTCGACGTACTTGACCTACTGGGTCACCACGGGTCTGCTCTTTGCAATCTCAGGAACACTCCTGGTGCTCACAGCCTTTGTTGCACACAAGACAAGAAGCATCCCGACGCAGTGAGTAGCCCCTCTGCCGATCGAATGAGCAGCGAGATGAGCACGCTGCGAATGCTCAATGCTCAGTTCCCGGCCTGAGTGTCTGGATAGTAACATGAGGGGCATCCCACCTTGTCGTCGCCTTCTCTAGGTTTGGCGAAGCCATACCCATGGGCATCTCTGTCTACAACATCGTGATCTGCTCGGTTCTGATCCTGGCACAGAACTATTCGGACGGAATGCTGCAGCGCACAAAGTCTATTGTCCGCCTAGTGATCGAATGGATTGGCGTCATGGTCGTCCACAACGTGCTGGTGACGCCTTCGCTGCTGGCGCTCCTCGAGGAGATTAGAGGATTTGAGCAAAGCGAGTTTGGGCTCAAGCTCCAGCAACCCGAACTCGACATTGGCAAGGATAGCAGAGGATCGCAAAAGACTGTAAGCAAGGTGGGATCGATGCATGGAGAGTCGTGGCACTTGTGTCTGAAACGGTTGGTGCGCTGGCTCGTCCACCACTCCCCTGTGCTGACCCCAGGCGCATGCGTCAGTCGTCCATTTCGCATATCTTTTACTGGAAAAAGGCATCTGGATTCATGACAAAGTGGGAGCGGGTCAAATGCGTCTTGTGCACCGGCGACGAGCCCGTCCTGTGCTTTCTTGATCCGGATATGAATGTAAGTCGAGACCGATGAGACGACGCAGCAGGAAAGCCGGGGGGTGTCAGATGTGGCGATCCAAGGGGGGGGGTGGATCTAGGAGTGGGAAGTGAGCCACGCTAACAACGATGTGCAATCACTCTGCGTGCCATTGGGCTTGTGCCATTGCGCTGCAGAGGCCCGGTGTGAGCGTCCCGATCCGGAGCTTGATCTACCTCGAGCAAGACGAGAACGAGCCCTCGTTTATCCAGATCTCATGGCCCGGCAGTGCCTACGTCATCGAGGGCGAGAGCGAGTCCTTTGTCTCGTTCTGGGTCGCTACCGTCACAACCGAAAGCGAGAAGATCGTGGACCCTCAGGCCAAAAGAAACGCATCACTCCGTCGTCCCCGAGCATCCAAGTCAAGCCGCAAGGGAAGTACGGCTCGGCACAGCATCGCGAGCATCGAGCAGCAACAGCAGTTCCAGCAGCAACAGCAGTTCCAGCAGCAGCATCAGCAGCTCTAGGATTCGCAGTATCCCAAGTGACGGAGAGGGGGAAGTGCTCGATTGTCAGCCAAGACAGCGGATTCACATCAGATCAATCCGAGTGCAAAATGGCACTGACAAATCATATAGTCCATCCAGAAAGAAACGGGACAGTCATGCAATTGGTACCCGTCCTGGTTGGCAATCTCTTTGATTTCGTTGGTCGGGGAGGGTTGTCTGAGTCTCCTGGGACTGGAGGCATATCCCTCACTCGCTTCCACGTGGCATTTCCAAAGGCAATCACAATGTCGGTCTCCCTTGGACATACTGATTAGCCAAGAGTGCAATGAGTGGGTGGGCGTATTCAGGTTCCAGAAAAAGACAACTGTCTTGGCTCATAACAGAGTGTCCCATTTCATTTCGGAAGCGCTTCATCTACCCAGCCGTATTCAGAGCGCCCAGGGGTCACGAGAAATACCGAAAGCTCTGTTCTCATTGTGATTTACAGGTGAATGACCAGAACCAGCTGCGATACATTGAGGGGGGAGGGGTGAAGACCGGGTGGAAAGGCTTCTTTTCTTTGTTTCTTTGACAAAAATATCACACGATGCCATTTGTCTCACTCTTTATTAGACATGGACAGGGAAGGCGTATTAAAAACGGAGGAGTTTCGAATTGGAAGAAGAGGACAGACGGAAGACGAGGGGGGGGGAGTTCAATTGGTTCTACAATCAAGGCGGAGCAAGATGAGAGGCAGAACACCATGAGGCAAGGACAGACGCGATTAGGCCTCGATGGTGTTGAAGGTCTTGGCAAAGTCGAAGGGGTTCTGGGTGACGCCCGAGGAGGTGTCGGTGCTCGAGCCAGAGTTCTGGTCGCGGTTGGCACTCCACATGCGGATGCCGTTGGCCCAGGAGGTGGTCTTGACGAAGGTGGTGATCTGGTTGGCGTTGTCGAGGGTGAAGATCTCATCGGTACTGTCGTTGATACCGATCATGGGGCAGAGGGTGATGTAGGGGCTGGGGTAGCCGGCAGAAATGGCCTGGGAGTAGGTGTTCTGGGCAGCAGAGATGGCGTAGCCTGGAGGGAGATACGAGAGAGGGCAATTAGGCAACCGACTACAAAGACAGTGGCTCCAGGGGAGCTGCACCACGGATCATAGCGTCATGGATTATGCAATGCAAGCAGCATTCAGCCTCATTGCTGGATTGGCAAGCAGAGCCAGACGGATACATACCACCCATTCCAGTGGCGCCGTTGGGGGCAGCAGATGATCCATAGTCCATGGTCATGATGTTGATCGAGTCAAGGACGACACCGGCCTTGGCAGCGGACTGGATAATGTAGACACCAGTGCTGACGAGACCAGAGGGAAGGACAGGGAGAGTGTACGAGATCTTGAGACCAGGGTTGGCCTTCTGGAGAGCGGCCAGGACAGAGTTGCGGCGGTCGATGTTGGCGGTGTGGCTGACGGCAGCACCCTCGATGTCAAAGTCGATGTAGGTGGCGTTGTAGGCGTTGATGACGCTCTGGTAGGCGGCCTGGAGGGAGGTGGCATCGGTAATGGCATCACCGAGCTCAGTGCCGGCAGCGCCACCGAAGGAGATGATGGCATCACCACCGTTGGCACGGATCTGCTGGAGGGTCGAGACGAACCAGTTCTGCGAGAGAGGGTAGCCGGCAACGCTGGGGGCACCGCCGCTGGAGGTGACGAAGGCAAAGGTGTAGTAGTTGACACCGGTGTTCTTCTGCTCAGTGACGATATCGAACGGGGGCCAGACACCGAGATCGACGTAGGGAGCAAAGAGCTTGGCGGGCCAGTGGCCGGGCTGGATGGTGGGAGTAGAAGTGGCGACGGTGGTGGTGGTGGTGGTGGTAGTGGTGGTGGTCTTGGCGGGAGTGGTGGTGGTGGTGCGGGCGGGAGAAGTGGTGGTGGACGACTTCTTGGTGGTAGTGGTACGAACGGCCGAGGAGGAGGTGGTGGTGGTCTTGGCAGGGGTGGTGGTGGTGGTAGTGGTGGTGGTGGGCTGGTTGAACATGTCAAGAGGTTAGAGGTTAGGAAGGATACCGACAGGGGGGATGGCGGCTCGGTCGGTCTGGTGCACCGCAATCAACCCCGACAGCGAGCAACAGTCGCAGGGGCAGGACCGGGAGAGCACAGCCAGAGACGCATCAGCAAACGACTCACGTTGTTGTTGGTGGGGAAGCCACAGTAGATGGAGGAACCGCTCTGGATGCAAACAGTGCCAGCAGCGCAGGAGAAGCTGTAGGCAGTGCCGCCGGAGCACCAGGTGTAGCTGGGGCTGGAGCCGCTGGCAGCGCAGGTCATGCCGTCGGCAGAGCACGACTGGGCCATGGCAGACGAGGCCAGAGCAGCGAGGCCAACGAAGGCGATCTTCCAGGAAACCATTGTGGGCGGGGCGGTGAGAGCGGCGTGCAGGCTGGTTCGGAGGGTGGTGGTGAGGAAAGCAGCGGGTCCAGGAGGAGAAGAAGGGGTTTATATGCGAGGGCACGGCCGCAAGAAGGATCCAGCCTGGACGAGAGGCGGCCACACAGATGTCGCATGACAAGAGCCCCGATGCGTTGTGTTCGATTGCACTTGTTGCACGGATGGCAGTGTTGGTCGCGTGGGCAGCAAGCGGCTGCAGAAGATGTGCCATGGGTGCGATGCGACGCGGCATGCGCGATGGGGAGAGCGGCGATATGTGATGGGGGAAAAGCATGACGGCGGCGTGATCGGGGGGATGCATGGAAGCAATGCGATATGATGTGATGTGATGTGATGAGAAGCAATGCGATATGATGAAATGCAGTCGCCGCTGGGTCAACAATGCCGGCGAGATATGTGCGAAATCCAGAACGATTGCCGGGCGAATGAATGGCAAAATCGTCCAACCAGAACAACCGAGTAGGAACAGAGCATCAACAGAGCATCAACAGAACATCAACAGAACAAGAACAGAACAAGTGTGTCCCGCGACAGCGCAGCAAGGCCGGACAATAAAGACCGGCGCTGTTCAGAGTGCTTTGCTCGTGCGCCTCACGCTTTTGCGCCCGTCTGTGGCCACAAGGTCGCGTGCGCTCGGGCCACACGATGCAGTCACGAGAGCAGCCGCGCCTGCTCACATGGGCCGCTGTGCGAGCCTGTCTTGCGTTTTTTGCGTCGTCGCTTCTTTGCCGTGCCGGCCTGGTGGTCGTTGTCCGGAGCGTGGGGTGTCTGTCGGGGGGGGGAATGAGAATACCAGCTCGGGCACGTTCGGGCCGAGACGGTGCGATTGGTGTGTTGTTTGGCCATCGGCTTGATATCGCGATACGCTCTCAGAGCAATCGCTCCCGCTGTCGATGCCAATGCCAATGTCGATACCAATGTCGATACCAATGTCGATGCCTGTGATGATCATGCACGTTGGGAACACGTGTGGACTGCTGCGCGTGATGCACCGTGAGTCATGTTTGTTTGTCTTGGCGTGTATTCCCTGATTGGCTGGCGCCGATGACTCTTACTTCGCCTCCGACTGCGCTGTGCTTCGCCCCTCTCTCTAGCAGCTCCGCCTCCCTCGCACCCCCATCTCGTCCCTCGTTTGTCGCTCCACCCCTCTCGCCCACTTTCGCCCTTCGGTTTCCCTCTTGGCTATAAAGCCCCTCCTTTCTTGCACCCATTTTGTATCTGCAGTTCGAACAACACTTGTTGTTATCTGATAAGTCGTAATATAGCTTATCGTTGTTCGCCAAGCACCTGGTCGTCCAGTGTCGTTGCTTGTCGTGGTCCTCACATATTGTTCGAACTCCCTCTCTCTGTCTGACCACCTGCTTGGCTGAGGCTTCGTTGCTGCCCTCATCCTTCTATTCTCTGTTGTCTTCCCTGCATCCTCGCTCCCCACTTTCAAAGCCCACATGGACCAACTCCAGGCCCAAATCGTTGCCCTCCAGGAGGAACTGGTTCTCCTCCGGACCACACATTCTTCCGCCGCCCCACAGCTCCCGCACATGCCGACCCCGGACAAGTTCGACGGCACCAGGTCAAAGTTCCGCCCCTTCGTCAACCAGTGCCGCCTGCTCATGATGCTCCAGGCATCCAGGTTCCCGTCCGAGCAAGTCAAGGTGGGTTACGTCTTGAGTTTGCTCACTGGTCCGGCCCTCCAGTGGGCGACTCCCTTGATCGAGTCGAACGATCAAATCCTGCACTCGTTCGACTCGTTCATGGAACGCTTTCGCCAAGCGTTTGACGATCCCGACCGCACCCACACTGCCGAGCTGCTCCTTTCCTCCATGGCACAGGGCAACCGCTCGTGCATGGATTATGCCTCAGAGTTCCTCCGCGTTGCCGCCGACCTTCCCTGGAACGACGAAGCCAAGATCTCCGCCTTCCGCCGTGGCCTGTCGAGGGAGATCAAGCAGCGCCTCTCCTTCATCGACCCTCTCCCTCTCCGCTTGGTCCCGTTCGTCGAGCGTTGCCTCAAGATCGATGCACGCATCATCGAGCTCAACAACGAGCTCCGAAACACTGGCCCTGTTTCCTTCGGCACCCAGGCCTTCAACTCCCGCACCCCGTCCTTCCAGCCGCCCGCCCAGGAGCCTCCGGTTCTCTACTCCGAGCCGATGCAGATCGACGCCGCCGTCGTCAGCCGCCTGACCCCCGAGGAGAAGAACCGCCGCTTCCAGGAGCGCCTCTGCTTCCGCTGTGGCAAGCCCGGCCACGTCGCCAAGTCCTGCCCCCTCAAGTCCGGCTCCCGTGCTCCCGCCTCTGGTTCCCGCTTCCCCGGCTCCCGTCCTCAGGCTCCCGGCTCCCGTCCCCGTTCGAAGGTTGTCCGAACCATCGTCTACGATGATGGTGAGGAGGAACACTTCGAGTCGGGAAACGACCAGGCCCAGATCTAAGTGGAGGCTTAGATCTGGAGCCGTCTCCCCTTCCTCCAGAAGCAAGCGTCGATGGTAAGGAGCATGAGGTAAGTGTCGAACGCATGGCTATGTGTGGAATGATCAATGTAGTCGGTGGTGGATCGCACTCTGTCAAACCCGCCTCTTCTAAGGGCACATCTGGCTCCCAGATGTCTTTGACAGAGCTCCCGATCTCCACACCACCTGCGAACTTGGTCATCTGCTCGAACCATGCTGCCGACACTGATCTCTGCTCCGAGCCTTCTTCGTGCGTCTCGTCGATTTCTTCGTCTTCTCCCGTTTTCTCCGCTTCTCTTGTTCTCCCTTCTGGTCGCTCCCTCTCTTGCCAACTTCTCGTCGATTCTGGTGCCTCCGGCAACTTCATCGACGAGAGCTTTGTTGACCGCTTCTCGGTCCCCCTCGTTTCCAAATCCACTCCCCTCCCTGTCCAAGGTGTCGATGGCCAGCCACTTTCTTCCGGCCCCATCACTTTTGAGACGGAACCCCTCAAGATTGTTCTTGGGGACTACACTCAACACCTTTCCTTTGATGTCATTAAGTCTCCCCACCAACCTGTTATCCTTGGCTATCCCTGGCTGCAGTCCATCGAACCCAGGTTCCACTGGGCTCGTGGACTCCTTTGCCTTCCCCGTCCTGCAAACCACATCCTCAAGGTTGTGGATGCCTCTTCCCTCCCTTCCGTTTCTTCCGTTTCTCCTTCTCCCCTTCCTCTTGTTGGCGACACACCCAATGTTTTCCCTCGTGCCTCTACCGACACCACTGTGGTGCTCGCTTCTTCGCCTCGCACCGTTTGTACTCGCGAAGATGATCAGAATAAAGTGATCGCTCAACGTTATTCTGATTGTGTTCCGAGTGAGGTGCCCTGTTCCTGTGCTGCTCGTCCTGGTCCCTCCGGTCTCGTCTCCGTCCGTCCTGGTCTCCCCGGTCCCGTTGCTCCCAGCCCCGCTCCTGTCCGTGTCCAAGCGATCAGGTACAAGTCGTTGGAGCAGTCCGTCCTCGACACACAGTCTAGCCCCGACCCCCTGACTGTGTTCCAAGTCCTCGTCCTTCCTGCCACCGATCCGGATCCGACGCCCCTCTCGACGTCGATCCCCGAGGAGTACAAGTCGTTTGGCTCAGTCTTCTCGAAGCAGGAAGCCGATTCGTTGCCCCCGCACCGGACGTACGACTGCCCGATCGACCTGGAGCCCGGCAAGACCCCCAAGTTCGGACCGCTCTACTCCCTGTCAGAGCCCGAACTCAAGGCCCTTCGTGAATACCTCGACGACAACCTCGTCAAAGGGTTCATCCGTCCTTCGTCCTCTCCCGCCGGTTCTCCGATCCTTTTCGTCAAGAAGAAGGACGGCTCTCTGCGTCTCTGCGTGGACTATCGCGCATTGAACACGATCACGGTCAAGAATCGTTACCCCTTACCGTTGATCAATGAGATGCTGGACCGAGTCCGGGACGCGAAGGTGTTCACGAAGCTGGACCTCCGCGGGGCCTACAACCTGCTGCGTATCCGCGCAGGCGACGAGTGGAAGACGGCCTTTCGCACTCGTTACGGCCAGTTCGAGTACTTGGTGATGCCCTTTGGACTCACCAATGCTCCGGCCACCTTCCAGCACTTCATCAACGATGTCCTTCGTGATGAACTGGACAACTTTGCGATTGCCTACCTTGACGACATTTTGATTTACAGCGCTGACCCCACTCAGCATGCAAATCACGTCAAGCAGGTCCTGGCCAAGCTCCAGGCTGCAAAGTTGTACTGCAAGCTGGAGAAGTGCGAGTTCTCCAAGGACAAGGTCTCATTCCTCGGCTACGTCATCTCGCCCAAGGGTATCGAGATGGAACGAGCAAAGCTCTCCGCCATTGTCGACTGGCCCGTCCCCCGCAATGTCTCCGACCTTCGCTCCTTCATTGGGTTCTCGAACTTTTACCGTCGCTTCATTGACGGATATGCCAAGATCGCCGGTCCGCTCACGCTCCTGTTCAAGAAGTCCCAGGTCTTCCGCTGGTCCCCCGACGCCCACAAGGCTTTCCAGTCCCTCAAGGAAGCCTTCGTCTCCGAGCCCGTCCTTGCGCACCCCGACCCATCCAAGCCCTTTGTCGTGGAGTCTGATGCCTCAGACTTTGCGATCGGATGCGTCCTGTCCCAGCGCGGCTCCGATGGCCACCTGCACCCGTGCTCCTTCCACTCCCGCACGCTCATGGATGCTGAACGCAACTACAGCATCTATGAGAAGGAGCTCTTGGCCA